GCCGCGGCGCGCGGCGGCGGCGACGCGGCGCGCGCGCGGTCGGTCGTCGCCGCGTTCCGGGGCCTCGCGGCCGGCGGCGACGCGCTCGCGCGCTTCGCGGCGGGCTCGCGCGTGGCGGCGGCCCCGCTCGCGCGCGGCGCCGCGGCCGTCGCGCGCTACGGCGCGTTCCTCGCGCGCGCGGACGTCGCCGCGGCCGCGCCGGCGGCGCTCGACGCGCAGCAGGCGCTCGTCGTCGCCGTCTTCGGCGCGGCCATCGCGGCGCGAACCCTCGGGCCGGCGACGGCCGTCGCCGTGGGCGTCCAGCGCGCCGCGCGCGACCGCGGCGCGGCCGGCGCGCTCGCCGTCGCCGCGGCGAGCTGCGCGGTCGCCGCGGGGCGCCTCTCCTACGCGCACGGCTTCACGGGGGCCTGCGCGTCCCTGGACACGGCCTGCTCGTCGGCGCTCGTCGCGCTGCACGTCGCCCTGGGCTGGGCCCGCCCGGACGCGGTCGCCGGCGGCGCGTGCGCGCTCGCCGCGCGCGGCGCCGCGCGCCTCGCGGCCGCGGGCATGCTGTCGCCCCGGGGCCGCTGCCACGCCTTCGACGGTCGCGCCGACGGCTACGCGCGCGGCGAGGGCGCCGCGGCCTGCGTCGCGGGGCCCGTCGCGGCGGGGCTCGCCGTCGCGGGCACCGCGGCGGGCCACGACGGCCGGAGCGCGTCGCTCACGGCGCCCAGCGGCGCCGCGCAGCGCGCGCTCCTCGCGGGCGTCGGCGGCGTCGGCGCCGCCGCGCGCCTCGAGGCCCACGGCACGGGCACGGCGCTCGGCGACCCCGTCGAGGTCGCCGCGGCCGCGCGCGCGCTGCCCGCGGGCTTGTTCGCCGCGTCGCTCAAGGCGACGCTGGGCCACCTCGAGGCCGCGGCGGCCGCCGCGGGGCTCGTCGCCGCCGCGGCCTTCGCGGGCCGCAACGGCGAGCTCCGCCGGCTCAACGCCCACGTCGCCGCGGTCCGCCCGTCGGCCGCGGTCCTCGCGCCGTCGCCGTCGCCCGCGGCGGCGGTCGCCGCGCGGCGCGTCAGCGCCTTCGGCTTCGGGGGCACGATCGCGCACGGCGCCTTCGTCCTCCCGGCGCACCGCGGCGGCGCGACGGCGCCGTCCCCGGGGTCGCTCTACCGCGGCCGCCGGCTCCGCGCCGCGGCGGGGCCGCGGCGCGGCGCGCGCGCGCCGCCGCCGCGCGCGCCTCCCGACGGCGCCGTGGGGCGCTACGAGGTCGCCTGGGGGTCGCCCGGGGCGCCGTCGACGGCGGGCGACGCCTGGGACTACGGCGCGGACACGGTCCTGATCATCGGCGGCGGTTTGGACGGCGTGCTCAGCGGCGGCGCTTTAACGCGGCGCCGCGTCGACTTCGAGCTCTTCGAGCTCGAGGGGTCCCTGGGCGGCGTCTGGGTGACCACGGCGAATTTGACGTCCAAGGTGCAGACGGGCAAGCTCACCTACACGCTGGACCTCGAGGACCGGTCGCCGCGCGTCGCGGACGAGTCGAACTTCCAGCCCGCGGACGAGGTCGCCGCGTCCATCGCGGGCTTCGCGCTGCGCATGGGCATCGACAAGAAGACGTCCATCTTCCGGGAGGTGACGAGCGTCGCCTACGAGCCCTGGCCGTCCAAGGACTGCGGCGTCGACTGGACGGACCGGTCGCCGGCGGCGCTCGAGGCCGCGCCCGGCCGGGGCCTCCGAAAGTCCTCCGTCTTCCAGGGCGTCATCTTCGCCTGCGGATCCCTGCGGTCGCCGACGCTGGCGCCCATGGCGCCGGCGCACTACGGCGGCTACGACTCCTACGGCGTCTGCGGCGACGCGCGGCCCTGCGAGATGGCGGGCCGCGACCTCGTCGTCGCGGGCCACGGCGCCTACGGCGTCGAGAACGTGCGGACCGGCCTGGAGCACGGCGCCAAGGCGATCACGCTCGTGTGCCGCCACCGCCACGCCGTGATGCCGCGCTGCGCGGTCTGGCTCCTAGACGCGGGTCGCGCGTTCGACGCCTGGGACGAGATCTCGAAGATGCTCGCGGTCGCGAAGCTGGCGCCCGCGTACACGACGGACCGGCGGAAACGGCCCGCGGTAAGCGACCAGTACTACGCGGCGACACGCTTCGGCCGCGCCTGCGTCGTCCACGGCGAGATCCGCGGCTACGACGCGAGCGCGCCGCGCGTCCTCGTCGAGACCTCCCGGGCGTCCGGCCTCGCGAAGGTCCGCGCCGACGTGGCCTTGCTGTGCTACGGCTTCTCCAAGGAGACGTCGATCGTCAATCGGACCATGGGCGTCTTCGAGGAGGGCGACCTGACGGGCATCTGGGTCAAGGGGCAGCGGCGCGCGTGCATCCTGCGCGCCGATCTGGACGTGAGGAAGGAGGCGACGCCCCTGTCGGCGTCGAACATCCCCTTCGCGTCCTTCCTCGCGAACACGTTCTGCCACTTCCTCACGCGGCCCAAGTCCGAGTTCGACGGCGTGCTCAGGAAGCTGCCCAAGGCCGGCAACGCGCAGGACACGACGTCCTTCGACTTCTTCGCGTCGACGTTCCTCGCCCTCGTCGGCGACAAGGCCGTGCAGCCGCAGCTCGCGAAGATCATCCGGCGCGTCCAGCACGTGTCCGTGAACGACGTCTGCGCCTGGACGGACTTCGTGGAGGACTGCGCGGGCGACTGGCGGAAGTACGTCGGCGCCGTCGGCGTCCCCGGCCGCGAGGAGCCCTACGGCGACTGGCTCGGCCGGTCGCCGAGCCCGCACCCGGACGGCCTGGGCCAGCGCGAGGAGGCGTCGCGGGCGCTCGCGGCCGACGGGCCCCTCGCGTCGCCCGCGGCGCACCGCGCGTCCGTCCTGGTTTTCGACGACGCGGCCGCCGAGGTCGGCGCGGGCGCGCGGACGGCCGCGCCGACGCCGGGGCGGACGCCGGGCGTGCTCGTGCTGGCCTTCCCCCGCGACGTGCTCGACCTCGCCGTCGGCACGCTCTACGCGGCGGAGGCGAAGGTGCCGCACACGGTCGTGCTGCTCAAGGACCGGTCGCTCAACGCGTTCCACGCGCAGCTGCGGGTCGCGCGCGTCGAGCAGCCGCGGCTCAAGCTCTCGAGCGCCGCGCTGCGATGCGGCGGCGGCGCGGCGCAGCTCGAGGAGCTGTGCGAGGCGCCGGTGGCCAAGGACTGCGTCCTGACGTCGAACTCGGGCGTCTTGGTGCCGTCGCTGGTCGAGGCGGCGTCGTCGACGGCCGACGCGCGGCGCGAGCTCCGGGGCGCCTGGGCCGTCACGGGCGGCACGGGCGGCCTCGGCCTGGTCTCCGCGGCGCTCTTGACGGACCTTCGGTGCGACGTCGTCGTCGCGGCGCGGCGCCCGCGGATCAAGGTCTTCGACAGGGACGCGCTGGCGACGCGCGTCGGCCGCCTCCGGAAGCGCGCGCACCTCGTCGCCGGCGTCGACACGTCGGGGAGCCTCGCGGGCCTCGGCGAGGCCGCGTCGGCGGTCTTCTCGTCGTCGGCGCCGACGTTCGGCGGCGTCGTCCACGCCGCGGGCGTGCTCCGCGACGCGCTCCTCCGCAAGGTCGAGCGGTGGATGGTCGACGCGGTCACGGGGCCCAAGGCGTCGAACCTCGGGGTCCTGCGGGGCCTGGCCGACGACGTCGTCCACTTCACGTCGGCGACGGTCGTCCTCGGCGGCCCGGGGCAGACGGCCTACGCGCACGGCTCCGGGGCTTTGGACGACGACGCGCTCGGCGGCCGCGCCGGCGGCCGGCGGTCGTCGGCGCTGCAGTGGCTCGCCATCGAGGGCGTGGGCATGCACCAGGAGGCCGTGGGCGCGGCGCCCCAGTGGACGCCCCTCGCGACGATGGAGCGGATCCTCGCGTCGGCCGTCGGCGGCGACGTCCGCCCGTCGCTGAGCGTGCTGCCCGAGGCCTTCCTGTCCTTCGTGCCCGCGCAGCTTCGCCGCGGGGACGGCCCGTCGAAGGCGCCCGAGCCCGAGAAGGAGGAGGAGACGACGACGACGAAGGTCGCCAAGGAGATGGTCGAGGAGGAGCGGGCGCCGCGGGCGGACGTCGGCCCGCTCGTCGAGGCGGCGTTGCGGCGGACCATCGAGGCCATCCTCGAGACCTACGACCCGGCGAACGACGACGTGCCCTTCATGGAGCTCGGCGTCGACAGCATGGGCCTCACGGATTTCGCGCACCGGCTCAACGGCGCGCTCGGCGTCGAGCTCCCGGACGTCGCGCTCTTCGAGTACCCGACGGTGTCGGACCTCCGCGGGGCGCTGATACCCATGGTCCTCGAGCTCCGGGGCGACGCGTCCGGGTACGGCCGCGACGGCGACGCCGGCGCGGTCGCGGCGCCGGCGCCGGAGCGGCCGCCGCTCGTTGCCGCGTCGCTGGCCGGCACGCTCCCCGCGGGCGACGTCGGCGCGGACGCCCCGGGCTTCTACGCGACGCTGCGCGGCGGCCGATGCGGCGTGGCGCGCTTCCCGATGGACCGCGTCCACCCGTCCCTGACGTCGACGGGCCTCGACGGCCTCGACCTGCCGCGCGCGGCGACGTACGGCGCGTTTATTCGAACCGAACGCTGGGTCGACTTCGACGGCGCCTTCTTCGGCGTCGCCGCCGCCGAGGCCACGGTCCTGGACCCGCAGCAGCGCCAGCTCCTGGAGGTGGGCTACGAGGCGCTCGAGGCCGCGGGCGTCACCAAACAAGCCGTCCGCGACGGCGCGCGGACCGTCGGCACCTTCGTCGCGCTCCAGACCGACGACTTCGCGCGCGCCATCGTCCGGAGCCCGCGGCTCGCGCGGTCGACCTACGCCGTCTCCGGCGCGAACCCGGCCGTCGCCGCCGGGCGCCTGCCGCACGCGCTCGGCCTCCGCGGCGCGGCCTTGACGGCGGACACGGCCTGCTCGACGGCGCTCGTCTGCCTCCACCTGGCGCGGCTCGGCGACGCGACGACCGATCGCCACGAGCCCGCGCTCGTCTCCGCGGTCAACGCCATGATCGACGCGTCCGTCGCGGAAGTCGTCGAGCGCGCGGGCATGCTGTCGCCGCGGGGGCGGTGCCACGCCTTCGACGGCCGCGCGGACGGCTACGCGCGCGGCGAGGGCGTCGTCGCGGTGCTGATTCGGCGGCGCGATGCCTGGGACGGCTACGCGCGCCTGCCGGCGACGAGCCTCTGGAGCGACGGGCGGACCGCGTCGATCACGGCGCCGTCGGCCGTCGCGCAGCGCGAGCTCCTGGCGCTGGCCCTCGCCCAGGCGCCCCGTTTGACCCTCACGAACGTCGAGGCGCACGGCACGGGCACGGCGCTCGGCGACCCCGTCGAGGCGGCCGCGCTCGCGGCGCACGCGGCGGCGCCCGCGAGGCTCGCGCGCGCCGTCGTGCTCCACGGCGCCAAGGCCGCCCTCGGCCACCTGGAACCGGCCGCGGGCTTCGCGGGCGTCGCCGCGCTCCTCGGCGCGGCGAGGACGCGCGCGCTGCCGCCGAACGCGGCGCTGCGGACGCTCAACGGCCAGCTCGCCGGCGCCGCGAAGAAGGCCCTGTCCGTCCCCGCGTCGGAGGCGTCGGCGACGCCCTGCTTCGACGCGGGCGACGCCGTCGTCGGCGTCGGCAGCTTCGGGTTCTCGGGCGTCGTCGCGCACGCGCGCTTCGCGCGCGACGGCGCCGCGGAGCCCGAGGCCGCGGACGACGCCGTCCGCGCCCCGAAGCGCGCGCTCTACCGCGGCCGCGCGAGCTACCCCTGGCTCGAGGTCGTCGAGCCTCTAGTCTACGGCGTCGACGCGCGCGCGGACGCCGCGCCGGACGCGGTCGGCGCGCGGGCCGCGCCGGCCGCCGCGGCGTCGAGCGCCGAGGCGCGGTTCGACGCCGCGCGCGTCAAGGCCGAGGTGCGGCGCATCGTCGGCGAGCTCTCGGGCGCGGACCTCGCCGACGGCGTCGACGCGTCCTTCGACGACGCGGGCGTCGACTCCATCGCCGCGACGGAGCTCTCGCGCGCGCTCAAGCGCGCCTTCGAGGTCGCCGTCGCGCCGGCCTTCCTCTTCGACTACCCGACCGTCGATTCAGCCGCGGACGCCATCGTCGCGCTCCTCGCGGACCAGAGCGACGGCGGCGGCGGCGGCGGCGCGGCCGAGGTCGAGGCGTCGTCGCTCCTCGCGGCCTTTGGGCCGCGGCGGCCGACGCAGCGCGGCGCCCTCTTCCTCTGGAGCGGCGGCCAGGGCGACAGCGCCATCTTCGCCCAGCTCGGCCGCGAGATCGCGCCGCACCTGCGCGTCTACGGCGTCGACCGCCGCGACGGCGCGGCCGTCGGCGACATGGCGCGCGACGTGGCGCCGCTCATCGCCGCCGCCGTGCCGGACGACGACGCGGCCTGCTTCGTCGGCGGGCTGAGCGTCGGCGGCTGGCTCGCCGTCGAGACCGCGCTGCGCCTCGCGCCGCTCGGCAAGCGCGCCGCGGCCGTCTTCGCGCTCGACGGGCCCGAGCCGTCCCAGTTCGACCTCGACTGCTCCTACGCGCCCGCCGAGGCCGCCGCGGAGCTGCTGCTGGGGCGCAACCGCCGCTTCCCGGAGGGCTGGGCGGCGATGACCGCGGACCAGCGCGTCGACGCGTTCCTCGCGCTGCTGCCGTCGCTCGGCATCCACTTCCTCGGCTACGACGCGGCCAAGGGAGATGTTGAGAACCGGGAGATTGTGAGCCACGAGCTCACCGCGGGCGCCGCGGCCTTCATCGACACGCTCCGGACGCCAGGCGTCTACGACAAGGCGACGTCGAAGCTCGACGCGGACCTCGTGCTCTTCCGCGCGTCCGAGCGCCGCGCGGTCAAGATGCTCAAGGACGGCGACGCGGCGCCCCACGGCTACGCCTGGGCGTCCGCGGGCGTCCCGAACGTCACCGTCGTCGATTGTGCTTCCCACCACATGAACGTGCTGCTCTGTCGCGGCGCGATTCGGCGGAAGGTGCTGGAGTTCGTGTTGGGTTGTGTGTAAGTTGTTGTGCTATTTTTGAGTTTCGCGAAGAGTCGGACATACGGAGAGATCCACGATGGCGATATTTGAGAAATTTTAATATTAGAGAACCCCGTCCGCGTCGTCGCCACCGAACGTCAGACGGCGCACAACGTGCCGTTCGCCGTCCCAGAGCAGCCGCAAATCGCCGTCCTCGCCGCCCGAAAGGCGCGACGACAGCGAGTGCGCGACCGCGGACCCGACGAGGCCGTAGTCGCCGTAGCGGCCGTTTTCCAACGCGTGGAAGAACTCGCCGCTACGGCTCACGCGTAGCCAGTCGGGGGCGAACCTCTGGCGCATCGTCCCGCCCCAGAGGAGCTCCTCCGCGTCCGCGTCGAACCCGCCGAAGACGACGATGACGCTCGCGTCCGCGCGCTCGTCGCCGGTGTCGGCCCGCAGCACGTTGATCTCGCCGGCGCAGCGCTGCGTCCATCGTCCGTCTCGCCGCCGTCGGAGACCGCGGTACAGGTTGTCGAGGAATTTCGGATCGCGGTAGGCCGTCGCCAGCGTGCGCGCCCTCGCCGGCTCGTCGAGGTGCACGGCTCCCGTGTGGTCTACGACGTAGCGATACGTCCGCACCGCAGACGACGAAGATCTTGCTGCCGCCCAGGCCCTTGCGCTTCGCAGGACTCGGACGGGCGGGCGAGCACCCCGGGCTCTCAGCGCGAACATCGTCGGCTGTGCGCTCTAAGAGGGTGAGCACATGGGCATGGGCATATGCCTCTGTGGCAAAAAGAGCACTTCGCTAAAGGAGCATTCAATCATGCCGTTAAACTTCATGAATCTTATAGATCAATGGTGGCTGCCCCAATTCAGAGTCGTCCCTGTCTTTGGCTGCTGCCGTCGCCGCACGATGGCCAAGTCGATGGCCGAGGACGAGCAGCGAAGCCTGTTGGAGGGCGGCGTGCTCCCCGAGAAGGTCGAGCCCCCGTCGTCTTCGTCGTCGAAGCGGTCGTGGCTCATCGCCGGCGTCGCCGGCGTCGCCGCCCTCGCCGTCGGCGGCGTGGCCCTCGCCTCGCGCGGCGCCGGCTCGGCCGACGCGCTCGCGGAGCGCGCCGCGGCCGGGGGCGTGCCCGCCGCGGCGCTGGTGGCGTCGTCGCTGCCCCCGTTGCCCGATTTCATCAAGGACTTGACGGCGGACGAGGTCGAGTTCTGCAATTGCGAATCCGAGTCCGGGCACCTCACGACCGCGTGCTGCAAGGTCGAGGTCTGGGCGGACCCCAAGGACTGCTACGACTACTGCGGCTGCGTCTGCACGGGGGACGGCGAAGCCGCGGAGTGGCTGCCCCTGACGCCGAGCGCGGCGCCGTCGACGGCCAAGCCGTCGCCGGCCCCCTCCTCCGTGCCCATCAGCAAGCCGACGGGCATGCCCGTGCCCGCGCCGACGCCCCTGCCGTCCGCCGTGCCGATCAGCCAGCCCACGGGCGTGCCGATCCCGTCGCCCACGCCGGTGCCGTCGAGCGCGCCCGAGCCCAAGCCCACGGGCGTCCCGATCCCCGCGCCGACGCCCCTGCCGTCGGGCGTGCCCGAGCCGGCGCCCACGAGCCAGCCCATGCCCATCCCGACGCGCGTGCCGATCCCCTTCCCGACGTCGGCGCCCATCCCGGTGCCGACGACGGTGCCGACGAGCGCGCCCGAACCGCGGCCGACGCACCATCCCGTGCCGGCGCCCACGGACATGCCCTACCCGCTCCCGACGACCAAGCCCACGGAGGTCCCGTCGCCGCGGCCCACCGACCACCCGACGAAGCTGCCGGAGCCCGCGCCCACGGCCGTGCCGACGCCGACGCCCACGGATCACCCGACGCCCGTGCCGACGCCGAGGCCCTCGCCCGCGCCGACGCCGACGCCGACGCCCGCGCCCACGCCCGTGCCGACGCCCCTCCCGACGGACGCGCCGACGCCGCTGCCGTCGCCCGCGCCGACGCCGACGCCGACGCCCGTCCCGACGCCCTTCCCGACGCCCCTGCCCGGCGACCCGTCTTCGGCGCCCGTCTTCGCGCCGACGCCGAAGCCGTCGGCCGCGCCGAGCCCGAAACCGTCCGCCGCGCCGAGCGCCGCGCCGACGGCGGTCCTGCTCTACAAGATGTCGGACACGACGACGTCCTGGAACGAGTGCAAGACCATCTGCACGGAGAACAAGATGATGATGCCCTGCGTGAGCACGGAGTCGCGGAACGCGCTGCTCACCGCGACGCTCGACGACGACGGCGTCGGCTCCGCGTTCATCGGCTACGAGTCGCCGTCGGACGAAGACTCGTCGGACACGTCGACCTGGGAATGGAACTCCGGCTGCGTCAACGACGGCTACACGAACTGGAACACGGACGAGCCGAACAACTATGGCGACGGCGAGGACTGCGGCGAGATCTACGCGGGGGACCACGACGGCGTGTGGAACGACATCGGCTGCGACACGACCGGGCGCTCGCACTGCTACTGCCAGGACGCGACGTTCGTGAAGTTCTCCGACGGCGCGGACTGGGAGACGTGCAGGACCACGTGCGCGAACGAGGGCTGGCAGATGCCCTGCGTCACGTCCGAGGCCCAGGACGACGCGCTCATGGGAATTTTGAGTGCCGACGGCAGCGCCCGCGCGTGGCTCGGCTACACGGCGCTCGCGTCCGACTCCACGGACCCGGCGAGCTGGGCGTGGAACGCGGGCTGCGACAGCCACTTCACGGACTGGGGCACGAGCGAGCCCAGCGACTCGGGCGGCGTCGAGGACTGCGGCGAGATCATCGTCGACTACGGCTGGGACGGCTTGTGGAACGACGTGCCCTGCACGGGCTACAACTTCCCCTGCTACTGCGAGCCGAGCGACTTCGGAGTGCCGTCGCCGGAGCCGACGCCCGCGCCGTCGCCGCGGCCCACGCCGTCGCCGACGCCCGTCCCCACGCCCCGGCCGTCCGCGGAGCCGACGCCCGTCCCCACGCCCAAGCCCTCGACGGAGCCGACGACGTCGCCGACGCCCCTGCCGACGCCGCGGCCGTCGCCCGTGCCGACGCCCAAGCCCTCGTCCGCGCCGACGACGACGCCGACGCCCAAGCCGACGACGTCGCCGACGACGTCGCCGACGCCCGTGCCGACGCCGCGGCCGTCGCACCACCCGACGGTGTCGCCGACGCCGAGCCCGACGACGGCCGAGCCGACCTCGGCGCCGACCATGGCCTGGATCGGGGCCACCCTCGCGTCCTCGGAGTGGACGACGGAGTGCGCCGAATCGGACACGACCGTCACCTACGACTACACCTTCGACGGCCACGATTCGATCTACGCCTACGACACGAGCGACGCGGACAGCATGATTCAATTCATCAGCGACGAGGTCTGGTTCGACACGAGCGTAGCCGGGTCCGTCAAGTTCGACTACTGGCTCGAGGCATCTGCCAACGTCTTCGTCACGCCGACCAAGTACGGCATGCTGCTGGTCCTCACCAGCCAGCACATGATGCTGCGCGAGACGACCAGCGACTGCTCGTACGGCGTGAGCATGGCCACCAACAGCGACGCGGCCCAGGTCGGGCAGACGTGGAACACGCTCAAGCTCGCGTGGGACGGCGCGGGGACCTACACGGGGACCTTCACGTCGGGCTCCTCGACGTACGAGGTCTCGTACACGGACTCGACCACGTACGTCGGCCCCCTGATGCTCGGCTTCGGCTACGACGCCGGCGCCAGCTACATCGCCAACGTCGAGTACGCGGGCAACATCGCGGCGCCGTCGCCCGCGCCGACGCCGTCGCCGACGCCCCTCCCGACGCCCTACCCGACGCCCCTGCCCGGCGACCCGACGGCCGCGCCCGTCTTCGCGCCGACGCCCCGGCCGACGCCCCGGCCCAGCCCGAGGCCCACGGACGTGCCGACGTCCGCGCCGACGATCGCGTGGCTCGCGCTCTCCACCTTGGAGAAGGAGTGGCTCGTCGCCTGCGAGGACTCGAGCACGGAGGTCGAGTACGACTACACCTTCGACGGCAAGAGCACGATCTACGTCGAGGACACGACGAACGACAACTTCGTCGGCTTCCAGTCCGATGACTACTACTTCTCCTCGGAGATCGCGGGGTCCGTGCGCTTCGACTTCTACGCCGAGGACAACGACATGGCCTTCGTCATGCCCTTTGGCGACGGCCCGCTCGCGGTCGCGTGGCCGGAGCAAAGCACACTCTACTGGAAGACCGGCTCCGTCGCGTCGTGCTCGGCGGGCAGCACGCTCGACACGAGCAACGACCTGAGCGCGAGCTACGGCGTCTGGAACACGTACAAGATCAACTGGGACGGCGACGGCACCATGACGCAGACGATCATCAACGATTCGGGCGACGAGTACAAGTCGTCCTACACCTTCGACGACGCCTACGTCGGCCGCCTCACGCTCGGCTTCTCCTACATGTACGGGTCGTCCTACTTCGCCAACGTCGAGATCTCCGGCTCCATCGCGTCGCCGAGCTCCGCGCCGACGACGTGGTCCTCGATGGCCGACGTCGTCTACAAGAAGCACGACTAGCGGCGCCCCCCTCCCCCCACCCCCTTTCCGTTCCCCGTCGTCGACGCCGCTCCGACGGCCATTTAACACTCCGCTAGGACCGCGGGAGCACGACGGTCTGGATCGCGCGCGCGGGGACGGACAGGGCGAACTCGGCGCCGTCGACGTCGACGACGTAGGCGCGGCTCGCGCGCGCGCGGATGAGCGCGACGAGCACGAGGCCGCCGGGCGTGTCGAAGGCGGCGGCCTCCAGCGGCGCCTCGAGGAAGGCCGACGACGTCGAGTCGACGCCGACGCGGACCGCGCCCCCGCCGAGGAAGGCTCGTGCGCAGCCCACATGCTCGTGCTAAGAACATATTATTGCTTCGACAACATCGATTGACACAACATTAGACGATTTCAGATTGGCTTTCCAACAAATTGTATCACTAAGTTTACGTCGGTATTGATGCTGTGACACGAAGTCCGCGCTCGGCTATGGACGAAAAAGTCGTCTTCACCAGCCCGTAGCTCGACGCAGGAACCGAGTCAAGAGACAACCCCCGCTGCAGCGAGGATCGGAAGCCTGTCGACGACACATTCCCCGCGGGATGTCACTCCCCAGGGTTGCGTCGCGTCGCGCACGAGGCGCCGCAAGGGGTCGGGAAAGGGTTGCTCGCGTCCCCCGCACCCTTTTCCGTCGTGTTCGAGTTCACGGAGCGTCGGGGATCGTTCGTCTATGTAGTGTGGGAGTCCCCTTTGATGCGCTCGACCATAGAGGTCGAAGACTTTGACTTCCAAGGTCTCCGCGACACGTGCGCGCACCCCGCGCCGCGCAGCACCCGGATCGGGTTCAACCGTCGCGCGAGGCTGCCCCTGGATCCCGGCAGCCAATGGGACCCCGAGCACGAGCCGCGCGGCCCCAGAGCACCGGCGCGGGGGCTCTGCGCGGCCCGGGCGCGCCATCACGAACGACTCGGCGCCGAGCAGCCCGTCCCCCGGGCGGCCCGTCGCGCTTCCAAGCCGAAGAAACGCCGGAATATGTCACCGTACATGGCCACGGCCGTGCGCAGCCCGCCAGGGTGGGCGCGGGGGCCCAACTCGCCGACTTCGGTTTGAGTTCCAGGAACTCACGCTCTTGGCATTCGATTGCCAAGAGCGCGAGTTCGCGTAACTCGGCGCCACTGCGGGAGATACATTAATTTCGATACATAATTTTTGTTTGAAGCCTCGGACAGAAGAATCTGAAATCGTCTATTGAAGGCTAACGAAAAAGTCCGCTGTTCAGTATGGGCAGCTCATACTAATAATCGGTCATGAGAGAGATCGTCGTCTTCTGCTGCCTGGCCGCCGGCGCCGCGACCGTGGACTGGCGCGCGGCGCTGGACCTCGACGAGACGCCCTACGTCCAGCGGGCGCGGTCCGCGGGCTGGCGCGCGGACCTCGCCGCGGCGCTCGACTTCGACCTCGCGAGCCTCGGGTCCGCCCACGCCCTGGCGCAGAGCCAGGTGTCCAAGGAGGGCTGGCTCGCGACGCACGCGCGCTGGGTCGAGCGGTCGCCCTGCGGCGGCGCGGCCGTCGCGGGCGCGGCGCCGGGGACCGAGCGCGCTCGCCGCGACGTCGACGGCGACGGCGTCGCCGAGGCGTTCGCGGCGGCCGTGCACCCCGTCTGCGTCGGCGACGTCGCCGTGGACGCCCACTTCGGCCACTGCGGCCTCGCGACCTGCGGCGCCGCGGCGGCGACGCGGCCCTGGACCGCGGACCTGCCGAGTCCGTACTACGCGGCGCCGCGGGCGCCGCGCAACGGCGTCGGGAGCGCCGGCGTGGCCTGCCGCCCGACGTTCCGGCCCCGGGGCCCCGTGGCGAACCCGCTCAACGGCCACCGCTACGACGTCGACGGCCGTCTCTTCGTCGTCGGCCGCGCGGTCTCGACGGACGGCGCGCCGGCGGCGTTCGCGACGGTGGAGCTCTGGCACGCGGACCCCTACGGCGTCGCGCCCTTCGGGGGCTGGACGCCCCTCGCGCGCGCCCACGCGGCCGCCGGCACGCTCCCGGCCGAGGACCACTACAGCCCCGCGCGCGACGGCACGGGCTGCCACGGCGTCGCCGTCGCGGACGCCGCCGGCCGCTTCTCGTTCGAGACCGTCAACCCCGGCGCCTACGGCCCGCCCCAGCACGTCGAGCTCCGCATCACGGGGAGCGACGCGGCGGCGCCGCTCTACACCAAGGTCTACCTCGGCGACGACCCCGAGCTCCTCCTCCTCGCGAGAGACAACCGCGCGTCGCTCGCGCTCGAGCCCCGCGTCGTCGCGCCGGGCCCGGCGCCGGGGGCGCTCCCGCGGGCCCGCGACTTCCTCGTGAACCGCACGCTCGAGCTCAACGTGACCCTCGCGCCGGCGCCGGCCGTCGCGTCGGACTTTTCGGGCCTCTGGAGCGACGGCCGGGGCTTCGTGCGAGTCGCGTCGAACGGCGCGCGCTTCGTCGCCGCCGAGGCGCCGACGGCCCGGACCTGGGGCGCCGTCACGGCGGCCCACGCGGGGCCCTACGCGCTCCGCGGCGCCGACTTCCGCGCGCCGGGCAACGCGCCCCCGGCCACGGGCGACCTGCGCTTCGCGGCCGCGGCCGCGGGCGCCGGCGACGCGATCGCGTGGAGCGACGGGTCCACGTGGACGCGCGCGCACGGGCCGGACCTGCCGACCTACCGCTACCTGCGCCTCGTCATGACCGAGTCGCTGCGGACGCGACCGGGCGGCCGCGTCGAGCTCGACGACGTCGTCGTCTACGGCGGCGTCTTAGGGCGCGCGGAGCCGCGGCGCCGCGCGCCGCCCGCGCCCTTGACGGGCCGCGCGGCGCCCGCGCCCTACCGCTGCTGGGCGTCGACGAATTCCGAGGACTGCTTCAAGGCCTTGGATGGGGACGCGAGCCCGGGCACGTCCTGGACGAGCGACGCCGTCGGCGGCTGGGCGGGCAAGCTCTCGGCGCCGCAGGTTTTGGGCTGGGACGTCGGCGCCGCGGGCGCGCTCGCGCCGACGGCGCTCGTCATCAAATGCGGCGCGCGCCACATCTCGCTGCAGAACGTCGGCGCGCTCGACTGCCCGCGCTTCTTCGTTTTGGAGGGCGCGCGCGACGGCGAGGACCCGGACGACGACGCCGCCTACGAGCCCATCTTCGAGCACCGCGTCTGGAACGCGCGGCACAACGGCGCGGAGACCTACGGCCCGGACGGCGCCGTCTTCGAGTTCGCCGCGGGGACGCGGTTTTTAGGGCGCGCCGCCGGCGAGCGCTGCGGCTCCTGCGGCGCCGACGGCGGCTGCGCGGCGGCGGGGCCGGACCGGACGTGCGCGTCGGCCTACTGCGGCGGCGACGGTCTGTGCGCGGCGTCGGCGCCGGCCTGCCCCGCGGGGTCGGAGCTCGTCGTGCGGTCGCCCGACGACTTTGGCTGCGAGGCCTGCGCCGCGGGCCGCTTCGCCGCGCCCGGGGCTTCGACGTGCAACGGGACCTGCGCGGCGGGCTTCTACTGCCCCGACGGGTCGACGGCCGCGACGGCGCGCGCCTGCGGCGGCGCGACGGTCTACTGCCCCGCGGGCAGCGCCGCGCCGCGGCCCGTGCCCGCGGGCTACTACGCCATCTTCGCGCGGAACGCGGGCGCGGCGGCCGTCGAGCGCTGCCCGCGGGGGTCCTACTGCGCCGGCGGCGTCAAGCGGCCCTGCCCGGCGGGCACCTACGGCAACGAGACGACGCTCGCCTCACCCGGCTGCTCCGCGCTCTGCCGGTCGCCGGGGTCGTCGTGCGTCGAGGGCAGCGTCGCGCCCGAGCGGTGCCCGCCGGGCACGTTCTGCCCGGGCAACGGCGCGCCCAAGTACCCCTGCCCGCCGGGCACCTACGGCGAAAAGTCCGGCCTCGTCGACGCGCGCTGCTCCGGCCCCTGCCCCGCGGGGTTCTGGTGCCCCGCGGCGTCGACGGCGCCCCGCGACGCGCCGTGCCCGCCGGGGAGTTACGGCGCGCGGCCGGGCCTGAGGGACGCGGCCTGCAGCGGCGCGTGCGAGCCCGGCTACTACTGCCCCGCCAACAGCACGTCGGCGCGCGAGAAGCCCTGCGGCGACGTCGCGTTCCTCGGCGACGGCGCGGCCGTCGCCGCGTATTGCCCCGAGGGCTCGGGCGCGCCGCGGCCCGCGGCGCCGGGCCACTACGTCGCCGGCGGGGCGCCGGGCCGCCGCGAGGCGCAGGCGGCCTGCGGGCCGGGCTTCCGCTGCGCCCGGGGCTCCCGCTACGCCTGCGAGGCGGGCACGTACCGCCGCGGCCCGGGCCTCGAGGTCGCGGGCGTCGCGGGCGCGCGCCCCGCGCCGGCGACGGGCGACGCCAGCTGCGACGCCTGCCCGCCAGGCCACTACTGCCCCCGGGGCGCGGACGCGCCCGTCCCCTGCCCGCCGGGCCGCTGGGGCAACGGCACGGGCCTCGGGTCGCCCGCGTGCGACGGCGCGTGCGACCGCGGCCACTACTGCCCGGCGGGCTCGCTCGCGCGCGACGCGCGGCCCTGCCCCGGCGGGACCTTCGGCAACACCACGGGCCTGACGACGCCGGCCTGCTCCGCGGCCTGCGTCGGCGACGCCGAGGGCCGCGGCGCCTGCGCCGTCGCGGCGTGCGAGGCGGGCTACTACTGCCCGGCGGCGTCGACGCACGGCCGCGCGCGCGAGTGCGGCGAGGGCCACTACTGCCCGCCGGGGTCCGCGAGCCCCGTGCCCGTCGCCCGGGGCATGGTCGGCGTCGGCGGCGGCGGGCCGACGACGCGCGCGGCGCAGGCCGCGTGCCCGACGTGCTGCCCGGACGGCGCGACGCGCTGCGCCGCGCCGCGCGACGCGCTCTACGCGCGCGCCTAACCTCGCCGGGACTTCCTAGACCACGCGCGGGGGCGTCCGGGGTGACCCACTCGACGTAGTAGGAGGATCACTCTCGTCGAAGCGGTCCTCTCGCGCGGGGTTCTCGAGGCTCGACTTCTTCAAAGGCTCAGATCTAGAGAACAGCTGGCGCAGGAAGTCCGCGGCGGCGCCGGGGCCGAGAAGCTCGACGAGGTCCAGGTCTGCGTCGAGGAACTCCGCGGCCTCGAAGTAGCGCGCGATGGCGAGGCCCGCGGCGAGCGCGCCCGCCGCGGACGTCGCGCGGCCCCTAGCAGAGGGGCGAGAAGCCGTAGTTCTCGGCGTGGATCATCTGCATGATGCCGTTGTAGGCCGTGAGCACGAGCCTCAGGAGCGGCTAGCGCAGCTCGGCCCCTCTATCGTCGTCGTCCTCGCCCAGCTTGATGCGGCGCCACGGCGGCGCGGCCGCGTCGGCGTCGTCCGAGAGGTAGTCGTCGTCGACGACGGCGTCGTCCGAGAAGTGGATGATTTTGTGGACTTCGTCGAGCCAGCCCGAGCCCGGCGGGGGGGGCGCGTCCGCGAGGTCCTCCGCGACGTCCCGCCCGGAGCCGCGGACGACCTCGAGCAGGCCGTCCATGACGTCGTGGTAGCCGAGCCAGAGGCGCGCCGCGTCGCCGTCGCGCCCCGGCGTGCCCGCCCGTTCCTCGGCGGCGGCGCGGGTCACGGCCCAGCCGTCGCGGTACCCCAGGAGTTTCCGCTCGACCGCCGCCGCGATCTCGGCGCCGGCCCGCCACTCGTCCTCGGCTTTCGGCCGCGGCGGTTTGTCGTAGCCGCGTTCTACGATGACGGTGCCCGCTTCCATCAGCACGAGCCACATGAACTTGTCGCCGAAATGCTTCGCGGCGGCGACGAGGCCGACGCGCCGCGACTCGCCGGCGTCGCTGGGGCCCGGGAGGCGCAGCTTGTCGTGCCGGTCGTAGTCGTCCGTCGCCAGCTCGTCGCAGCACGCGGCGGGGCCCGTCGCCCGCGAGCAGACGCCCGCGACGTCGAGCGTGACGCCGTACTCGACGTAGTTGTTGTCGAAGCTGTCCATTTCCAAGTCGCGCACGAGCTCGTCGCCCGCGACGTAGTCGCGCCAGCCCGTGAGGACCTCGACGTGGCCGCCGAACGGGTCGTCGTTGTGCCAGTCCTTGGAGAAGACCCAGTCGCAATTGTTCTGGATCTCGTAGTCCGCGTCTTCGCCGAAGTAATCGCCGTCGTAGCCATCCGGATTGGCCGAAGTAATCATGCGGATCGGCGCGAGGTTGAAGAGGTCGATGATGGGCACGTGCGCGAAGCGGTCGCCGACCTCGTCCTCCTCGTCGTCGGCGTCGAAGATGTCCGGGCGCGACGCGCGCGACCGCAGCACGAGCGCCGCGAGGCGGAAGTCGTCGAAGGACGCCGCCTCCGCGAGCGCGGGAAAGTTCTCCTCGATCTTCTCCCAGCCCCGTCGGAGCGACTCGCGGACGTCGGCGGCGTACTTTCGCGCGCCGAGGGGCAACGCGTCGAGGTCGTCCTCGCTCCACGCCGGCGCGAACCGCGCCGCGTCCCGCTCCACGGGGTCGACGGCCGCGCGCCAGTACGCGTGGAACGCGTCGATGCCGTCGCCCGCGAGCTCGTCGTGCGCCCCCATGACGACCTCCGCCGCCATCTCCATCTCGGAGCAGAGGGACACGTCCTGGTGTTTGGAGGCGTACGCGTCGGGCCGATCCGAGCAGAGCTCGAAGCCGTCGACGCCGCGCCGCCGCACGGCCATGCGCGCGTCGAACGCGGAGAACGTGCAGCGCCGCGGGATCCGCGCGAGGACCGTGTCGGGAGGGAAGTCCTCGACGGCGTAGAGGCCGTAGCGGAAACGCGGCGGCCGCGCGGCGCCGCCCTCGACCTCGCGCATGCGCAGGGACGGGTGGAGCACGCCGCCGTGCGGCGCGCAGTACTCCTCGAACCACTCGACGATGGCGTCCCACTTCAGCTCGCCGCCGCTTTCTTGGGCCGCCGTCACGGCGAAGAGAAGGAGGAGAGGTCGCCACATGTTTTATTGCGGCGGTCGACGACCCACGCCGAGGAGAAGGACCGGGCCCACGACGAGCACCGCAAGAAGCACAACGATGCCTTGGAAGACCACGCCGCGCGTTCGACGCGGGGGCCGGAGAGCTTGCTAGTTGAGAGCTTCGATAGAGCACAGGTGCAATCGGGCGTGCCACAAGTCGACTCGCTGAATGCCGCAAGGCCAGCAAGCCATCGAGTCGATTCGAGAACACCTTCGAGCCCGCGGGAGTCTCCCGAACAGTGCGCATAAACCTCGACGCACACATGTCCCGTCGCGCCGCCGACCGGGAACCCGACTACTACACAAAAATCCACTTAAGCGTGGCGCGCGCTCGCGGATCCGTCCATGAGGGACGCGCGGTCGAGGTAGGTGAGGTAGTAGACGGCGAACGCGCTCTTGAACTCGGTCCAGGAGACGGCGTCGTTGCCGTCGGCGTCGAGCTCGTCCATGATGTTGTCGACCATGACGTCGAAGGCCGCGCCGCGCTGGCCGATCTTCGAGCAGGTGCGGAGGAACAGGTTCTTGAGCTCGGCGCGGCAGAGTCTCCCGTCGCCGTCCTCGTCGACGGCGTCGAAGCCCTCGCGGAGCGCGGCGTCGTCGAAGGTCGCGATGCCGAGGAAGCTCAGCGCGTCCGGCGAGAAGAAGGCGTCCTCGAGCGCCTCGGCCTCGGCGCCGCGGACGGCGCGGCGGAACTCGTCCCACTCGATGACGCCGTCGTGGTTCTCGTCGATGCCGCGCGCGGTCCAGAGCATCCGCAGCCGCATCGCGTAGGACAGCGGGCCCGCGCCGAAGCCGTAGGCCCGCGCGAGCGTCGACGCGAAGTCGCCCGTGGGGATGCCCGCCGCGCCGTCCGCGAGGCCGTCGAAGGCGCGCTTGAGCTCGTCGTCGTCGAGCGACTCGTCGACGAGCTTCCCCAGGGGCCGCTCCGCGAAGGTCGCGAGGCGCCGCGCCGGCCGCGCCAGCCCCCCGGGGGTCGGACCGGGCTGATTTTCGAAGACGGGCCTCAGCGAGCCAAGGGGCTGCGGCCGCGCGGCGCGGGATGGCGAGTCGTGCCGGCGGATGACGGCGGTCGCCAGGGGCCGCCGGCCCGCGGGACGCCGCGCCGCCGCGGCGGGTTGCCGGCCCGCGACCCGCGCTGCGGCATGCAAGAGTGCCAACAAACGCCTGGTTCACTGTGCAGGGAAGTTGCAGCGCCGAGCGCATCGGCATGGCGACGCGTCCTCGTGGACGAAATCCGACGCGCGACGGCGCGCGACGCCGCCGCGGCGGCGCCCCGGTCGCCGCTGTGCCAATGCACGCGCTCGTCCTCGCCGCGCTGCTGCTGCGGAGCACCGCGCTCGCACCGGTCGCGAGCCGCCGCGGAATGTGCGAGCGAGCCGGCGCCGCTGCAGCGGCGGCCTGGACCGCCGCGCGCCCCCGGAGCGCCGCCGCCGCCGCGCCGCCGCTCTGCGACGAGGCCGTGAGCGCGCTCGCGAACGGCAAGAGCACGGTCTACCTCGTCGGGACCGCCCACGTCTCGGACGTCTCCGCGCGGCTTGTCGCGGAGACGATCGACGCCGTGCGGCCGACGCTCGTCATGGTCGAGCTCGACGGCAAGCGCGTCCAGGGCTTCGGCGGCGAGGCGCCCGGCCCCGCGACGCCGCTCGCGCCGGCGCCCGTCGGCCAGCGGCTCGGCGCGTTCGTCGTCGGCGCGGTGCTGCGGTCGCTCTACAAGTCGCTCGAGCGCCTCGGCCTCGACACGGGCGAGGAGTTCGCGGTCGCGCTGCGCAAGGCGCGGAGCGCCGGCGTCCCCGTTCTCCTCGCGGACCGCGACGTCGACGAGACGCTGCGGCTCGTCGGCGACGCCGTCAGGAAGACGACGTCCAAGGACCTCGAGAACTTCGAGGCGGCGCTGTCGCCGGCGCTCGCGGGCGACCTGACGCGCGCGGTCGACGTCGCGAGCCGCGACAGCGTCGCGTCGACGGTCGAGCTCGTCAAGAAGCGCGAGACCGTGCGGACCATCGTCGCCGCGCTCGAGGCCAACGCGCCCGCGCTCTACGACGCGCTCGTCGACTCCCGCGACGCCTACATGGCCGCGAGCCTCCTCGACCGCCTCGGCGCCGCGGGCCCGGGCCAGCGCGTCGTCGCCGTCGTCGGCATGGCCCACGAGGACGGCATCGCCCGGCGCCTCGCCGCGCGCGGCTTCGCGCCGGCGCCGCGGAGGGCCCTCGCGTGCGCCGGGGGGTAAGGAGTCCAGTTTATCGGCACGTGACGCCCGTTTTAAAACTTCACTTAAAACTTAACCAATCCGCCTAGCCAGTTCTTTCTGGAGGTGAACAAGCGAATCTTGTACACGGGCGCCGCGTTTCATAGGCGACACCTCACGAGTTCTCGGCTTTTCGGGCAGCGCCGCGGCGCTTCCGCGCCGCTCCCGGCAGCATGGCGCTCAGCAAGAGCCGCCTGAGCCAGTGGCTGCTGCCGCGGCATCTGAGCGTGCGCACCTTCGACGGCGACGGCGACTACGACGAGGACGCGGGCGAGCTGCTGCCGGCGCCGCGGCTGTCCGTCGCCGCGGCGCAGGCCGTGCCCGTGGCGGCGCTCGCCGGCGTCCTCGCGCGCGAAGACGTCGAGGCCGTCGCGGCGCTGGCGGCGCGGCTGAAGCGGACGCGGCCCGACGCGCGCCAGTGCAACGGCGGCGCGTGGACGACGGTCTACCTCAGCTGCGGCCGGGCCTTCCAGCGCGAGCTGCCCGCGCTGGCGAGTCGCCTCGTGCGCGCGGCGAAGCGAGCGGCGGCGGACCAGATGGGCCTCGACCTCCGCGGCGTCGACCTCCGCGTCCGCTGCGTCGAGCACCACGAGATGGCCGCCGGCGGCGCGCTCGCCGACGAGTGCCACTACGACAGCGGCTCCGTGCTCACCATCGACGTCATGCTCGCGGCGCCGGGCGACGACTTCGACGGCGGCGCGCTCTGGTTCCCGGGCGCCGGCGGCGCGCGCGCGGCCGGGCTCGCGCGCCGCGGCGACGCCGTCGTCTTCGCGAGCCACCGCTACCACGCCGTGCGGCCCGTGGAGGCGGGCACGCGCCGCGTCCTCATCGTCGAGCTCTGGGAGGGGCCCGAGCGCGGCTGCCCGCACCGCTGCCAGAGCGCGACCGCGCCCTGCGTCTTCGACGACGTCGGCTCGCCCGCGGCGGCCGGGCCCCGGAAGCGGTTCTCCTGGCCGCCGCGGCGAGGGGCGGGGCGGGTCCACTCGGCGGCCGAGTAACCGCCGTTATAGCGCACGCTGCGCCTTCCCTGTAATTCGCAACTCGTAGAGTAACATATCCCGCCGGCGGGCGGGCCCCAGTCGCCGCACTCGCGCGTCGCCGTCTCCGCCGTGGGCGGCGCGGAGCGCTCGCCGCAGCCCTCGAGGAAGAACGCCAGCGCGCCGCCGGGCCTGAGGAGCCGCCGCGCCTCCGCGAAGAAGGTAGAGTCGGCGACGTCCGGGAAGGCGTCGTAGAGCACGCCGTCGAACTGGCCGGACCGGAGGAGCGGCGCGTTCTCCTCCCAGAAGCCCAGGAACGGCGACGCCGACGCCGCCGTCTCCAGCGCGAGGCCGAGCGCCGCGTCGAAGACGCCCCGGTTCGGCTCGAGGACGACGTACTGCGCGGCGCCCGCGCGGAGGATCTCGCGCGCGGAGATGCCCATGCCGAAGCCGACCTCGAGCACGCGCGCGCGCGGCCGGCTCGCGACGCGCGCGAGCGCCTCCACGTAGACCGTCTCGTCGGCGGCCATGACGACCTCGCCGCGGAAACGCAGCACCTCGTCCGTCGACTCGAAGGTCGCGCCGCGCCAGGCGCCGTGGTCCGTCACCGTATGGAAGAGCTCGAGTTCCCGGTCGTCGGGGATGACGCGGCCGTTGCCGCAGGCGCCGCCGTCGGCGACGGTCGCCGCGGCGTCTTCGCCGCCGCCGACGACGATGGTCGTGGCAACCGCGAGGAATGCGCGCATGCATGCTGCCCGATGCAAAAGCATCGCAGGGTTCAAGAGGCTTCATTGATTTGATATTGTTAAACCGATTCACGTTGAACGTTAACTTCGACGCTGTCGCTGCACACTGGTTTTGCGCGAGGGGGCGCGCGTCGGAGGCGCGGCAAAGGCCTCCCTGACCCAGTCCCCGCACCTCCGCCCAATATGACATATTTTTCCGCACCTCACTGCTCTCCATAGCCCTCCTCCCCGTGTAAAACGAGTCGGACAGTTATTGCGTGCGCGAAGCTTTAGCTGTGGTTATCATCGTAGCATGGTCTCCGCGTCGTCGCTCGCGTCGTCGGGGAGGGGGCCGAGGATCGCGGCCGCGACGCGTTCCTGCCAGTCGTTGCCGGAATAGAGCTTCTGGAACGGGTTCCGCCAGACGATCGAGTCCTCGACCTCGACGACGGAACCCGCGAAGATGTAGGTCGCCGGAGCAAGCGTCCACGTCTTCTTCCGCGTCCACGTCTTCTTCCGCGGCGGCAGCGGCGGCGGCGCGCGCGGCGGGTCCTCGATCGCCGCCGCGAGCGGCGGCGGCGGCGGCGGCGCGGCCGGCGGCGGCCTCGACGCGCGCGGCGGCGGCGCGCAGCAGACCTCGCAGCACGGCTTCCAGAAGAGGTAGAGCAGGAGGGGCAGCACGAGGAACAGGTTCAGGAACGAGATGCCCGAGCCCGCGCAGACGTCCTCGGACGTCTCGGACGTCGACGACACGGAGACGAGGTCGATCTCGCCCCGCAGCGAGGCCATGAGGGAGCTCGCCGACGCCCGGAGCGCCTCGAAGGAGTCCTCGACGACCGCGTAGGGGCACGCCGCGTCCTCGGCGTAGCAGGAGCTCAGCGCGTAGAGCTCGTCGACGAACGCGCCGTCCGTGTCCTCCGCGACGAGGATGTTCTGGATGCGGAGCCCCCGCGCCTTGAGGTCCCCCGCGATGGCGGCGGCCGTGCAGTTGCCGAGGCCCCGCTCGCCGCAGTACTCGCGCGGCCGCCCGTGGAGCGGCTCGTAGTCGTAGGCGTCGGAGAAGACGCCGTCCGACAGGATCGTGCAGAGCTCGAAGACGCCGGACGCGTTGCGCGTCGCGTTGAAGACCGCGTCGTGGCACACTAAGAGGGCCATGGAGTAGTAGGTGCCGCCGCCGAGGTCCGTCGCGTACTCGAGGGCCTCGACGGCCGCGGCGACGGCGGCCGCGTCCGACGACGAATCCACGGTGTGCGCGTAGTACGTCGCCCACTGCCCCGCGCCGACCTCGTAGCGGCTCAGGTTCCGCGCGAGCGCGTCGACGAGCGTGCCCGCGGCCGCGAGCTCGTCGCCCCACAGGTTGTCGTACCAGTCGATGGAGCCCGAGTTGTCGATCATGACCGTGTGGCGCACGGGCGCGTACTCGTAGCGCGTCGACGTCGTCGTCGAATGCTTCGTCTCCGTGTCGCAGGGCTCGAAGAGCAGCGCGATCGAGAGCGCCGCGCCGACGAGCGCGACCGCGACGAGGAGCATGAAGCACCAGTTCCTCCGGCGCCACCGCGCCCACGCCTTGCGCTTCGAGTAGCGGTCGTAGTGGTGGCGCCGGTCGCGCTTGATCGCCGCGTTCGTCGCGATCCGGCACGGGCCGTCGCGGTCGGAGATGCCGACGAGCTCCATCTCGCTGGTCGCCGGAACCAGCGCGCTCGTCGGCCCGTCTCGCAGCCGCGGCGCGCTCGCCGGCCGCGACGGCAGCGGCGGCGGGGCGGGCGCGCTCGCCGGCCGCGATGGTAGCGGCGGTACGGCGGGTACGCTCGCCGGCCGCGATGGCAGCGGCGGTACGGCGGGTACGCTCGCCGGCCGCGCGGGCAGCGGCGGTGCGCCAGGGTTGCTCGCGGACAGCGGCGGTGCTGCGGGCTCCTCTGCCTTGATGATGTAGTTGCTTGGAAAGACGCCTTCCGCGCCGCCGCACTCGCCTCGGAACCAACTAGGGTCGCTGTCGTCCGTGACGAGAATGCAATCACCAGCCTTGAATCCAAGCTCGTCGTCGGCATCGGGCGCGCAATCGTATAGAGCTGTAGCTCTCCAGCCCATCTTTCTTAATGCGACTCTAAACGTAAAGATGAAGGCGCGGGAGGTCGGAAGGCTCCAGGGCGTCTCAAATGCGCGGGAGACGACCGCCCATCAGGAAGATGCCCAGCGCGCCAGAACTTCAATAAAAAGAGTTGCCGAGGCATTTTGAACCCTCGAAATACTCGATCGAGGTGTGGGTCTCTTACGCGCCTGCCCGAAGCGCACGCCCGCGCGCCGGCCACGTCGATAGTCGCAGCCGTCCCGCCTGCCAGCGCGTCGTCTGAACATAGCGCATCGGCGCCAGCGCCAAAAAAAAGCTGCGCCATGGCGTCGTACACCGCCGCGGAGCTGAGCGACTTCTGCGTCAAAAAAACAAAAATGAGATGCAAGGCTTACGACGGCGGCCCGGAGTACGCGAAGCCGATGTACATCCACGGCGTCTTCCCGAACGGCGAGGTGTCGTTGGGCTTTAAACGAGGCAAGGGCGGCTACTACGACCCCGCGCTCTTCTCCGACGTCCTCGCGCCGTACGACGCGGAGCCGGCGGCCGCGGCGGCCGCGGCCGCGCCCGAGCCGGACGCGCCCGACGACGCGGCCCCGGTCATCGCGGACCGGACGTGCGCGGTCATGGACGCCTGCGGCTGGTGGGCCGATTGCCAGAACCAGCACTCGTCGACGGACGCGGCGCTGCTGGAGCTGCTCGACAACGTCGACGACGAGGCGCCCACGCGCTTCGAGGCCGCCGTCCGCCGGCTCGGGGCGGATCGCCTGGGCCTCGGCCTGCGCAACGACGTGCGCGGCCCGGAGGTCGCGCGCGTCGACCAGGCGGTGACGCTCGCGCGTTCGCTGAAGCGCGGCCGCGACCACTCGCAGCTCATCGGCGAGAACGGCGTCGGCCTCAAGGCCGCGGCGGCGAAGTTGGGCGCCTGCGCCTTCGCGCTCAGCGTCCATCCGGCGCAGATCGGCGAGCAGATCCGGCGGGAGGACGGCGTCGCGGAGGCCGCGCCGCTCGGCAGCGCGGTGTTCACCGTCGGCGTGCTCGCCCGGTCCCTGCAGGAGCACGGCCAGGCGCCGTGTCTGCCCGTGTGCAGCTTCTTCTCCGCCCTCGCGGCGGGTGACATCGCCGCGGCGTGGCGGAGCGCCAAGGGCCGGCCCGCGGGCAAGCTCGTCGAGAAGGTCGCCGAGGAGCAGGGCTTTTCGGTCGCGGAGGCCTGTCGCGAGCTCGGCGCCTTCTGCCTCGACGACGCCGGCGCGCCGCGCGACGCGTCGCGGCCGTCGGCCTTTGAGGTCGTGCTCGCGGAGACGGCCCTGCCGGCGCACGACCTCGCGGGCCGCCTCAAGGAGCTGCTCCGCGGGCCGACGTACTTTGAGCGCGGCTACGAGGCTGTCGCCGTCGACCCGAGCGGCTCGGAGACGGTGGCGCCCCACAGCCTGCTCGCGACCCTGCTCGAGCCCGCGCGCCGCGAGATCAAAGTCGGCCCGGCGGACGACGACGTCGTGACCGTGCTCGTCGGCTTTTGTTTGGCGCCGGCGGACGTCGCGGCGGCCGCGCGGCCGAGCCCGCTCCTCGTCTACACATGCGGCCGGCTCGTGGAGCGCCACGACGACTGGCGCCTGGCGCTCGATCTCCAGGAACTGACGCAGCGCGCGTATCGCAAGGAGTACGCCTTCGGCCTCACCGTCGTCATCATTGACGAGAAGAAGGTCCTGGAGAAGACGCACACGAAGCAGCAGATCGTCGACGACGAGGCGTACCGCGCGGCCAAGAACGCCGCGGCGCGCTTCGCCGCGAGCTACTACGTCGCGTTCCACAAGCGGACGTGGGTCGGCGGGGGCGGAACGGGGATGCGACTCGATATCGCGACGCACCTGGCCTACACGCTCGACACCTGCGCGGACCGCGCCGCGGAGCGCGAGCCGCTGGACCCGCCGCGGCTGCGCGACGCGAACCTCGTCTCCTTCGACGGCACCTCTTTTGGTCTCGAGGACGCGAGCCGGCCCGGCGACGTCCTGCGCGTCGCCGCGCTGCTTCGTCCCGCCGCGTCGGGCGACGAGCACGCGGCGGAGCCGGCGTTCCCGCCGCGGCCGACGGCGCTCGCGATCGAGGCGCGGCCGCCGCCTCGCGCCGCGGCGCGGCCTCGGCTCATCACCGCGGCGCCGCAGGCCGTCGCCACGGCGGCGTGCTTCGGCGTCGGCACGGAGTGCGAGGCGAAGTTCCGCGGCCAGGACTACTACGCCGCGCGCGTCGTCGACTGCCGCTGGATGAGCGTCGACGACCTGCGGGCCCACATGCCGAATCGCGGTCCCTACACTTCCGCCCGTGCCGTCTTCGCCGTGCGCTTCGCGGAGTCGGGCACCACGGAGCCCGGCCTCTTCGAGGAGGACCTGCGGCAGCCGTCGGCGAAGCGCCAGCGCAGGGCGACGGACCGCCTCGTCGCGGCGCCCGCGCCCGCGGAGCCGCCGCGGCCGGCGAAGCGCGCCAAGCCCGCCGCGCCGAAGGCCAAGGCCGCGCCCAAGGCCAAGCAGCCGCCGAAGAAGGCCGCGCCCAAGGCCGCGCCCAGGGCCGCGCCGCCGCCCGCCGACGACGGCCTCGCGGACCTGAGGCGCGAGCTCCTGCGCCTCGAGTCGGCGTCGCCCGCGCCGATCGTCACGGCCGCGTGGCGCGGCGCGCGCGAGGCTTGGGTCCGCGCCGTGCGCACCGCGAAGTCCCCCCGCGCCGTCCTCGACCTCGCGGTGACCTTCGAGCGCGACGCCTGGATCGACGCGGCCAAGTTCGAGACCTGGCGCGGCACGGAGCGCGGCGCCGAGAGCCGCCGCGCTGGCGTCTGCGCGGGCGTGTCGCGCGCCGAGTGGCTCGCTTCGATCCGCGACCTCGGCGACGACCCGGACGCGGCCGACGCCGCCGCGCGGCTCCGGGAGCTCGAGGACTTCTCCGGCGACGGAACCGCGCGCGCGCCGCCCGCTCTCCCCGACGCGTCCGTCGACGGCGTGGCCGCCGACGACGTCCGCGCGCTCTGCGCGCTCCTGCCGACGCGGCAGCAGGCCCTCGACCCGCTCCACGCCATGCGCTTCCCGGGCCTCGGCGCGCCGGTGCTCGTCGCCGACGTGTCGACGTGGCAGCTCCGCGCGGCGGCCTTCGCGGCGGCCTCCGGCGAAGCCGTCGTCGCGCGGCGCGGCCCGCCGGAGAAGCGGCTCCGCGTCGCCGAGGGCGTGAAGAAAGTGGTGCACGTCTCCGCGTCGGACGGCGACGACGCCGTCACGCTCAAGCGCCTCGCGAGCGACCTGATCCACGTCGTCGCCGTCGACGCTGCGGACCCGCGCGGCGGCCTCGTCGGGCAGTCCAAGGCCATCGCGAAGATCGACGTCGCGAAGCACGAGGTCATCGGCGCCTACGCGGGCCGCCTGTGGACGGACGACACGTTCCGGCAGGCGCGCGGCCACTCGATTCCCGGAATGATCGAGCACGAACGCTACTCCTACGACCTCTTCGACGGCGACGACGCCATGATCGTCGACCCCTGGCCCGGCCTCAACGAGCCCATCGTCGGCGGCGAGCTCATGGCCATCAACGACTGCCGCGTCGATCCGCTCGAGGGCAACGCGGGCCAGAACCGCTACAACTGCGAGTTCGCCGAGGTGCACATCCGCGGCTTCCCCCACCTCTTCGTCGTCGCGACCGCGACCATCGCAAAAGGCGAGGAGCTCTTGATCGACTACGGCCCGGCGTACTGGAACGGCCGCCGCGCGCTCGAGAAGTACCTCGTCACCTTCCGCGAGTGCCACCCGCCCGAGAAGCTCGAGCGCCTCCGCCGCGCGCTCACCGCTCCGCGCGCCGAGTAAGGACTCACCAGTGTGCACTGTGGCTCCGCTCGCCTGGATGCGTCTCTAAAACGCCTTCTAAACGTAGGGGGGCCGGGAGGCGTCCCGGGGAAACCTCAGGCTGTCGCGTCCGCTCGCCGATCGGCTCGTGCGGGCTCCGAGCCGAGTGAGAAGCTGTGGATTCGCTCTCCGCGCGAGACACTGAGCGAGTCGAAGCGTTGTGGAAGAGCTCTCCGGGGCCGAGCGAGTCGCCATGCCGTACACCGAGGCCCAGCTCTCGGAATTGTGCTCGAAGAAGACGAAGTTGCGATGCAAAAAGGAAGACGACGGCGACGAGTACAAGCAGGGCATGTACATCCACGCCGTCTACCCGAACGGCGAGTGCTCCCTCGGCTACAAGCGGGGCCGCGGCGGCTACTTCGAGGCGGTCCGCTGGACGGACGTCGTCGCGCCCTGGGACCTCGCGGACGAGCCGGCGCCCGACGCGGCCGAGCCGGCGGCCGACGCGGCCGCGCCCGACGAAACCGACGACGACGCGGCGGTCATCGCGGACCGCACGTGCGCGGTCATGGACGCCGTCGGATTCTGGCACGACTGCCGGAACCAGCACTCGTCCGTCGACGCGGCGCTCCTCGAGTTGCTCGATAACGTCGCGGACGAGCAGGCGACGCGCTGCGAGATCTCCGTGCGCGCGGTCGACGGCGGCCGGAGCCTCGCCGTCGGCCTCCGCAACGACGTCCGCGGGCCCGAGGTCGCGCGCGTCGACCAGGCGCTCACGCTCGCGCAGTCGCTCAAGCGCGCGCGCGAACACGGACGGCTCATCGGCGAGAACGGCGTCGGCCTCAAGGCGGCCGCGGCGAAGCTGGGGAACAGCGCGGTCGTGCTATCCGTCCACCCGGCGCAGTCCGACTCGCGGATCCGCCGCGAGGACGGCGCGACGGAGCGCGTGCCCCTGGGGAGCGTCGTCTTCACCGTCGGCGTCCTCGCGGAGCAGCTCCAGAAACGCGGCCACGCGCCGAGCCTGCCGCTGTGCTCGTTTCACGCGCCCGGCGCGTGCGACGCGAAGAAGGGATCGCGCGCCAAGGCCGTCGCCGCGGCGTGGCGGGGCGCCAAAAGCCGACCGGCGGGGAAGCTCGTCGAGAAGGTGGCCAAGGCGCAGGGCCTGGCGGTCGCGGAGGCGTGCTGCGACCTCGCCGCGTTCTGCCTCGACGACGCCGGCGCGCCGCGCGACGCGTCGCGGCCGTCGGCCTTCGAAGTGATTCTCGCGGAGACGGCCCTGCCGGCCCACGACCTCGCGGGCCGCCTCAAGGGCTTGCTCCGCGGGCCGACGTACCTCGAGCGCGGCTACGCGGCCGTCGCCGTCGACCCGAGCGGGTCGGAGACGGTGGCGCCGCACAGCTTGCTCCGCACTCTACTCGAGCCCGCGCGCGCGGAGGTCAAAGTCGGCCCGACGGACGACGACGTCGTGACGGTGCTCGCCGGCTTTTCCATTTCGCCGGCGGACGTCGCGGCGGCCACGCGGCCGAGCCCGCTCCTCGTCTACACTTGCGGCCGCCTCGTGGAGCGCCACGACGACTGGCGCCTCGCGCTCGACCTCGAGGGACTACTACGCATGCGCGCGATTCGCAAGGAGTACTCGTATGGCCTAACGGTCGTCATCATCGACAGCACTAAGGTCCTGAAGAAGACCCACACGAAGCAGCAGATCGTCGACAACGAGGCGTTCCGCGCGGCGAAAGAAGCGGCGGCGCGCTTCGCCACGGACTACTACGTCGCGGTCCACAAAGCGACATGGGGCGGGGGGCCCTGGCGCCTCGACATCGCCACGAGCCTCGTGCACTACCTTGACGAGTGCGCGGACCGCGCCGCGGAGCGCGAGCCGTTGGACCCGCCGCGCCTGCGCGACGCGAACCTCGTCGCGCTCGATCGAGGCGCGGCGAAGCTCGTCGCCGAGGACCCGAGCCGGCCCTGCGACGCCATGCGCCTCGAGGCGCTCTTCCACGCGGACCGCGACGGGGCCCGCCGCCCCCGCCGCGGCGGCGCGCCCGAGCAGCCCCAAAAGGCGCGGCCGCCGCCGCGCGCCGCCGCCGTCGCGGCCGCGGCGCCGATCGTGGCGCCCGAGAGCGTCGCCGCCGCGGCGCGCTTCGGCGTCGGCACGGTCGTCGACGCGCTCTTTCGGGGCTGCGACTGGTACGCGGCGATCGTCACGTCCTACGAGTGGCTGGGCAAGGAGGCGCTCGAGCGCCAGATCCCCGCGGGCGGGCCCTACGCCGGCGCCAAAGCCGTCTACGCCGTCCGCTACCTCGACGGCTCGGGCTCCGACAGCTGCCTCTTCGAGGAGTCGCTGCGCCTGCCGAACGCGCAAGGCAAGCGGGCGCGTGTCGAGCCGCGGCGCCTCGTCGCGGAAGACGAGGCGGCCTGGACGCCGCCGAGCTGGGGCTCGAAGGGGCCGCCGCAGAAAAAGGCGAAGAAGAAGGCGCCCGCGCCGAGAAAGGCCGCGCCGAAGCCCAGCGCCGGCGACGACGACGACCTCGACGCGCTCAAGCGCGAGCTTTTGGACATCGAGGCCAACGGCGTCGCGGCCATCGTCAAGCCCGCCTGGCGCGCGTCGCGCGACGAGTGGGTCCTCGACGTCCGCGACGCGCGGTCGCCGCGGTCCATCCTCGAGCTCGCGAAAGTCTTCGAGCGCGACGGCTGGGCCGACGAGGCCAAGTTCGCGACGTGGCTCGGCGACGCGGCCGCGCTCCAGCGCAAGGCCGCGGGCGACTGCCCGGGCATGTCGCGCGCGGAATGGCTCGCCAAAGTCCAGAGGCTCTTCGACGCGCCGGGGTGCGTCGCGGCCGCGGCCGCGGAGGAGTCGCTCCGCGAGCTCGACTTCTACTTCTCCGACGGCGCCGTCGCGCGGACGGCCGCGCCGCCGCCGCCGGCGACGGGCGCGTCCGTCGACGGCCTCGCGCCGGGCGACGCCGAGGCGCTCGCCGCGCTCCTGCCCGCGCGGCGGCTCGGCGACGCGCTCCACGCCGCGCGGTTCCCGGGGCTCCGGTCGCCGCTCTTCGTCGCCGACGCGGCCTCGGACCGGCTCCGGGCCTTCGCCTTCGCGTCGCGCGCTCCCGCGGCGTCCGGCGACGACGTCGTCCTGAAGCGCGGGCCGCCGGAGAAGCGGCGCCGCGTCGTCGAGGGCGTCAAGCAATGCGTGCACGTCGACGCGAGCGCCGGCGGCGACGACGCCGTCACGCTGAAGCGGTCGGCCTCCGACTGCATCGACGTGAAAGCCGTCGGGGCGTCCGACCCGCGCGTGGGCCTCCGGGGCCAGTCGAAGGCCGTCGCGAAGCGCGAGCTCGCGGAGTTCGACGTCGTCGGCGCCTACTCCGGCCGCCTCTTCACGAACGACGCGTTCCGCCAGAAGCGCGGGGGCAGCCTGCCGGGATTCATCGAGCACGAGCGCTACTCCTACGACCTCTTCCTCAAGGACGGCGACGACGCGACGCACGCGACGCACCTCGTCATCGACCCCTGGCCCGGCCGCGACGAGGACACCGCCGGCGGCCCGCTCATGGCCATCAACGACTGCCGCGCCGACCCGCTCGCGAGCAACGCGGGCCAGAGCCGCTACAACTGCGAGTTCTGCGAGGTCGAGATCCGCGGCTTCCCCTACCTCTTCGTCGTCGCGTCCACCGACATCGCCAAGGGCGCGGAGCTGCTCATCGACTACGGCCAGGAGTACTGGGTCCACCGCCGCGCGATCGAGAAGTACCTCGCGACCTTCCGCATGCACCACCCGCCGGAGAAGCTCGAGCGCCTCCGCCGCGTGCTCACCGCGCCGCGCGACTAAAGTTCTTAGAGGAACATGGCGACCTCGCGGAAGACGGGTGCGGGGATGGCATCATAGAGGAATGCGTAGAGGCGCGCGTCGGCGAATTCTCCAGTCGCTTGGGGCACGATGGCGCGGTCCGCGGTGACGAGGGCGCGGATCAGGGCATGCGGGGAGCGGCGCGCCATGTTGCTCTGGCGCCGGAAGAAGCGCGGTTTGGTGATTCCGTCTCCGAGACGCGATCTGTCCATTCCCGGGTCTTTCGCCGCGGCCGGACAGCACGGGCAAAGACGTACTCCCAGGCGCGTCGACGGCCAGAGCGCGCGGGCCGCGACGGACGAGCTCGTGAGCTCCGCGGCCGCGGCCTCTAGCCGCGGCCGCCGGACGGCGTCCGTCTCGCGGACGACGCCGACGCCGAAGCGCGCGGTCGAGCCTCGAAAGCGTCGGAGGCCGGCGCGTCCAGAGCTCGCCGCCGGCCAGGAGGCCCAGCGCGTCGTCGACGTCGGAGCAGGACGCAAAGACGGAGCAGCCGCTCGAAGAGCGACGTGCTCGACTCGGGGACGATGATCCGCGTGAATCGACGCAAACGCAGTGCAGATCGACCGTGGACCGAAGGACGCGCGCCCTTGGGGCTCGACGTCGCGATCGCGGACGCGATGATCATCTGCGCGATCCCGAAGCCGGCGAATTCGCCTGCGCAGCGCAGGCGCTCCTCCGCGAGCACGTTCGCGAGGCATTCGAGCGCACGCGTGAGCCGCCAGGGTCGATCGCGGAGCGGCGGCGACGTCCGCGCGGCGCGTCCGCGGCGGCGACGCGACGCTCGGCGGAGGCCGTCACGATGCACAGCACGACAGCGCGAGCGCCCTCGCCTCGAAGATGTAGCGATCGCAGCCGCCGTCCGGGATCTTCTGCGAGCGGCGCCACGATGGGCGCGCCCGCGAGTGCGTGGTCGCCGCTGGGTTGCGACCTCCACGCCTCGCCTGCGATACCCGCTACGCGCCGTCCGGCCGGCGCCTCGCGCTTGGACGCGCCAGGGAATCGCGCAGCGACATCGCGAAGGGCACGCACGCTGCCCCAGGATTTGTCCACTTCGGTTGGGCGGCACCTGCTCTCCCGATTGGCAGCCCATATCGCAGGTAATCACAATGATGAAGTTTTCGTTGCATATAGCGCCGGGGTCATCGTCCGGCTCTCAGCGCGCGCAGCCTCTTCCATCGTCGGGTCGTCCCATCATGTCGGTGCTCAAGCAGCCGCTCGTGCCGCAGCGCCAGCGCGCGACGCCGCGGCGCCTCGTCACGAACCCCGTGAAAGGCGGGAGGGAGCTCGCGAAGAGCAAGGACGCGCTCCACCGCGTCGCGGTCGAGATCCGCACCCTGCGCCAGCGCAAGCAGCCGGCGAACGGCACGCCGGCCGCGCAGCTGGACGCGTTGATGCAGTCGCTCTACGCGAAGGCGGGCCGCCTCATCGACCTCCTCGCGGCGGACCTGTTCAAGTCCGACGACGACCTCTTCAAGGAGTTCAACAACATGGACGCGATCGAGCTGGCCGTGCTCGAGGTCCAGGAAGAGAGCGTCAAGGTCCTCCGCGGCGAGGTGTCCTTCGCGGAGGCCGCGCAGACGACGGCGCTGGCGTCGCTGGCGTCGAGCCGCGGCGCGTCGCTGCCCGAGTTGGTGAAGGAGTTCGAGCGCCACGTCGCCGTGGTCGTCGAGGACCACCGCGCGCGCGCGGCCTACGACCAGAAGATCCGCGACGAGGGCTACATGTGCACGGATCCCTGGGGCAAGCGCAAGCACGTCTCCGGCGACGATGTCGTCGCGCGGCGCGAGCGCCAGAAGAAGTACCTCGCCGACGTCGCGTCCGGCGAGCGCGTCAAGCCCAAGTACGACGAGGAGGAGCACGCCGAGTCGCTGATCGAGAAGCTGGAGCGGAACCGAGGCTACGCCGACTCGAAGCGCGGCCTCAACGCGGCGCGCATCGAGGAGAGCCACGACACGGCCACCGAGCTGCCGGCGGGCGTCGACCGCCGAACGGGCGGCCGCTACGCCATCGCCTGCGACATCGCTTCCAGGGCCGGCGTCGACAACACGCCCTCGACCGACCTCGCCGCCGTCGTCGCGCGCCTGGAGCAGGCGCGCGCGCTCGCCGGCGTGAAGGAGCGCGCGCCGCGGACGCTGCCCGCGGGCGTCGCCAAGTGCGAGAACGGCAAGTTCTGCACGAACTTCCATTACGCGTCCGGCTCGGTCGCCCTGCGCGCCTGCGGCCGCATCATCTACTTCGAGACCGCCGAGGCGGCCGCCGCGGCCATGGCGCGGTTCCGCGCGGCGTCCGCGGAGGAGCAGAAGGCGATGCTGAGCCCCCAGCTCAAGTGCTGCAAGTGCGGGCAGCTGTTTCGGCCCAAGGCCAAGGGCAAGGCGCGCCTCGCGCGCCTCGAGGACCACGAGAAGACGTGCGCGCGCTAGCACCAACACTAATAAGGTCATGTGGCAGTACCTGACCGAGGTCATCCGGACGCCTCGTAGACCTCCCTCGACCCCTCCGGCGCGACGACGCCGGGGTTCGAACAATCGCCAAATCCACAGCGTACGAAATGCCGCCCCACGCCTAGTTAACTCCGCGCGATCTCGTCCCAGTGATCCAGCACCAACCCCACGACGGCGCGCACGCCGAAGCCCGTCGCGGGCCCCGTGCGCACGTGCGCGAGGCCCTTGGACGTCGACGCCGCGGCGAGGTCGAGGTGGATCCAGGGCACGTCGTCCGCGACGAAGCGCTCGAGGAACGACGCGGCGTAGATGTGGTCCGCCTGGCCGCTCTCGAGGCACTGGAGCGTGTCCGCGACGTCGGACTCGAGCTCGCGGCGGAAGTGCGCGTCGAGCGGCGGCATGGGCCAGAGCCGCTCGCCCGAGGCCGCGCCCGCGGCGACCAAGGCCGCGTTCGTCGCCGGCGTCGCGTCGTTCGTGAACGCGGCGCCGTAGTTTTTGGACACCGCGCCGATGGCAGAGCCCGTGAGCGTGGCCAGGTCGACGAGGAGCGCGGGCTTCGTCGCGCCGGCGAACTCTCCCTCGACCTTGCGCGACGCGAGCGCGAGCGCGTCGGCGAGGACCATGCGTCCCTCGGCGTCCGTGTGGACGATTTCGACCGTCGTGCCGTCGCAGGCCGTGACGACCTCGTCGGGGTAGAACGCGTCCGGCGAGATGAGGTTGTCCGCGACGCAGAGCCAGACCTCGAGCGGCAGGGGCGACGCCTCGCCCCCCACCCCGAGGCGCGACAGCGCGACGGCCGCGCCGACGGCCGCGGCGGCGCCGGCCATGTCGCCCTTCATGCCCTTCATGCCCGACGCGCCTTTCACGTTGTAGCCGCCCGTGTCGAAGGTCACGCCCTTGCCCACGAGGACCAGGGGCCTCGCCGACGCCGGTCCTTTGGACAGGCGCACGAGCGCCGCGTCGCGCCGCGGGCTGCCCCGGACGACGGACAGGAACGCGCCGCAGCCCGCGGCCTCGAGGCCGTCGACGTCGAGCTCGTCGTAGGCGAAGCCCTCGGCCTCGGCGACGCGCCGGAGCGCCTCCCGGAACGCGCCCGGCGTCAGGACGTTCGGCGGCAGCGCCGCGAGGTAGCGCGCCAGGGCTGCGGCCTCGTCCGCCGCGGCCTCGCGCGCCGTCCGCTCGCCGACGCCGACGAGCGTGAGCTCGAGCGTCTCCTCCTCGGGCTTGGGCCGCGGCTCGTAGGCGGCCGTCGCCGCCGCGAGGATCGCGTCGCGGACCCGCGGCCGCAGCGCCTCGTCGAGGCGCGGCGCGACGAGCGCCACGCGGCGCGCGGCGCCGAGGCCCGCGCACGCGGCCTCGAGCGCCGCGCCTGCGTCGCGGAGCACGTCGAAGTGGGGCCGCGCCGCGTCGACGCGCAGCGCGACGACGCGCGTGCCGAGGTCGTTGGGCAGCTCCGTCGCGGGCGACGCGCCGCACTGTTTCGACTTCGCCGCGGCCTCGCGGCGCTCGAGCCGCGTCGCGACGACGTCGCCGTAGGGCACGGCGTCCCAGCGCGGCGCGGCCGGGTCCATCGCGATTATTACCGCGTCCCATTGGTCGAAGGCGAAGCGCAGGTAGCCCATGTCCGTCGACGACACCTCCTTGAGTGCGACGCGCGGCGCCGGCGGCAGGAGGTCCATCGGCGCCGCTGCCAGGCCGCGCGTCGCGCCGTAGCGCTGCAGGCCGCGCGATGCGTGCGCCGCGCCGTAGCGGATGCCGCGCGATGCATGCGCCGTGCCGTAGCGCTGCAGGCCGCGCGCATGCATGTAGCGCTGCACCCGCAACGCTCGCACGCTGCTGCAGAGGAGCCACAGACGCGCCGCCATCGCGTCCATACGAGAGCTCGAGTGCATCTTTGAGGCAATATGGTTGCCAGCGCCAAACTTGAAGCCGCGTCGCGGCGCAATGGGCAGCCCATCTCCACGACGATGCTGAGAGCTTCCCTGGCATTGTGCGCGACCACCCTCGCCAGCCCGGTGCCGCCGCCGCCGGTCGTCAGCGAGGCCTACTGCACGGAGGCGCGCGCCGACTTTTTAGGCGTTTACCTCAAGGAGGACGACGCCTCCGGCGCGCGCATCGGCGTCGACCTGCGGCTCGCGGCCGTCGCGGAGGACTGCGGGCCGGAGGGCCGCGGCGCGGAGCACGTCGCGGGCCGCGCCGGCGGCGACGCGGCGCTCGAGCTCTGCGCGCTCTGGGTCGAGACGGGCGGCTCGTCCCACTCGACGCGGTGCTACGGGCCGAGCGACATGCCGCGCGTCGACGTGGCCATCGCGCCGCGGCAGAGGCACAAACTCCTCGCCTGGCCGCGCTACGCCGAGTGGCCCGACGCCGTCGCCGGCGCGTCCGCGTCGCTCGCGCTCGAGAGCGACCTGGGGCCCGCGGCGTTCCCGTTGCCGACGCTCGTATTCGAGAAGACCGCGGCGGGCGCGGCCCTGCGCCAGCGCGCGGAGGAACGCCGCTGCGACGAGTCCCTGGATCTCTACGCGGGCGTCTTCGCCTCGTCGAGCGACGCCTTCTTCTATCATTTTTTCTACGGCATCTTGCTGCCCGCGGCGGCGGCCGTCGGCCGGCGCGCGGACGCGTGCGCGGCGCCCGCGGCGACGACGCTCTACGTGCGGCGCTGCTCCTTCCACCGCATGCTCGCGGAGGCGGCGACGTTCCCCGGCGCGCCGGCGTTTACGCTGGTGGACCTCGCGGACGCGCCGCCGCCGGCGAAGCCGCTCGACGTGCTCCGCCGCATGGACGCGTGGGCGCCGGGCACGACGCACGCGCTCCTCGAGCTCCTCGAGCGCGGGCCCCGGGGCCGCGACTGGCTCCGGGGCCCCGCGGCGCGCGACGACGGCCGCTGCCTCTTCCAGGACCGCGCGCCCGCGCCGGGGCGCCGCGACTTCGGCATCGCCGGGCTCGGGGACCTCGCCGCGGCCTACGCGAACGCGTCGCGGTGCGCGACGGAGGTCGTGCCGGACCCGACGGGCCTCCCGCTCCGGGACCAGATCGACGCGCACGCGGGCGGCGCGCTCCTCGTCGCGCCCCACGGCGCGGGCCTCGTCCACGCGGCGTGGCTGTCGCCGGGCGCGTGCGTCGTCGAGCTCCTCCCGGAGGCGAAGCGGCGCGACGCGCAGCTCGCCGCCGCCGCCGCGGCCTTCGGCCTGCGGACCGCGCGCGTCTTCGCCGAGTCCGGGGAAACCGTCGGCCTGCCCGCGCTCCTCGACGCCGTCGCGCGCTGCGCGGCGCCCGCGGCGCCGGCCTGGAGGCGGCGCCGGGACGCGGCGCCCGACGACCTCGGCGTGCTGGAGATGCCGCTCGAGGGGACATAAAAAAAAGGTTCTTAGGCCGCCGGCGCGAAGGTCGGCGCCTTGCCCGGCGCGAACGTGTCCAAAAACTTCTGGATCCACGCGACCTTGCCCGTCGCGCTCGCGGGCTCGATGACGAACGCGGGCTTGCCGTGGTCCGGGTCGCGGAAGACAGCGTCGAAGTTCGGCCCGACGACGATGCCCTCTCCGTCGCCGCTCTCCGCGACGCACTGCGCGCTGCGCGCCGTCGGGAGCGGCGCCTCGGCGCCGCCGAGCTCCGCGGCCAAGAGCTCGCCGACGGCCACGCCCGCCTTGTACGCGAACTCGCCGGCCTTCGGGATCGGAGACCCGACGCTCGGCAGCACGGCCGCGCAGGCGTCGCCGACACAGAAGACGTCCGCGACGCCGCCCTTCGTGACCCGGCTCGTGCGGAAATCCACGGGCACGGAGCCCTTGGCGTTGAGGAGCGCCGGCGCGATGAGGTCCGGCGCGCGGTGCGGGTAGACGGCGAGGAGCAAATCTGAAGTGATGTCGTCGACCTGCCCCTCGGCGCCCTCGGCCGTCGACGCGAGCGTGGTTGTTTTCCTCGCACCATCCGCCGCCACGGACACGAGCTTCGTGTTCGGCCGATACGCGATGCCCTTCTCGTCCATGGCCGCCGCGAAGGCCTGCTTCGCCTTGGGCCCGCCGAAGGGCCAGGGCACGGGGTAGGTCACGACGATGTCGACGCGGTCGCGGACGCCGCGGCGCCGCGCTATGGCGTCGACGAGGAAGGCGACCTCGAAGGGGAGAGGGGGGCACTTGTAGGGCGCCTTGGCGACGGCGACGTGCACGGTCTTCTTCCCGGCGCCGAGCGCTTCGAAGAAGGCCTCGATGGGCGCGGCGAAGCCCTTCGCCGAGAGGTCGATCGCGTGCTCCGCGAGGCCGGGCACGGAACTCGGGTCGCTCACGGCGCCGCACGCGAGCACGAGCCGGTCGTAGCCCACGACTTCGCCGCCCTCGAGCGCGACGGTCTTGGCCCCGTAGTCGATCGTCGACGCGGCGGCGCGCTTGAGGTAGGGCGCCGCGCAGGAGTCCGCGAGCGGCAGGGACACGGGCGCCGCGCGGCCCTCGAGCTCGAACTGCCAGGTCGCGCCGATGGAGAGGTGATCGGCCCCATCGATGCAGGTGATGGACGTGTCCGCGGGCAGCGACGCGGCGGCGAGGGCCTTGCAGACGCCCTGGCCGCCCCAGCCGGCGCCGATGATCACGATGCGCATTGTGCTTTTGTTGTGCGGAGACACTGGTGGATGCTCTGCGCAGCTCGTTTTTGTCCTGTCGCAGCGCGGCGACACTGGTGGAGACAGCAGCTGGGAGAGCAATCGATGCTCTCGCCGAGAGTCGACCACGGACAAAAGATCCGACGGCACCCCCCAGTGGGTGGGTGGGCCCGGAGGTCGGGTTTCAAAAATCCAAAGTGTACTTAAAGGGTACTTGTAACGCGCGCGCGCGCGCGTGGAGGCCGCGCGCGTCCAGCGTCCCGCGTCGCACCGGGAGTCGGGAATAGGTGCCATGGAGCACGGCGGTGTCCTCGTCGAGTCAGGCCGCGCCCGGCGTTCGTCGGCGGGCCCGCGGCCGCACGGTGGCGGCCGCCTCCTGCAGCGGCACCGGCGACTCCGGGTCGAACCGCGGCGCTACGTGGCGCGCGCGGTGTGGCAATTCAGCGATCGCCCAGCGGCGCGACACGCGGCAACTTGAAGGCAACCAACGACGAAGGAGCTCGTTGATTGGCCGGGAGGTGGGTGGGTGGGCGCCGGTGGCCGGCACCAAGAACCGGGGGTGCCGTCGGGTTTTGTTTTTTAGGTAGCCTCCTGCTCTCGCTGCAAGTTGCCTGGGTCGAAGCCAGGTTGCCATTATTCCAATGGCACGCGTCGACGGCGCGGTCGCATGCAACCGCGACGCGATGAAGCGGCGTGATGGAGCTTCGTTACCTTTGTACAACCGGGCGCTCCCTCCGCGCGATGAACTCGAACTACGTCGTCTTTAGACGGTCGGCGACCCAGGCCGCGTCGACGGGGTCGACCGCGAGCGGCGCGGCCGCGTCGCGCGACAGGCCGTCGAGGTAGTCGCGCCAGTGCGCGGGGAGGCCGCTCAGCCGCGCGCCCTCGCGGAGGTAGGACAAGTATCTCTCGGACGGCTTCGGCTCGTCGGCCTCGTCCGCGACGCGCGCGGGCCCCGGCGACGCGACCAAGGTCCACGCCATCTCCACGGGTTCGCGCCGATCCGGCCGGCCGTCGGCGTCGAGCGGCCGGCAGCGCACGGGGACCGCGAGGTAGCCGAAGGGCACGCCCTCGGTGGCGCAGACGCGCGCCCAGTCCAGGGGCTCGAGGTCGAAGAGCACGCCGTACAACGTGCGCCGGCCGTCCGGCTCCGCGGACGCGAACGACGGCTCGCGGCCGCCGCCGCGCAGCGAGAAGCCGAGGCGCCAGCCCTCCGCCGCCGCGGGCATCGAACGCAGGGGCTCGACGCCGCGCTTCCGCGTCAGCACGGCGGGATGCATGTTCGAGCCGAAGGCGAGGTAGGAGACGCGGTCGCCGACCAAGACGGCATTGGCGGCTCGCAGCAGCGCCAGCAGCGCGAGCGCGCGACGCATCGAGTTATGTTTGGGAAGACTGCGTCGAGGAGCGCGGCTGTTGCAGCAGAGGCTTGCGATGCAACCGATGCGCCGAGCGTTCGAACTAGCTCAGCGCCACGCGTCGAGCAGCGTATAGCGGCCGCTTGCAAGGCTGTGCCGCAGGAGCGGGTCGCGCGACGAGCCAGCTCAGCTGCGGAGAGCGGCCGGCGGAGAGGCAACAACAACACCTTGCCCTTCAAGTTCCCTGATAAAACCCCTTACTCTTCCTCTTCCGCGGCCACGGTCCGCCCGAGGGTGACGGTGTGCCAGGAGTTGTTGTTGAGGCCGCGGATGTTCCAGACGTCCTCGGGCGTCCGGGGCATGGCGCCGCCGCCGAGGTCCGCGGCTCGCGCGAGGAGCGTGAGGGGCTCCGGTCCCGCCGGGATGGGCAGGTCGCAGGACCAGGTCGTCCAGGCCCAGGCGCGGCCGTAGGGCTGGTCCGTGCCCGCGTCGAGGGACGCCTCGGTCCACGTCGCGCCGCCGTCCGCGGAGACCTCGACGCGGTGCACCGCGCGGCCCGCGGACCCGAGCGCCCAGCCCCTGGCCTCGAAGGACTCGTCGTCGCTGTCGACGGCGTCGCCCGCCGCCGGCGCGGAGAAGGCGCACTGCGTCGGGAGCTCGTGGATCGACGGGAGCGCGGCGAAGTCGACGCCCTTGAGGTCCGCCTTCGACCTCCAGTGGCTCGGCATCGCCTTGTAGTTCATGCCCCGCTCCCAGGCGCCGACGGCCGTGTCGGCGCTCAGCACGATGCGCTTCACCCACTTGACGTTGCGCACGCCCGCGTAGCCCGGCACGACGACGCGGAGCGGCCCGCCGTGGTCGCGCGGGATCGGCGCGCCGTTCATCTCGTACGCGACCAAGACGTCGCCGAGCTCGCCGAGCGCCTTCTCGAGGGGGATGGACGCCTGCATGTCGTCGGCGGCCTCGAAGATGGCGTGGCGCAGGCCCAGTTTTTTGGCCGCCGCGAGCGGCGCGGCGCCTAGATTCAACGTCTCGCCGACCAGGTCCCGGAGCGGCACGCCGGCCCACGTCGCCGTGCTCGCGGCGCCGCAGCCCCAGGCCGTGCCCGACGTCGTGCCGTACTGGTTCATGTGGCCCCGCCGGTTGCCGCTGCACTGCATCGTCGCCGTGACCTCCGTCCGCGGGAACTTGGATTTCAGGTCGCCGACGGCGAGCGACGCCCCGCGCTCCGGGACGACGCCAGCGCCAGCGCCACCTCGTGGGCGTCGCCCTTCAGACGCGGCACGGGGTGGTGGTTCCGCACGTACCAGAGGTCGTTGGGCGTGAGGTAGGTGTCGCCGAGGAGCGCCGGCGGCGACTCGGCGTTCATGGGCGTCGCTCCGTGGACGATGAGCGCCGGGTGGCGCTCCGGCTCGTCGCCGTAGGGGTCGTCGGCGTCCACGGTCTTCGCCGCGCAGGTCTCCGAAGCGTAGTCCTCGGCGCTCAGCGTGCCCACGCGCATCGGCGCGAGCAGGTCCATGACGCCCGCCTGCTGCTCCAAGTGCTGCCGGTAGATGCGCCAGAAGGGCTCCACGGACCCGCCGGCGGCGAGCTTGATCTTCTGCGCGCCGCCGGGGTGCGCGTTGATGAAGTCCGTGATGTCGTAGACGCCGTCCTTGTACGTCACCCACGTCGACGCGCCGCCGCACCGCGCCTTGATGTCCGCGCGGCTGTAGGTCGGGTAGGCTTCGCCGGCGACGCCCGGCGCGCCCTGCTCGTCGCCAAAGGCGCAGTAGCCCGCGGAGAACGACGCGGCGACGCCGCGGGCTGCCATGCGGAGCGCATTGCTGCGCAAAAATGGACTGAACATCGCAATCGGAGGATGACCACCCAATGAGAGCACTGCAATGATCGCCGAGTAAGTGCGTGTTGCGGCAAAAGTTGGCCTCGCGCGAGCGGCGGCATAGAGAGCGCCATCCGAACGCGAAGCGCACCGCGGCGGCATAGAGAGCGCCATCCGAACGCCAAAAGCCGCACCGTCCACCATCCACCCGCTGCTCTACTTCGGCATGCTGCGCTCCGTCACGCTGCCGTTCGTCGGCGACGTGCAGCGCGGGCGCTTCGTGAACCGAGAAAACAGGTTCACGGCCCACATCAAACTCGACGACGGCGGGCAGACCGTCGCGTGCCACTGCATCAACCCGGGCCGCATGGAGGCGTTCGTCGAGGCCGGCGCCGTCGTCTGGGCGCGGCGCGTGCCGGCGGCGGAGCGGGAGAAGCGGAAGACGGAGTGGACCTGGGAGCTCATCGAGCGCGACGGCGTCGTGTGCTCGACGAACACGCAGCGGCCGAACGCGTTGATGGCCGCGGTCCTCGAGGCCGGCGTGCTCGCGGGCTTCCGCGGCGCGACGGCCGTCGTCGCGGAGAAGACGATCCCCGGCGAGAACGAGAAGACGAAGAGCCGCTGCGACTTCTTCTGCGTCGACGACGACGGCTTCGACCACTGGATCGAGGTCAAGAACTGCCACTCTTCGTACCCCGACGAGCCCCTCCTGCGGTCCTACGGCTACTTCCCCGACTCCGTGTCGGAGCGCGCGGCGCGCCACTGCCGGGAGCTGGCCAAGCTCGCGGCGAAGCCCAACACGCGCTGCACCGTCGTCATCGTGGCGTCGCGCGCGGACGCCACGAAAGGCATCCGGCCGAGCGACTACCACGACCCGGGCTTCGCCGCGGCCGCGCGCGCCGCGCGAGACGCGGGCGTCGCCTTCCGGGGCCTCCGCGCGACGAACTCGCCGACGGGCGGCACGACCGTCGAGAACGAGATCGCCGTGGACCTCGGGCCGCCGCCGCCGGAGGCGCTCGGCGCCATGCACCGGGCCTGGAAGCGCGCGAGCGCCATCACGGGCTGGGACCGGACGTTCGGCGCCGACGCGCCGAAGCGCGTCGCCAACGGGCCCTTCGCGCACAACAAGAAGCGCGACGGCTGCTTCGACGCGGCCGCGCCCGAGGCGAACGCGTCGGGCCACTTCCGCGCGCCCGAGACATTCTCCACGCACTTCGCCGACTCGGACGCGACGACCCCGCCGAAGAAGAAGCGGCCCCGCCGGAAAGCCCCGACCACACCTAAGTCGTAACTCGGAGGCCTACTCGGACGGTCCTGGAACCCCGGCGAGCCTTTCCTCGTCACAGCCGGCGCTCGTACGAACTCGCCACTTCTGCGCTCGCCTTGCTTCCGAGCGCCCGCACAGACCCGCGTCCACGTCGATCGCGCCGCGTGTCAACTCCCAACCCCGCCGCGCGCACTCGTCGCACGAGACACACCGCCTCGCCTCGCGCGGGCGTGAGCGAGAGCGAGAGGGACCACGATTAAAATTTCGCGCGGCGCCCGGAGGGCGAGCAGGGATTCGCCCCCCCTCGGCGGCCCTCGGAGAGCTCGGCGCCTGGCCACCGCCACTGTCGTTGCCGCCGACGGCGCATCCCGCGAGCAAAGCTCGAGCGCGCGCCGCTCGATTTCACGCGATCGTTTCTTCAGGCGACTCGACAAAACTCAACCCACTTCTACCATGGTCCACCTCTTCTACCTCCCTGGCGATGTCATCGGTCTGTTCGGCGAATTCATCCCGCTCGAACGCCTGGCGGTGAACACCGAGTCCCTGGCGCTCGTTGCTCAGCTCGCGCCCCGCGCGGAGCCAATTTGGGAAAGTCTGTGCCGAGAGCTCTGCGTCTGTTCGTCGTTCGCGCACGGACAGACGTGGCGCAAGCGCCTCGTCCTGTGTGTCCAACCCTTAAGCGTTCTTGGAGAACGTCGTGCCGTGGTCGTGGCCTTAAGACAGGGCCGTCATCGGCGGCGATTCGAAAGGCGTGTGCGACCTGCTCAAGGCCGTCTCGAGGTTCGAGGTGCCAACCGACATGCTATGCGACGCGCTGAGGCTCAACCACCACAAGCTTGGGGTTCTCCGTGAGCTGTTTGCCAGTGGGTTTGGCACGGCGCCGGACGCAGCGAATCACCTCGGCGAGGCGCTCATCGCGCACGCGTCCGACCCCTCCGTGCACATCTTTCGCGCCATCGCGTACCACCTCCAGCGCTGGAACATCAAGATCACCGCGCTGCACTACAACCAGGCCGCCTTGCGAGTTCACGAGCAAGAATCTTGGCGCCAGCCCCGCGACTTCGAGAGGGTGCCGGCCCCCGACGCCGTCTAGGACCCCGAAGCGGTCTTGCAGCGGCGCCCCCACTCCCCAGAAGCTCCAGTCACCCCTACCCGAAACGTCCCGGACCCGTCTTCGGACCTAAGATCGCCTCCCTACTCGCGGCCTGCCGGAGCGTCGTCGCCGCCGTCGACGCCCACTTCGGCTACGACCTCGAGGACCCGCGGCGGTCGCGCCTCGGGCCGCCGGTCGTCGCGTCCTCGGCGAACGGTACGGCGTCGGCGGCCCTCGCCGCGGCCCTCGTCGCCTTCCGCCGGACGCCGGCCCGGGCGCCTGCTTCGCGAAGCTGGCGAAACGTAAGCGCTAGCGCGTCGGACTTGATTATCTTGGGGGCGCAGGTCGTCGGAGACGCGGTCTGAGTCGCATCGCCGGACGCATTGAGGTAATACCGCGCGGCGCAAGAGGCGCCCGGGATAAAAGCCGCGGTACCTTATGACGGGTTCCTCGCTCGCGGGCCCGGCACCCACCCACCCACCTCCTCGCCAATCAGGGACCGCCTTTTCGTTAGTTACCTTCAAGTTGCCGCTCGCGAAATCGCCACAACGCGCGCGCGGAACCGCGTGCGCGGGTCGCGTTTTCGCGGAGCTGCGCGGTCCTATCTCCGGTTTGCGATGAGAACAGGCACCTGCGCCGCTCGAGTCGCCGCGGCGAGAAGTGGCGCTTGCCCAGAGACTACGATAGCGACGTGAAGACACGTCGCCGAGGTGGACCGAGAATTGCTCGGATCGCCCACTGTTTCCCCACGGCGCGCCGCGCCGCGATTACTGCGCGGCCCCTTTAAGTAAGACGAGTCCTAGAGAATGGTGTGACGGGCACGGTCCCCATCACCGGACTCCTCGGCCTCGTAGTCGACGCGCGTGAGGTCGACGTCGCGCGGCGGCCGCGGCGCGTCCTCCGCCGCGGCGGCGTCGTCGGCCTTCTTGGGGCTGAGGAACGACGGGCGGCGCAGCATGAGGGACGACGCGTCGCTGACGAGCTCCGAGACGGCCTTGCGCTCGCGGTCGACGTCGCGGAAGACGAGCACGACCGTCACGCCGAAGACGAGCAGGAGGAGGCACGTGAGCACGGCCGAGAGCGCGGCGTCGCTGGACACGATGCTGCAGACGACGCAGAGCAGGGCCAGGTAGTTGAGGATGATGATCCAGAGGAGCGTCTCCGCCAAGACGTTGTCCGCGGCCTCGACGAAGGGCTCGGCCTTGATCTGCGCCTTCAGGAACGCGAGCGCCGAGAGGAGGCTCAGGAGCAGGCGCAGCGCGGGGCGATACGTCAGAATCTTCACGAAGGACGTCGCGAAGAGGCGCCGCGCGAGCTCGAGGACCTCGAACCAGTAGAACCGCGGCACGAAGGGCCCCCACAAAATCTGCAAGTTCCGCGTCGCGGGCTCCCTTCGCCGCGCGGCGTCCGCCCGCCGCACGAGCCGCTCGTAGTGGGGCTCGTGGCGCCGCGCCTTGCGCAGGACGCCGCCGCCCGCGTCGACCTTCGGGTCCAGGATCCCCCGGTGGTACCAGAGCGCCACCACGAAGCAGCAGGGGATGCCGGCGACGTAGATCGCGATGCACTCCGCCGCGTAGATCGTCGCGAGCGCGTGCCGGTCGCCCCGGCAGGGCAGGAGGAGGTCGGCCTTGTAGTACTGGACGCCGCCGTCCAGACCGTCCGTGCAGTAGAACGCGTCGATGATCGTCGAGCAGATCGTCGGGAGGATGACGTAGAGCACGAGGAGGCACGCCTTGAGCGCGGACCCCCAGGCGCGCCCGCCGCGGACGCAGCCGTCGACCCGGCAGCCCCAGAGCGCGACGCAGCCCATGAGCGCGAAGGGCCCCGCCGTCGTCGCGACGAGCGCGTCGTGGAACGTCACGCGGCCGAAGCCCGCGCAGGACCCTCCCGGGAACCGCGGCGCGAAGTTGAAGACCGCCAGGCCCTCGACGAGCGCCACGTACCAGCCCGCGACGTAGTCCGGGAATTTCGGGAGCAGGTTCGGCGTCATCGTCGCGATCTGGACGGACACGAAGCAGAGCTTCCACTTAGCCCTCAGCTTGTTCTGCAGCCGGCTGAGCCGGCTCATGTCGTCGAGGCCGCCCGCGTCCGCGGCGGACACGTTGCCGAAGAGGAGGCCGACGACGACGAAGGCGACGAGGACGTAGAAGGCGATCAGGGCGACCGTGCCCGGCGACAGCGGCCCCCCGGCGCACTTGCGGCACGCGGACCCGTCGGGCGCCGCGTAGTAGCCCGCGCGGCACTCGCTGCAGTAGGCGCCGCCGAAGCCCCGCTCGCAGGACCTCACGCCGACGCCGAAGTAGCCGCCGGGGCACGCGGCGCGCACGCGGCACCGCAACAATTCCGTCGAGTCCGCGGCCATGCGCATGTAGCCCGGCTGGAGGGGCAGGGCCTCGAGGCGCGTGTCCGGCGACGCGCAGTCCGCCTCGGGCGGGCACCGGCGGCAGTCGCCGACCGCGGGCCACGCGGACCGGTCCGCGTCGGGCCCGCGGACGTCGTAGAAGGTCCGCGCGCACATGTCGCAGGCCGCGGACTCGGGCCGGCTCCACGTGTCGAGGCGGCAGTCGTCGCAGCCGACCCTCACGTTCTCGTAGGTGCCGGGCAGGCAGCCGACGCGGTACGTCGTGACCATGGTCCAGTTGATGCCGACGGCGCGCCGGTCGACGACGCGCGAGCTGTACACAAAAAAGTGGTCGACGATGGTGAGGTCGCCGTGCCACGGCAGCGTCGCGTCGCCCAGCGCGGCGTAGGCCTGCCAAACGTGTCGGTAACGATCTTTCATCGGTTCCCCCACCCGAAATCTCTAAAAAATCGTCCCGGCCACGGGACGCCGGCGTGGGCCCGCTCGACGACGGCGTCGCCGCAGGCGTCGGGCCGGCGGAGCCCTTCGCCTGCCTCGACGAAGTTGCCCTTGCTCGACGCGATGAGCGTGTCGCCGTGGAGCCGGTCGAAGACGAAGAGCGTCATGTTCCGCTCGTCGAAGACGGCCGCGTTGAGCGCGAGGTAGCGCGAGATCTCCTCGAAGGACACGTCGATGCCTACCAAGCACGACGGTGACGATTTGCTTTCCCACCCAAAACCTCTCGAAAATCGTCGCGGCCACAGGACGCCGGTCGATGCCCAGCGCGCCGACGGGCGAGCCGTAGTAGTCGCGGAGCGTCATCGCGGCCGTCATGCCGATGGTCTGCGACGTCGCGAAGACGTAGGGCGGCGTCCAGAGGGGCCACCCCGACCGGAGCGCGCCCTGGTACCAGGGCCTCAGCCGGCAGTCGTAGGGGAACGCGTCGACGTACGCGCCCCCCTTCGCCTCGCCGACGCGGTCCGCGTGCCAGACCTGGCGGCAGCAGGCCGGGCACGGCGCGCCCGCGGGGGCCGTGCAGTTCGCGACCGTGAGGTTGTCGTAGGTGTCGCTCCTCGACCGGTCGACGGCGACCGTGAGGTCGTTGAGGTGGCGCTCGAGGCTCGGCACGTCCGACTGGACCGGGTAGCCGACGCCGTGGTAGCCGACGAACCTGCGAAATTCGGTGTCGTCCAAAAACGAGGGCGACGCTCGCGCGTTCGGACGCCGGCGTCGCGCGTCCCGTCCCCTAAACCGACGAAGATCATCGCCTGGCTCCGGCTCGCGAATTTCGCGAGCGCGTGGAGGAGCTTCCGGAGCGCGTCGCCGCGCTCCGCGCCCGCCGTGCCGTGCACCCGCGCGACGAGCACCGAGGCGTCGACCGGGACGCCGGCCGTGCCGTTCGTCGCGTTCGCCGGGCCCGCCGTCGCGTTGACCAGCGCCATCGGGTTGAGGTCGAGGTAGTCGCGGAAGGCGTCGGCGTCCCAGGCGAGGCCGTTCTGGACCCCGTTGTGCAGGACCCGCGCCGTCGTCCACGAGTCGCCCAGCATCTCCTCGAGCTGCGTCGACGCCGTCTCGGCGATGCCGTAGTCGAAGGACGTGTCCCGGATCGTGCCGCCGGCGCGGCCGGCGCAGAGCGCCGCGACGACGACGAGGAGCCGCATGGAGGCGACGCTCGTCTTCCCGATCGTGCCGCCGGCGCGGCCGGCGACGAGGAGCCTCATGTGTCACTTCTCACCCGGCGCATGCGGGCATTCCATCGTTTGTATCAATGACGGAGTCGTTGTTGTAGTTCAAGGTGAAGTCGCGCCGATCGATGGCGTCTTGCTAGCCCAGCCCGCCGTGCGCATAGCCCGTTTTGCGCATCGCCCGGTGCCGAAGAGCCATGGGCGTGCTGCGCGTCGCCGCCGTCCAGCTGCGCGTCTCACGCGACCGCGCGTCGAACCTGCGGCGCGCGGCGGAGCTCATCGACGCCGCGGCGGCCGACGGCGCCCAATTCGTCGCCCTGCCGGAGTGCTTCACGGGCAAGTACGGCGTCGATCTCTTCCACGGCCACCGGGAGGCGCTCGCCGCCAACGCCGACGCGGAGGCCGCGTCCGGGTCCGCGGTCCTCGCGGCCGCGGCGAAGCGGCACGGCGTCGTCGCGACGGGCGGCGTCATCGAGGAGCACGCGGGCAAGCTCTACAACACGATGCCCGTCTACGGGCCCGACGGTGCGCTCGTGGCGGCGTACCGCAAGGTGCACCTGAGCCGCGTGCTCGGCATAACGAGCGAGTCCGACGTCTTGGAGGTCGGCGACGAGGCGACGGCGTTCGAGTCCGGCGGCGTGCGCGTCGGCATGGCCTGCTGCTTCGACCTGCGGTTCCCCGAGTGGCTCCGGCGCCACGGGCCCCGGGGCGCGGCGCCCGCGGACGTCGTCTGCGCGCCGTCCGCGTTTTTGGACGTCACGGGCCGCGACCACTGGGATCTGCTGCTGCGGCGCACGGCCCTGGACGGCCAGGCCTTCGTCGTCGGGCCGAACGTCGCCTACGACGCCGAGGACGCGGTCCCGCTCCACGGCCGGTCCGCGGTCGTGTCGCCCTGGGGGGACGTCCTCGCCCAGTGCGGCGCCGACGCCGACGACCTCGCCATCGCCGACGTGTCCACGGACCGCGTCGCGGAGGTCCGGGCGAAGCTGCCGCTGGCGGACTGGGCGGAGTAAGGAGGAGGGCGTGGCGCCGTCTTGCTCGGGTGCTGATCTACCCGGTCAAACCAAAGGGCCTAGGTACCGATTTCGCCGGGGGTCGATTCCTCGTCACCTCGATCCTGCCCACGCCCCGCCTCAATACTACTCGATCAAAATGGTATGTCTCGCTCTTCCATGCCCGCCCATCCACATCGTTCGCCCGCTTGCGTCTCCGTACGCTCCCAGAGGCCCGCGCGACACCGTTCTTGCAACCGGCCAAAAGAATCGCGTGCACTTACGCAGCGACCGCGGCGTTCGCCGAGCTCCCGGAGAGCGGCTCTTTTTTGGGCGCGCCGGGAGCTCGGGACGCGGTCGCCAGCGACGCGCGGCTCTTCCTCGGCCGGGCGACTCGGTGCCACGGCCCCGGCGCCGGGCTGACTGCATCGCGCCCTCCCTCGCGCGCGCGCGCGCCGTATTCGATCCGCCTCGCCCGGCTCCTTCTTCGCGCGATCCGCTCACCCCGCCACCCCCCGCCGCAGAACAAGCTCATCCTCGCCCTCTCGCTCACCGGCGCCAGCGCCTTCGTGGCCCCGACGACGACGTCGGCGCCCATGACCCAGGTCCAGGAGACGAAGGCGGACCTCGTCGCGCTCCAGGAGTCGCTCCCCGGCCCGCCGGGCTACTGGGACCCCCTGTCCCTCGCCGGCTCGACGATCCTGTCCCAGTGGGGCCTCACGACGGAGGAGGAGAACATCGGCTGGTGGCGCCACGCGGAGATCAAGCACGGCCGCGTCGCGATGGCGGGCTTCCTCGGATTCGTCGCGCAGTGCACGCCCCTCGTCTCCGGCGAGCACGGCACGCTGCCCTACCGCGGCTACGTCGCCGGCGTCACGCCCCAGGAGCAGTGGGACAACATCCCCCTCCTCGCGAAGCTCCAGATCTTCATCGCCATCGGCATGCTCGAGTCGTACGGCGAGGGCGCGGGCTCGCCCGAGGGCTACGTCCACTACACCAAGGGCGGCCAGCCGGGCTACTACCCCGACATCAAGGGCCGCGTCGCGGGCCAGATCCAGCTCAACCTCTACGACCCCTTCCAGTTCGGCTTCCGCTCCGCGTCGCCCGAGGCCAAGGCCCGCGGCCTCAAGGCCGAGCTCCTCAACGGCCGCGCCGCCATGATGGGCCTCTTCGGCCTCCTCTCCGAGTCCTCCGTCCCCGGCTCCGTCCCCTTCCTCTCCAAGATCGAGGGCTTCCCCCACTACAGCGGCAACGTCATGATCCCCTTCGAGCACGACTTCTCGCTCTTCGCCTAGGCGTCGAACCCCGCCGGCCGGCGCGGCCGGCCGGCGTGCCCGCCTGCGGCCGCAGGACGGAGCACCCGGCCGGCCGCGCCGCCGGCCCGCGGCGGGCCCTCTCTTCGAGGGGGCGCGTCGCGGACCCCACGCGACCGCGCGGCGGCGCGCGCGGCTCGTAACAGACCGAGACACTACACACGGGGAGACCTTGCATTGGCGACCTCACACTGGCGCCACCCCTCGACCACACAATTACGCCTCCGGCGTCCGCTCCGGCGGCGCGACGGTGACCGCGACGTCGGCGCCGGCGACGTAGTCCGGCGCGAGCGTGACCTCGTAGCGCGAGCCGCGGTACTCGATGGAGACGACGTCGCCGGGCTTGGCGCCCGCCGGCGGCGTGATCGTGAGCTGCGTGGGCCGCAGCGCCGACGGCGGCGGCGCGCCCCCGGGCGGCTTCAGGAACACCCGCCCCGGCGTCGAGACCCGAAAGCCGTAGACGGCCCCGTAGTAGTCGATGCACAGGATCTCGCCTGCGGCGGCGTCGTCGGGCACCGTGACCTCGATGGCCTCGGCCTCCGGCGGCGCGTTCTCGTCGTGGGCGTAGAGCATGCCGACGGCGCCGTTCGCGGCCGCGTCCTCGGCGTCCTTCCGTTCGCGCTCCTCCTTGGCCCGGGCGGCCTGGACCGCGCGCGCGCGCGCCGCGCGCGCCTTGGCCGCCCGCAGCGCCGCGTCGCTCGCCGCCTTGGCGTCGGCGGCGTCCTGGCGCGCCGCCGCGCGGATCGCGAGCTCGCTCGCCTCCTTGGCGGCCTCGGCGTCGTCCCGCAGTTTTTTTCGGGCGTCCTTCTCCTGCTGCTCCTGGATCTGGCGCATGTGGTCGCAGGCCTTGGCCCACTTGTAGAGGCGCACGTCGTCGTCGTCTTCCTCCGTCTGCTTCGCCGCGAAATGGGCATCTAGAGCCGCCATAGTCGCGCCGGTGGGCAGCTGCACTTGAAAACCTCATTCTTGAGGCTGCCCAATCTTGCTGCCCATGGCGATCGCGATGATCCGCCGCGCGAGCCGCGACCTGCAGCGGATGTCTCCGCGGTGCATCCACGGCGTCGCGTCGGAGGGCTTCGCGGCCGACGCGTCGCTCTACGACCGCGTGCGGCCGTCGTACCCGGCCCTCGGCGTCGCCCACGCGCTCGGCGACGTCGACGCGGCCTGGGCCCGCATCCTCGACGTCGCGTCGGGCACGGGCATCCTGACGCGGCGGCTGCTCGAGTTCGGGGCGCGCGACGTCGCGGCCGTCGAGCCCGTCGCCGCGATGCGCGCCGAGTTCGAGCGCGCGGTCGCGGGCGTCCCGATATCGGACGGGACCGCGGACGCGCTGCCCTTCGGCGACGGGGCCTTCGACGTCGCCTGCGTCGGCCAGGCCTTCCACTGGTTCGCCAACGAGCAGTCGCTCGTCGAGCTCGGCCGCGTGCTCGCCGACGGCGGGCGCCTCGCGCTGCTCTGGAACCTCGAGGACGACTCCGAGCCCTGGGTCCGCGCCGTCCGCGAGGCCTACGAGGTCCACGACACGGGCGCCCAGGGCGACGTGCCCCAGTACCGCAAGGGCCGCTGGCGCGCGGCCTTCGAGACGCCCGGCGCGCGCGCCGCGTTCCCGGGCGGCTGCGAGAGCGCGTTCTTCGACAACTTCCTCCTCACGACGCGGGCGGAGATCTGGGAGCGCGCGCTCTCGAAGAGCTACTGCGCGACGCTGCCGCCGGACCAGCGGAACGCCCTCGTCGCCGAGATCGCGGCCATCGTCGACCACTACGAGGCGTCGGGCGCGCTCGCCTTCGACGTCGCGCGGCCGGGAGACGGCGCGCCGTGCGCGCGGCTGCCGATCAACTCCGAGGTCGCCGTCGCCGTCCGCGGCGCGCGTGCCTAGTAGTAATCGAAGAAGAGCGCCCGCCGGAGCGGCGCGGGGATGGACGCGTAGACTCCGCGGGGCACGGGCCAGAGGAGCGACGTCGTCGCCCGGTAGCGCCTGAACTCGGCGGAGTCCGCGTAGCGCGTCTCGTTCTTGACCTCGGCGAGGTGCGCGGCCTCGCCGACCATGAGCAGGAGCGTCATGGCCGGCGAGAGGCAGGCCCAGCCGCCCGCGACGACCGCGAGCCCGAGCCAGCAGAACGCCTCGCCCGCGAGGTGCGGGTAGCGGCTCCAGGTCCAGAGCGGGTCGCCGCCGACGTCGAAGTAGCGGTCCGCGCCGCGCCGCTCGCGGTACCGCGCCTTGCGCGCGTCGCCGGCGCTCTCCAGCGCGAAGCCGGCGAGCCACAGCCCCAAGCCGGCGACGTCGCGCGCGCGCGCCGGCCCGGGCGCGGAGGCGCGGCCCAAAGTGCACGGGAGGCTCACGACGAGGCCCCAGGTGCCGTGCACGAGCCAGAACCCGGCGAGCGCGAGCGGGCCGCGCCGCCGCAGCTCGTCGAGGCGCGCGTCCGAGGCCGACCGCGCGACCATGCGTCGCAGCAGGAACGCGCCGAGCCGCGCGGACCAGAGCGCGAGCGCCGCCGTGACGAGGCGCTGGCGCGCGTCGCCGTGATCGGGCAGCCGCCACAGGTTGACGAGCGCCGCCGGCAGGAATTCCACGAGGCCCGTGAAATTGTCGATGCCGTGCAAGGATAGCAGCAGGTTCACGGGCTGCATGCCGAAGCTGCACGCGGCCGAGAGGCGGAGAGCGTCGGTGATGCTGCCCATCAGAGGAGCAGGTTCACGGGCTGCATGCAAAGCTCCACATGGCCGAGAGGCGGAGGGCGACCCGTGATGGGGCACTGCAACACAAGATTTGAAAAAGTTCAACTGCTCTCGAGTCCTCGCGAGTTGCGAGAAGGTCTGCTCCAGTGGCGCTCTCTTCGCGCCGACGCGCCCCACCACACGCCTAGACAGCGCCCCCCGGTGTCGCGCACCACGCACCACACGCACCGCAAACGCCCGCACAAAACGCCCGCGGACTCATGGCCGAGGATTCGTCCTGGGCCGCCGACGAGGCGCTGATCAAGGCCGGGAGCTGCGTCGTCGTCGACTGCCGCGCGGGCAAGTGCAACGACGCGCTCCTCTACGGCATCGAGCGGCGCATCGCCTACGACGACCTGGGCTGGCGGTCCGGCGTCGTCAAGGTCGCGACGCGCGGCGACGGCGGCAAGCTCAAGTCGCTCGAGGTCGACCTCGGGGGCCACGCGTCGCTGGAGCTCACGTCCGTCGAGAGCGACGAGCTCCTCGTCGGGCCCCGGCGCGCGTGGCGCTTCGACGGCGGCGACGAGGCCGTGAGCCTCAAATTCGCCGCGCACAAGGTCGCCGAGTGGTGGTTCCTCGAGTGCGGAAGCGGCGGTCTGTTGCGCATGCCCTTCTCGCCCGAGGAGACCCTGGTCGTCGGCCGCGAGCACGCGGCGGAGGACGAGGCGCGCTACGTGAGCCGCGTGCACTGCCGCCTCGCGAGGAACGGCGACAAGGGCGCGTACCCGACGACGACGACGGGCATGTCGGCCCTCGACGACTCGTGGACTCTCCAGTTCCTCGGCCAGACGCCCGGCGAGTTCTTCCGCGAGTACGCGCCGCCCGCGGGCGAGTCCGCGAAGCGGCCCAAGGGCACGCAGGCCATCAAGGGCTACTGCTACCGCATGGGCGTCGGCAGCGCCGTCGCGCTGCTCCCCGGCGGGGGCGTCGCGCGCCTCGTGAAAAAGCCCGTCGCCGTCGACGCGTTGACCGCGGGCGGCGAGCGCGACTTCGTCCTCCGCCGGTCCCCCACGCAGCTCTTCGGCGGCGGCGAGGGCCGGCGCCTCGCGGCGGAGATGGCGTCGGCGCCGCCGGACCGGAAGCGCGCCAGAGGCGCCGCGGGCGCGCCGACGACGACCAGGGCCGGCCGCCACAGCCGCGTCGCGCGCCGCTTCTTCTTCCCCCTGGAGGTCGCCAAGTTCTCCTTCAAGATCGAGGCGACGACCAAGACGGGCTGGAACGCGCACCCCGTCGCCCTCGCGCCCGTGCCCGGCGACTGGGGCCGGTCCGTCGATTTGCTGCGCCCCGGCGACTCGAAGCGCGTCGTCCGCCTCACGGACAACTCCATCACGGGCGGCCGCGTGCGCTACAACTACCGGGGCTGGTTCGGCTCCTACTGCGGCGACGGCTGCCGCTCCGTCGCCGGCCCGGGCCAGGCGGGCATCGCGCTCCGGTCGCTCCTCGCCTGCGCGACGTCGAAGATCCAGTTCGTCCAGCTCTCGGCGACGATCTCCGACGCGCTGCCGGAAGTCTGGGCGCCCGACGTCCACGGCCTCTTCCCGCCGGCCTTCCGGAACGTCGCCACCGCCGTCCTCCTCGCGCGCCAGCGCCGGCGCAACGCGTGGCGCGACTGGCGCGACGGCGACCGGTCCGGGCCGCCGCCGTCGGCGCGGTCGCTCGCGGCGCTCTCGGAGCGCGACGTCTTCGCCGTGCTCCGCTACCTGAGCCACGACCCGGCCCTCGTCAACACGGCTAGCCAGTTCGGCAAGGACGACGAGGCCAAGGCCGACGGCGACGACGCCGAGGCGCCGCCGGCGACGTTCCAGCGCCTGGAGATCACCGTGTCCGTCAACGACCGCTTCATGCAGCCCGAGGTCGAGGACGACCTGCGCCGGGCGTTGTGGCTCAAGCACGGCGCGCTCCAGACCGTGGGCGACCTGCTCAAGTCCGTCGAGCGCCACGTCCCCCCCGACGTGCCCGCGCTCCGGCGGACGATCCCGCTCCGCGACGACGTGCCCGAGGCGGCCTTCGCCATGGACGCGCTGCTGGGTGCCGCCGTCGTCACGACGACGTCGCCCGAGGCGGCCCAGCCCGCCGGCGTGCGCACGGCCCTCAAGTCGTACCAGAAGCGCGCGCTCCGGTGGATGCTCTTCCGCGAGCGCGCGCTGCCCGAGGCGGACGCGGCGCCGACGTCGGGCCGCCTCCACCCGGCCTGGCGCTCCTTCAAGCTCCCCTCGGGGCTCCAGGTCTTCCAGAGCCGCCTCAACGAGGGCGTCTGGACCATGCGGCGCTTCGAGGAGCCCCCGGAGACGATGCGCGGCGGGTTGCTGTGCGAGCAGATGGGCCTGGGCAAGACGCTCGAGATCATCTCGCTGATCAAGGCGCACCCGGCGCCCGACGCCATGGACGCGGCGCCGCCGGCGCCGCCGGCCGTCGTCGAGGAGCCCGCGAAGGGCCGGACGCGGCCGAAGCGCGCGCGCGGCGGCGCCAAGAAGGCGGCGCCGGACGCGACGCCGGCGAAGCACAAGGCCATCGCGTCCATGAGCGCCGCCGAGGTCCAGGAGACGCTGCTGGGCCTGGACCTGCGGCCGCCCCAGTCCTGGGAGAAGGCGGGCACGATCCAGGTCCGCGTCGACAAGGCGCGCGAGTACCGGTCGCGGCGGTCGTGCAAGACGACGGTCGTCGTCGTGCCCCCGACGCTCCTGGGCCAGTGGGAGTCGCAGATCCTCGAGCACTGCGACCCGGACCGGCCCCTCAAGGTGCTCAAGCTGCCCGTGCACCACCCGGGCCGGCCGCGGAAGAAGCCGACGCGGCCGGGCTACCCGAAGCTCCTCAGCGACTACCGCCACTTCCCCGGCGGCTACAACTCGCCCGAGTCCATCGCCTGGCGCTCCGAGGGCGAGTCGAAGAAGCGGTCCCGGGAGAACCAGAAGCGGCTCGACGCGCACAAGAAGCTCATGGACAAGTTCCGCAAGGAGGACAAGGTCTACCAGGAGCAGGTCAAGGCCTGCGCGCCGTTGTGCGGCGACGCCGACGACCTGGCGACCTACGACGTCGTCATCGTCGCCCTGCCGACGCTCCTCTTCGAGGTCGAGCGCCTCGACGCGACGTCGGCGTTCAGCGAGCTCGAGTTCTGGCGTCTGGTCGTCGACGAGGCCCACGAGCTCCTGCCCGAGGAGTACGGCGGCTCCATGGTCTACGGCGACGACTACGCGACGCGGTCCGAGAACTCGGCCGCGCGGCGCCTGTTGCGGCGCGACTCGTTCGCGATCGCGCGCGCGCACTGCTGGCTCGTGTCCGGCACGCCCCTCCGGAGCCGCTTCGACGACCTGAGCCACCTGCTGGCTTTGCTCGACTCCAAGGTCTGGAGCGGCGACCTGATCTCCCACGTGTCGTCGCGCTACTCCGCGAACGACCCCGAGGGATCCGAGGCGCTCGACCTCAGCCGCCGCGTCATCAAGACGGTCATGTGGCGCGCGACGAAGGAGCTGACGGACGCGGAGGCGGTCCTGCCGCCCGTGCGCTACGCCGACGTCGAGCTGACCCTGAACGACCTCGAGTTCCGGTCCTACGCGCGGGCCTACGCGGCGTGCCGCGACGCGCTGTCCGCGGCGATCGTCGAGCACAACGACCCGGGCGCGCGGCGCTACCGCGTCGCCATCCGCCTGCCCTACGACTTCGACGCGCTCTGGCGCACGCTGCGCGTCGCCGCGTGCCACCCCAAGCTCCAGTTCGCCGACGATGGCTTCCTCGGGTCCACGGTGCTCGGGTCGTCGACGAAAATCGACGCTCTAGGCGCGATCCTCGCGCGGCTCCGCCGCGACGCGACGCCGGAGGACCCCGTGAAGATGGTCGTCTTCTCCGCGTTCCTGCCCCTGCTGCACCAGACCAAGGCCGTGCTCTGGGCCAAGTTTCGGGTGAAGGCGGAGGTGCTGAGCCGCGACTCCGAGGCGCCTATCGTCGCGTTCAACGACGACCCGCACTGCGCGGTCATCCTCGTGTCCACGGAGGCCGGCGGCGGCTCTTCCGGGCTGAACCTGACGCGCGCGCGCCACGTCGCCCTCATGGAGGCGTCGACGAACGGCGGCCTCGAGGACCAGGCCATCGCGCGCGTGCGCCGCCTCGGCCAGCGCGCGGGCGAGGTCGTCGTCCACCGCCTCCTCGCGACGGGCTCCATCGAGCACGCCATGCTCCAGGTCCAGGCGCGCCGGAAGCAGATGTACCAGGTCATCGACGAGACGACGGAGCACGTCGTCCGCGACGACGACACCATGGAGATGATCTCCATGTTCGGCCTCGCGGACCTCCTCGAGACGGGCGGCGCCTAAAGATCCGGGCTCTTTAGGGCGTCTCCTTGACCACGGGGACCGTCGAGCCCGCCGTGTCGACGGGTTGTTGGACCTGCGAACTGTGTTATTAGGGCGTCTCCTTGACGACGGGGATCGTCGTGCCCGCCATGTCGACGGGCTGGTGCGAGCGGTCCGCGGACTCCTTGAGGAAGGAGAGGTACTTCGCGTCGATCGTCGTCGTGCCGCGGCGCTGCGGCGGCCTCGGGCGCTCGTCGTCGTCGCCGCCCGGCGGCGGCGACGGCGGCCGGCCGCGGATGAGGATGGACTGGCGGAGGCGGTGCTTGACGACCGCGCGCTCGCGCGAGACGAACGCGAGCGACGCCAGCTCGCCGATGAAGACGGCGCCGACGGGGATCGCGATCAGGAGGAACACGGCCGACGCGAAGTAGACGGAGTTCGTGTCCGTCGCCTCGCGGTTGAAGACGAGCAGCCCCGCCGTCGTCATGTTCGTCACGGCGTACTCGAAGAGCGTCGGGAACGTCTTGAAGCCGCAGAGCCGGCCGACGGCGACGCCGGCGACGAGCGCGACGCCGTAGAACGCGCCGAGCATCTCGAGCATCTCCGAGCGCACCTCGGCCTTCTTCTCGTCGTCGGAGGAGCTCGAGGAGTCCTCGTGGCCGGGCAGCGGCGGCCGCACGGGCGCGACGGAGTCGCGGATGCGCTCCGTCGACTCCTTGAAGACGACGGAGATGCCGCCGACGATGAGGATGGACCCCGTGATGCAGTGCCAGCACGTGAAGAGCATCACGTACGTCTTCGTGGATTGCTTCGGCGCGGAGCCGACGCCGAAGCCCACGTTCACCGCGTAGTAGAAGCTGTAGACGAGGCTCCACTCGGGCTGGCAGCAGTAGAAGAACGCCGTTCCCAGGAAGAGCCAAACCGCCAGGGCGAAGGCGAGGTCCGCGACCTGGACCAAGCCCGGCGCGATCTTCGACCGCTGCTCGAGCAGGAAGTCCGCGACGAAGTTCGACGCGCGCCGCGGGCCGACGCCGACGACGCCCGGCGCCGGCGCTTCGTCCGCGGCGAGGTCGCCCTTGGACTGGAGCCGCCGGAGCTGGTGGCGGTCGTCGACCTTCAGGAAGCCGGCGACGGCGGCGATGTCCTCGAGCTCCTCGAGCACGGCCGTCGACACGGTCACGTGCCTCGCGTCGTCGTCCGGCTTCTTGAAGTCGTCCGCGATGGCCGTGGCCTCGCCCGCCATGTGGCGCCGGCTCCGCTTGCGCGCGAGGCGCTGCGCCCGCCGCCGCTCGGACGCGTCGGCGACGTGCCAGAAGTAGCCCGAGACCTCGCTGTAGAAGGTGATCGCGTAGGGGATGCCCACGAGGAAGAACGCGGCCTGCACGGAGAAGTTGAGGTCGCTCTCCTTGCCCACGAGGAGCCCCGACGTCGTCAGGTTCGTCACGGAGAACGTGAGCATGTCCGCGAAGCCGTTGTAGTCCGCCGTCCACCAGGCGATGAACATGCCCAGGAGCACGAGGCCGCAGAAGCCGCCGCCGCGGACGAGTAGCTGGAGCCGGCGGATGTGCTCCTCCTCGCCCTCGTCGCCCATGGCCAGCCGCTTGAGCACGCGCTGGCTCGACGCGCCGTAGTAGACGCCGACGCCGCCGACGATGAGGCAGTTGCCCGCGAAGCAGAAGACCGCGCAGCCGACGCGCTCGAACCACGACGACGGCTTCATCGGCGCGGACCCCACCCCTAAGCCCACGTTCACGCAGAAATATATAGTATAAAAGATGACGTTCCCCGTCATGTCGTCGAACTTGTGGTCCACGTTCTTCTCCGACACGTAGAAGAAGACGACGCCGCAGAAGAGCCACGAGAACACCGTCACAGCCACCTCGAGGCCGATGACCTCGCCGGGGTCCAGCCCGTCCTTGAGCTCCTGCCATTTCTTGCCGAGCCAGGTCCGCGGCTCGTCGTCGAGCGCCGACGGCGCGGCGGCCATCCCGCTTCTCTTTGCTTGTCGACCGGCTTAGTGCGGTGCCATTGTCACGCGGGGCTGCCCCGACCGAGCGAAGTATCAGGAAAGGACGAAGATGAAGTGATGTTGCACTCCTGAAGGAGGGTCCGCGGGCCCGCGCGCGCGAACTCATTTCCCGGAGCGGTGCGCACCCCTCTTCGCCCCCGGACGGTACGACTCCCCGCGTCGCCCGGGGCCTCGGGGGCACTAGTCGTCGCGGCGCCACGGCGCGTCGCTCCCGGTCCGACCGGTCACCGACGACGTGTCCCGTGGCGCCACCCCATAGGCTCGCTAAAACGATGAGAATTTAGCCGAGGCGGGGGAAGTGCTCGAGGCTCGGCGCCAACGCCCACGCGAGGGACTTGACCCCGAAGGTCGAGCCGAGCAGGTAGGCCGTTTCCGTCGGCGACGCGTTCATGTTCAGCCCGTAGCGGGCCGGAAGGTTGAGGAGCACGGAGAGCTCGTCCGCGTGCAAGGGTCGGAGCCTGTCCGAGTGGCGCGAGATGCGCACGAAGTTGGGCGACCTGTGCGACTTCCGCGCGTGCTCGTAGTCGGCCGAGGCCGCGCGCGCGGTGAGCACGCGGACCGTCCCCACCTTCTGGCCCGGCACCGCGGGGATCGCCGTGCCTGCGCGGGAGAACGGCTCCGAGTCCGACTAAAAGACGCCGGCGTGAGTCCGACAAAAGACGCCGGTCCGCGCTCCCCTTGAACTTCTTCAGGAACTTGCCCAGGTCGATGGGCGACCGCGGCGCCTTCGGCGCCTCCGGCGTCACAAAATTTCCCCAATAAAGCCGGCGGCGCGGCGCGCCGCCGTGGACGAGCTCGTCGGCGACGACGGCGGCTCCGTTCTGCACGATGCTCTCGAACTGCCGCCTGATCTTCTTCGACATCGAAGCCACCTAAGGCCGGAAGTTAAATAAAAATAACTAGAGACGTCGTATGGTGCGTTTTCTACGAGTGTGATGAATTTTTTGGTTTTTTGTCTCTTCTGCAGCAGCTTGATCCGCTTGCCGACCTGGACCACCAACTTTGACGTCTTCGTCTTGCGCACGTCGTTGACCTGCGAGGGAACGGCGAAGGGCTGGATCGCGCGCCGCGAGCGCGCGCCGCACCTCGCGGCGCGGGTTTGACCCGGCGAGGTCGTTACACGGGGGACCGGCGACGTAGATGTCGATCGCGTCGTCGCCCAGGGCCTCGAGCAGGGACTTGTAGTCGCAGACATCCTTGACGCGGACGATCTCGCCCTCGAAGTCGCCGTTGTTCGCGAGCATCGCCTCGAAGGCGACGTCCGAAATCTCCACCGCGACGTACCTGGGCAGCAACAGAGTGACTCAACGTTCCAAAAAAAGCATCCACGCTCCGAGACCGTGCCGAGAGATGATCGCTCGTCCAAAAATCAGCCGAAACGAGTGGAAACCGGTCGAGAAAGGAGCCTTTGAAGTTGGGAATTTCGCTCTCTTTTGCCGCCCCGCGACGTACTTTTTCACACGAATTTTGAGCAGGTTGAGCACGAACCGCAGCACGCCGATGCCGTCGCAGTCGGACACGACCACGGCACCGCCGTTGCGCCGCGCGCGACGGGCGATGGCGCGCACGTCGGCGCTCGTGAGGACGCCGCGTCGAGGATGTTTTAACGATTTTACAATCGCGCGCAGCGCCGCCGTCGCCGTCGCCTTGTCGTCGTCCTCGCTGTCGTAGTCGCTCATGTCGTCGTCGCCGCCGTCGCCGTCGCTACCATCGTCGTCGTCGCTGCCGTCGTCGAGCGCCGCGAGCTTCTCCTCGGCGGCAACGCGGCGCGCCGTCTCCTCTTCCCGCGCCTCGCGCTCCTCGAGCTCGGCAGCCCTGGCCTTCTCCGCCTCGGCCCGCGCCGTCGCGGCGACGGCCTTGGCCTGCTTCGCCGCGGCGCGCTCCTTGGACGCGGCGGCCCGGGCCTGCTTCGCCGCGGCGCGCTCCTTGGACGCGGCGGCCTCTGCCACCTTTGCGGCCTCGCGCTGCTCCTCGAACTCGACGCGCTGCTCCTCGCGCACCTGCTTCTTGCGGCAGACGTCCCGCGCGCGACGCAGCGCAGCGCGCTCGCGCGCCTTGAAGACCTCGTCGCCCACGTCGTCGCCCTTGACGAGAAGCAGCTCCTTCTGGCGCTCGTCGAAGCGGCGTCTGCGCGCCGTGGCGAGCGCCCTGGCGTGCGCGACTTTTGCCGCGGCAGCCGCAGCGGTCGCGTCGTCGCTCGCGCTCGTCGGCGCGCCTGACTTGCCACTCTTGCGAGACGTGGAGCGCGCTACCATGTTAGTGGAACGCGCAACCACCGCATCGGGCAGCGTGAGTGGATTCCTATCACCCTGCCGTCAACATCTGCCGATCTCTGGCGATCTAGCAGTCGCACGTCGCCGTGCGCCGCACGCCCTCGACGACAACCGTGCGGACCGGCGTCCAAAAATTCGCCCGCGTCCCACGCCCCGCCAACGCTCGCGTCGCTCCCACCACCGCTCCTCGGCCCGGGCGAACCGACCCGACTCTTTGAGCGAGGCTTTGAGAGTCGCCTTTTCGCTCGGCTTCGGCTGAAGTCGGCGACCGTCGCCGTCGGCGGCCGTCGCCGTCTTCTTCGGCGTAGTCGCGCTCACGCCGGCGACGTCGCCGAAGACGACGGCCACGAACGCCGACGAGGGCACCGCCGCGACGCGCGCCGCGACGGCGGTCTCGTCGGCGTACGCGCCGTCGATCGCGCAGTCGATCGCGCCGTCGCTCGCGCCGTCGCACTCGGCGAAGCTCACGCCGGAGCTCACGCCGGAGCTCACGCCGGAGCTCACGCCGGCGACGTCGCCGAAGACGACGGCCACGGCCGTCGACGAGGGCGCCGCGGTGCTGCGAGGGTCGCCGATGCCGATTCGGCGTCGCTCGCGCCGTCGATCGCGCCATCGATCGCGCCGTCGCTCGCGCCGTCGCCCTCGCCGGCGGACCTCCCCCCCATCCGAAATGTAGTCGCGTAGGCACGATGGGTCTTGGCGACGATTACGAGGAGGTGGTGTTGGAACGCGCGACGCGATACCGCGACATGCTCGCTGAAGACCAGGACACGGAGAGCGCGCGCGCCGCGCGCGCGGGGATGGGGGTCTTCGACCTGCCGGAGCCCCGCCCGAAGCAAAATTGTTATATCCTGGAGACCGACGGCGTCGACCGTCGTAATTATCGGGCGGGCGACGACCCTCAATTTCACCAAATTCTTGTGAAGCGAAAACAGAATTACGTCGACATATACAATCGAGAGCTCGCGTCGTACAACGAATTGAACACCTACGACGCGAGCAACGCGCGCGCCCACGTCGAGGTCGCGCGCGCGGACGAGGCGCGCATCGACGCGCTCGTCGCCGCGAAGGGCTTCGCGCGCTGGCGCGCCTTCGATGCGCGCGTCGAGGATTTGAATCCTGTCGCCCGCGCGGCCCTCTCTCGACCCTACCCTCGCCCGAGCGTCGAGGAGATGGGCGAGCTCTTCAGACCAAGTTCATGCGCCTGCGAGTTCAAGAAGATCCCCGCGGTGCTAGTGAAACCATGCGCGATGATCGTCGACGCGCGCAACCGCGGCGACGCCGCCGCCGAGCTCGAGAGCATCGCGATGCTCCGCGAGAGCTTCACAGCCCACGGCCCCCTGCAGTACTCGCGCGGCGTGCGCGGGCTGAGCGTGCCGTTCAGCCTGCTCCTCGAGGCGGCCCGGGCGACACCGCCATACGATGTGGAAATGTTCAACGGCAACGGCAATGCGGAAATGTCCAAAGGCAACTTGATGAACATCGTCGGCGCGCAGGAGAAGCTCGGCGAGTCCCTCGTCGCCGCCGAGCGCATCAAGCTCGACAGCTTGTCGCGGGACCAGCGCCACAAGTACGGCGTCACCGACGCGTGGGGGCCGCACGTCGACGTCCTCGTCTACGGCACGGCGAACGGCATCATCGGCGGCGGCGGCGGCGGCGGCGGCGGCGGCGGCCCGCTCGGCGGCGCGGGCATCGTGCTCGGCGTCGCCGGGGCCGGGGCCCTCGTCGGCGCCTTGCTCGCCTTGCTCGAGGCTCTCCGCCGGCGCCGGCGCGCTCGCATCCTGGACCGCGAGCTCGGGCCGATCGGCAGCGCGCGGCGGTTGCTGGCGTCCGTCGACGCGTCGCGCGCGGCCCGCGCTCTCCTGCACCGGCAGGGCCGGCCCGGGCTAGGCTCCTCCGCCGCGGTCCTCATCGAAGCCCTCGCGTTCACGCTGCCCGTCGTGCACGCGGCGCCCCAGCAGCTCGTCATGGACCGCTTCCCTGAACGCGCGCTCGGCGTCGCGCTCAACGCCGCCGGGCCCCTGGGGCTCCACACCGGCCAGGGCGCGCTCAGCGCGCTCGGCGGCGCGACGGTCGGCGCGACGGTCGGCGCGCTCGGCGGTGCGCTGATCGGCATCGGCGTCTTGTCCTGCAAAGACCCGGAGTTGCAAGCTCGCCGCGAGATTGCCCTCACTTACGGCGTCACCGCCGCTACAGGAAACTTCTCCTACGCGGCCGACGCGGGCATCCAGCGCCTGCGAGGGCGCTTCGGCGTCCATGGCAACGTCGGCTGCCTCTTCTCCAACGCCTTTGCGGCCGACGGCGAAATCGACTACGCGACCTTCGAGCACTGCGACACTTGCGTCATTGACCCGCGTTTGGGCGACTCCGCGTTCGTCGCCCAGTGCTTCGACGTCGTGCGGAAGTTTTTCCTGCGTCCGCAGGACGTGTCAATCAAGGGAAAAAAGGACGAGCGCGGCCTGGCGGTTGGCGACGTCGCGCGAGACGTCGACACACGGGAGCTTTGCTTGTTGGTGGAGGCGCCGGAACTCGCAAAGGCCCACTGGCGCGTACGCTTTATGGAAGAAAATGGAGATTTCTCCGATACGGTGGCTCGCCGCTTGGCCAAAAACCTCGAGCCCGTGGGCGAGGGCTCGGAAGTCGCGGACATGGCCGCTTACGGACTTGTAACAGGTGGTCTCAACGAAGCACCCTACTACATGCCGCTCTTGGAGTCGATCCTGGGGCGGATCAAGGAGCCGCTAGGGGCAGGGCTGAATTTGGGCGATCTCAGTTGCAGCACGGTACATATGTGTATGAAATCGAATTCTATACTTCGATTCCTCGACGCATTTGTCGAACGCGCTCTACTTTCCAAGGAGGGCCTGGACCTCCGTAAGCGCCACGTCCTTGACCTTCAAAAACCCGGAGAAGCGTCGCGACCCCGTGAGTACGCGACGCTCAAACACAGCCTGGAGAGCTACAAGCGACTCAATGTGAAGCTTCGGAGAGAGGGCAAGATTCGTTTTTTTTCGGGTCTTGTCACGTGGGACTCTACGGACACGGACGAGAGTTCCGAGCTCGCTTTAACTGGCTCTACGGCGCCCTTCCGGGACATCATCAAGAAGAAGCGCGCCGAGATCGACGCCATGCTCAAGAGTCGCTATCCGTCGTACGTCACGGCCCTCGACTGGGGCATCGAGACGCTGCTGAACCACTTCATAACTACGGACTCGCGAGAGGCCCGCTACGCGAACCTCCACCGAGCGCGCCTCAATCACCCGCAACACGTGGCCCTCAGCCAGGCGGCCCCGGGCCCCGAGGCCGTCGGCTGGCGCGTGTCCATCTTCTGGCCCGGTGAGGGCGCGTGGTTCCCGGGGACCGTCGGCGCGTTCGACGGCGAGCGCCACCGCGTCGACTACGACGACGGCGACGTGATTCCCGAGGACCTAGGCGCCATGCGCTACAAGCGGCTCGATCAATAATAAGAGGCGCACAACGACGTTAACAGCGAGAGCGATGGGATGCGCGGAGGCCGGGGTTCGGGCCCGGCGGCGCGCGGAGGTACTACTCGCACGTGGTTGGACAGGTCCACGAAGTCGTGGTAGAATCTAGTAAAGCTCAGACTAGGCTCCTTAGGGCCTTCCAAACCCGCCGCCCCTGGCGCTCGAGGAAGTCCGTCGTCTGGGCCCCCGCGAAGACGACGGCGCAGAAGGCGAGGACCGCGGCGACGGACGCGAGCAGGTCCACGAGCGCGTTCGCGAGCTCCGCGGCGACGGAGCTGCCTCCCACGTGGGGCACGACGAGGCCCGTGGCCAGCGGGAGCAGCACGAAGATCTCCTCGAAGAGCACGTCCAGGGGCAGCTCGGGGATGTTCAGGAAGAGGATCGCGACGCCGATGCCGATCTGCGTCGACAGCGGGTAGCGCCACTTGATCTGCTCGTAGATGGCCGCGGGGTCGCCGACGACGTCGTCGATGGACGCCGTCGGCGGGTGGAGGATGGACTTGGCCGCGGGCAGGTCGTGCAGCTCCGGGTGGCCTTTCAGTAAAAAATACGCCGCGGAGTCGGGCAGCTTCGTCTTGAAGGGGAACGGCCGCTGCCGGTCGTCCGCCGCGCGGAAGCGCCCGACGACCAGCGACGGGAACCAGACCCCGAACAATAAAATCGCGCAGGGCAGCACGACGCAAAAGTAGAGCAGCGCGCCGACGGCCGCGTCGCCGAGCCACGCGACCGTCGCCGCGCGGCCCAAATCCGAACCCGTCGCGATCAAATACCAGCAGAAGACCGCTAAAATCGCCGCGATGCCCGCCCAGGCGCCGAGATAGGCCGCCGCGGACACGTCGCCGTCGCCGTCGTCGTCGTCGCCGCTCCGATCGATGTAGCCCGCGGACCGCTCGACGATGCGGCGCTCGGGCTTCGAGAGGCGGCTGCACCGCTCGCACTCGACGAGCTCGGCCTGCGCCTGTGTGGAAATAAAAATCTTCAACCCGACTTCAATGTGCGCGTAATCGAACGGTTCGGACCATCCACTTCAACCGTGCTTCGAGAACTCAACGAGAGCGATCGATTCGTCCAAAAATCAGCCGAATCAACTTCGATTTGACCGAGCTAGAGAATTTCAAAGTTTGGTCGGGACGTCCCAAACCAGTGGTTGATTTCCTCACAGGCCTGCGCGTTGAAGAGGTAGGCCCGGTCGTCGTCGCAGCGCGCGCGCAGGTCCACCAGGCGGTCGTGCCAGCGGTCCGCGTCCTTCATGTGGTGGCGCAGCCGCAGCTCCACGCGCCACGCGGCGTCGGAGCCGTACTCGTCCGTGCCCGCGTCCCATCCCCAGCGCCGCAGGAGCCGCTCGCGGTACTTGCCGACCATGATCCGCGCGTCCCGCGCCCGCGCGTCGCGCCGCGCCTCCAGGGCCGCCAACAGGTCGTCGAGCTCGCGGAGCTGCGCCGCGACGCCGCGCGCGACGGGCGCGGCGAGCTGAGACGACAGCGCGTAGCGCTCCGCGCGGCGCTGGTCCATGGTCACGGCGGCCTTGACCGTGTAGTGGTACTGGGCCAGGGCCCGCGCCGCGTCGGTCGACCGCCGCTTCGCCGCCTGCATCGTGCCCCGGCGCCGCCGGCCCGTCGAGGATTCGTCGCCTAAACTCCGCGACCCGTCGCCGACGTCGTCCTCCCAGGTCGCGCTCGGCATCCACTGGAGCGTGTCCGCCGTCTTCTCGTCGAAGAGCGTCTTCTGGAGGGCCTTGGGCACCGTCGTCTTCTTTTCCATCACGCCGTCGCCGTCCTCGACCAAAAGCGCGACGTCGTCCTCCGGGCCCCGTTCCTCGACGGTCGGGCCCGGGCTCCCGTAGACCGGCGGCTTCGGCGTCGGCAGCGCCGCGAGGGACGCGGGTTGCTCGATCTGCTCGACGATGGCCGCGAAGGGGTGCGCGGCCGCGCCGTCCGGCGGCGCCAGCTCGAGCTCCGAGTCGAGCGGCGGCAGCGGCGGCCGCGCCTCCTTCTCGACCGGCGGCCGGGGCGCCGCCTCTGGAACCTCGTCGTCGACCGGCGCGTGCTGCGACGCTTCCTTGTCGAGGCCGAGGACCGCCTCGAGCGACTCCTCGGCGGCGGCGGCGGGGGCGGCGTCGTCCGCGCTGGCGCCGCGCGCGAGGCACGACGCGTCCGCCGCGCCGAAGCACGCGCAGGAGGCGAAATCCGGCGCCGGCGGCGCGCCGCGGTCCTCGTCGTCCGGCGCGCCCTCGACGTCCGGAGCGACGCTCGCCTCCGCCTCGCCCTCGGCGGCGCAGCAGAGCCTCGCGAGCCGCGGAAACCGCGCGCGGACCGCCTCCGGCACGGGCCCGAGCACGTAGGCCTCGAAGAGGCGCTCGAAGAGCGCGCACAGCGGGAACGACACCGCGAGCGTGAGCGCGAGGAAGACGAAGCGCCGGTAGGACGTCGAGTAGCCGTCGCCGGGCTCGATGGCGCCGCAGGTCTGGGAGCAGAGGTCCCAGGCGCAGGCCGGCTTCGTCAAGGAGTCGCGCGCGGACGCGGACCAGAGCGCGCGGATCGTCGACTTGTCGAGCGCGTAGACGCGCGTCCCCTCCACGCAGTCGTGCTCACTGTCGTAGGACCCGCAGCCGCCCCGGGGCTCGGGGAACTCTAAATTGCTCTCGAGGGCCGAGCAGAACATGAAAACCAAAATCTCGAAGAAGACGAGGACGGCCCGCGCGCCGCGGGGCGCGCCGGGCCGGTGCACCGCGTAGAAGCTGAGCACGGGGTGCCGCGTCAGCAGCGCGTAGGAGCAGCGGTCCCAGGTCGTCTGGCGGTAGAAGGGCCCCGTGCGGCCCAGCGTCTGCTGGCGGCTCAGCGTCGGCCGCGCGGACTCGCGTTTCCACGAGTCCTCCCGCGCGTCCAACCGGTCGAGGCGCCGGCCCCAGGCGACGGCGGCGACGCAGCCCAGCGCCGCGGCGCCCAGCGCGACGAGCATGACCGCCGCGCGCGCGAAGTCGGGCTCGGCCGCGAGCACGTCCGCGTACGTCGACGCCATCGCCAACAGCCGCGACCGCAGCGACGCGTCCGCCGCTTCTCCCGTCGCGAGGTCGCAGGTGCACATCGTCGTCCCGTCGACGACGGACGTCTCGCAGGCCGGCGCGAAGTCGAAACCGTCGTAGATGGCGCAGACGCCCGTCTCCAACAGCGGGCACGACACCGCGTACTCGCCGGGGACGCCGTCGCAGTAAAACACGGTCGCGTTGCGGTAGGGCCCGCAGTCCGCCGTGACGTTGCCGTAGTAGCCGCAGGGGCAAGTCACGTTCGCGACGCTCCGGACGCGCGCGGGCGCGCGCGACGCCGCGGCCGTCTCGCCGTAGTCGCCCGACGGCACCGACAGCGCGACCGTGAGGTTCGTCGACGCCCCGGCGAGCCGCCGGCGGGTCGCGGCGCCGTCGGAGGCGAGGAAGCGGAGCGTGCTCGCGCCGGCGTCGCTCGACGCGCCGTAGGGGTCGACGGCGAACTCCGACAGCGTCATGTAGACCGACGACGCGACGTCGCCCAAAGACGCGAGCGGCCGCAGGGTCGCGGACGCGTTCATCGTCGCCGTGCCCAGGAACCGGGACTCGTCCGCGGACCGGAGCACGCGCCGGTTCGCCGTCGCGAAGTTGGCAAAGGTCTCGCCGACGCTGTCCTCGTCGACGGCGAGCGTCTCCAGCTGCGCGACCGCGAGCGCGTCGACCGTCTCGAGGAGCAGCGCCGCCGCCGCCGACGCGTTCGACGACGCGTTGGCGACTGGCGCATCCTCGAGGAACAGGACGGTCTCGAGGAGCGAGTCGACGACGGACGCGATGGACCGCGGCGTCGTCGTGTCGGATCCGCCGAGGCCCTCGGCCGCGGACGCGACCGCGAGGCCGCGCACGAGGCCCAGGGTCTTCAGGGGCGTGCCGCCCGTCGGGTCGAGCGACGATTGCGCGGCGACACCCGTCAAAGCCGCGCAGGCCTGCTCGACGAGCTCCGGGTCGTCCGCGTCGACGTAGGCGGCCGTCGCCTGGGCAGCAAAAGAGTGATTCAACGTCGCTACAACGTGAGTGTTCCGCGCGCGCGTCCCGGAAAAAGCATCCACGCTTTGAGGCCGTTCCGAGAGATGATCGCTCGTCCAAAAATCAGCCAAAACGAGTGGAAAACGGCCGAGATCGGAGCCTTTGAAGTTGGGAATTTCGCTCTCTTGTGCTGCCCTGGCCGTCGCGTTCACGAGCGCGTCCACGAGCGTCTCCAGGAGGCGGCCCGTGTCGTTGCGGCCGCCCGCGGACGCCGCCGACGCCGTCACGGCGCGGCAGACGGCGTCGAGCGAGTCCTCGGCGAAGGCGGCCTCGAGCGCGTCGTCCGCGGCGTCGGCGAGCGACGCGTTCGCGGCCAAGCCGCGGACGGCCACGGGCGCCGCGTCGGCCGTCGCCGCGGCGCCGTGCGCGTCCGTGACGGCGACGGTGATGACCTGGGTCCCCGCGGCGAGGAGCAGGCCGCCGGCGCTCGGCTCCACGGACGCGACGCGTAGAATTCCGGACGCCGTCGAGAACTCGTAGCGCAGCGGCAGCGCGTCGCCGGCCCAGAGCGACGCCGCGGCGGCGAAGGCCGTGGCCATGGCCGTGCCGCTCGCCGGGCTCGCGGCGACGACGCCCGACGACGGCGGCATGGCCGCGGAGACCGCGACGCGCGCCTCGCCCGACGACGCGGCGCCCGCGGCCTCGTACGTCGCCGAGAGGCGGAAGACGTAGGACGCGCCGGGGACGAGGCACCCGCCCGCGAGCACGAGGTCGTGCGCGACGGACGACGCCGCGGCGGAGACGGCGAGGGGCGTCCGCGCGACGTCCGCGAGCCGGGCGCCGCCGGCCAAGTCGCCGAACGCGAGTGTCCACGTGGAATTGATCCGTGCCGCGCCGGAGGCCTCCACGTAGCCGCCGACTCCGTTCTTCGCGTCGGCGTTCCAGGCCGCCCCGCCGCCGCCGATGGACACGGCCGGCGGCGCGACGGCGACGACGTCGACGGCGACGGACGCGGACGCCGCCCGGCCGTCCGACGCCGTCGCCTCGACGGCGAAGACGTAGGTTCCCGGCGCGAGGGGGCCCGCGGCGAGCGTCGCCCCCGTCGCGACGAGCGGCGCCGGGCACGCCGCGCCCGTGCAGTTCCAGGCGAAGGAGAGCTCCGAGCCGCCCTCGTCGTACGAGTCCGCCGCGGAGAGCGCGAGGGCCTCGGCGGCGGCGACGACGCGCGCCGTGCCGCCGGCGATGAGCGCGACGACGTCGCCGGCGGTGATGTCGAGCGTGCAGGCCGCCGTGTTGTTGAGCACGGGGTAGCCCCAGTCGTCGACCGCGACGACGGTCAGGACGTAGGAACCGAGCGGGAGCGCGAGCGGGTCGAGGCGAAAGAAGCGCGGGTTGCTCGCCGTCGAGGCGACGTCAATGAGGTTGCCGGCGGAGTCGGCGAGGCTCCAAACGTAGGCGACGCGCCGCGCGGCGACGGGCCGCCCGTCGCAGGCAGTGGCGGACGCGCGCGCCTCGACGTCGACGCGCCGCGACCGCAGGAACGTCCGATGATCGCCGCCGACGAGCTCGCAGCTCGGCACGGCCTTGTCCGTGATGCGCACGACGTGGTCCGCGACGTCGCTCTCGCCGAAGAAGTTGGTCACGTTGAGGCGGAGGTCGACGGCCGTCGCGCCCGCGTCGACGAGCGCGGCGAGCGCCGCGGGCGTCGCACCGACGGCCGACGCGTTCGCCGGGTCGAGGACGTAGGACGCGTTCCCGTCGACGGCCGCCGTCCACGCGAATTCCAGGGGCCGGCCGCCGCCGCCCGTCGACTGCGCCGCGGACACTACGAAGCCGTCGCACGTCGACGCCAAGAGTGGTCCCTGGACGACGGCGACGGGGACCGCGGGATTCGACGCCGTGACCGTGGCCTCCGACGCGTTCGCGTAGCCGTAGCAGTCGCAGCGGTCGCCGGGCACGCAGGCCCGCGTCACGAGGCCCGGCCGCAGCGTCGCGGCGTCGCCCGGGACAACCGCGTCGACGGTCGCGTCCGCGGCCGTCGCGTTGTACCAGTAGCACGACGCGTCCGCGGCGCCGGGGAAGTCGAAGAGGTCCCCGCAGGCGAAAAGCGCGCCGGCGTCGAGGCCGGCGAGGTCCGTCGGGGCGTCGAAGGTCAGCGTCAGCCGCGCGCCCGAGGACGAGAACGCCGCGGCCGCGAGGACGGGCGGGTCGGGCACGGCGACGAGCTCGCAGGGCGTGAGCGTCGGGGCGGCCGTGGGGGCGAAGGTCGCCGTCGGCGGGACCGTCGGGGCGGCGGTCGGCGGCGCGGTCGTCGGCCGCGCGGTGCTCGGCGCCGCGGTCGGTTCCGCCGTCGTCGGCCGCGGGCTCGGCTCGAGCGTCGGCGCGCCGCTCGGCGGCGGCCGCGCCGCCGACGGCGCGAACGAGAGCGTCGGCGCCGGCGTGCCGATGATGACCTTGTCGACCTCCGACGCCTCGACGCTCGCGACGGACGACGCCTCGTCGACGTCGAAACTGAAATCCGTGCCCTCGGCGTCCGCCGCGTCGTCGAGGGCCTCGGCGTAGGACCCATCCTCGAGCGCATCGCTGAGGTCGGCCTCGTAGGTCGCGAGGACGTCCGCCGTCGCCGCGTCGACGTCCGACGCGCCCTCGACGACGACCGTGACGTCGTACGACACCTCCGCGGCGGCGCCCTCGTCGAGCCGCCGCCGCCGGGCGCTCGTCGCGACGACGTTCGACACCTGGTCCGCGGATTCGACGAGGGCCACCGTCGCGACGAGCGACTGGCGGAAGGCCTCCTGGGCGGACGCGTCGGCGTTGAAGGCCGCGGCGTCGAGGTCGTCGAAGACGAGCGACGACGCGATGGTGACGGCGATCGCCGGCGCTTGGGACGGGGCCGCGCTCGTCGGCGGGGACGACGTCGGCGCTCGCGTCGTTGGCCGCGGCGTCGGTCGGTGAGTTGGCGTTGATGAAGATGGGCGCGGCGTCGTCGGGCGACGCGTGGGCGCGCTCGTCGACGGGCTCAGCGTCGTGGGGTTGAGCGTGGGCGCCGGCGTCGCGCTCACGGTCAGCGTCGCCGTCCCGCTGACGCCGCAGGCCGCGATGGTCATCTCGTAGTCGCTGAGGGCCGCGTCGCCGGGCACGATCGCCGTCGCCGCGCCCGAGTTGTCCACGCCGGCCGCGGAGCTCACGACGGCGCCGTCGGCCGACGAGACGACGACGACGCTCGCGGTCGCGCAGTCGGGGCCGCGGTAGGTCCACAAAATGGGGCACTCCAGATTCCCGACGCAGACCTGCTCCGTGCCCACGGACGTGATCTCGAGGAAGGAGGCCGTCGGGGGGACGCTCGGCGCGGCCGACGGCGGCGCGGAGCAGCCGCAGCTCGCGCGGCAGGCCTCGTGCGCGAGGCGCTCGTCGGCGCCGACGACCTCGCAGCGGCCCGCGGAATAGCCGGCGACCCAGTCGCAGTGCTTCGACGGCGCGTCGCGCTTGTACCACGCGGCGTCGTCGTGGCAGTAGATCGTCGGAGGACGCGTCGGCGTTCTGGACGGGGCGGCCGTCGTCGGCGCGGGCGCGGGCGCCAGCGAGGGCGAAGGCGCTGGGTTCCGCGAGGGTGTCGCGCTGGGAGCATTCGAGGGCATCGCGCTGGGCGCACTCGTCGGCGACGCGCTCGGAAGTGTTGAAGGAGTCGCGCTGGGAAGCGACGATGGCGTCCAGGAGGGCATCGCGCTCGGAGTCGACGACGGAGCGTCGCTCGGGCTCCCCGTCGTCGGCGCCGGCGACGCCGTGGGCGCGGCCGTCGGCGCGCGGACGATGGCGCCGTGGCTGAGGCAGAACATGTAGGTCGACACCGGGCTCTCCTCGTCGTCGAAGGACGTTTCGATAGAGGAGTTCCCCAGCGTCACTCGAAAGAAGAGGTCGCCGCTCGGCACGGCGTCTCCGAAGTCGAACACCACCGTGTTGCAGACCTCGACGTCGTCGGGAGCGCAGAGGAACGTGACGAGGGTCGTGTCCGCGTCGTCGAGCGTCCGCAGGACCGCGCCGTTGGTGCCGTCCAGGCCCGCGTACGAGGTCGTCGTCGAGCCCGCCCAGCTCTCGACGTCGGGGCCCCGCTCGTAGGAGAAGAGGCTCGCGTTGCCGGAGCAGTCGGGCGTCGGAAAGGAGCTCGGCGCCGCGGTGGACGGCGCGGGCGACGGCGCGGGCGACGGCGCCGCGGACGGCGCTCCGCTCGGCGAGGGGCTCGACGGCTCGGGGGTGGGGAGCTCCGAGGGCGCGTACGACGGACAGCGCGACGGCGCGTCCGTCGTCGGAGACGCGCTCGTCGGAGGCGCGCTCGTCGGGGCGAGCGACGGCGGAACGCTCGGCGCGCCGGAGGGCGCGGCGGTGGAAGGCGTGGCGGTCGACGGACGCACGCTCGGCGCCGCGCTCGGCGACGACGTGGGAGGGGTCGAGGGGACGGGCGTCGACGACACGGCGAAGTCGACCGCGTCGAAGACGCCCCCGTCGTCGGCGCACGACAGCGTCATCGTGTAGCTCGCGATTTCGGCGTCTGACGGCACGGTCACGGAAAAGGAATTCGCGCCCGGCGCGTTAGGCGCGACGCCCGAATTGACCACGTCGAGGGCGCTTCGCGTCACGTCGATAAACACCTTTTCGCAGGTCCCGCCGCCGCCCCGGTACGTCCAGTGCACGGCGCACTCGAGCTCCGCGACGCAGTAGAAGCTCTCGCCGATGGCGTCGATGGCGACGAACGGCGCCGTCGGCGGGGACGTCGGCGGCGGCGACGGGAGCGGCGACGACGGCGCGAGCGTCGACGGCGCGGGCGTCGGGTCGGCCGACGGCGCGGCCGTCGGGTCGAACGTCGGGTCCGGCGCCTCGGCGCAGACCTCCTCGAGCGCGAGGATCTGCCCGTTACCAAAGTCCGCGACGAGGATCTCGAGGTCGCCGTCGCCGTCGAGGTCCTCGAAGAACACCTGCCCGATTGGCGCGTCCGCGATCGTCGTGACGTTGATCGGCGAAAAGTCCTCCTCGTGCTGCGCGAAGAGGACGACGCGCGTCTCGTCGCCGACGAAGGCGACGACGAAGTCGTTGTGGCCGTCGCCGTCGTAGTCGCCGGCGGCGGCGTACGCGGCGCCCGGCGGGCAGAAGTGGCACGTGTAGTTCGCGAACGTCCCGGCGCCGTCGTTGACGAAGCTCCCGAAGACGAGGTCGGGGCCGAGCGTCGTGAGTAAATCGATGTCCTCGTCGCCGTCCAGGTCCGCGGCGAGGAGCGACGACGCCTCCTCCTCGGAGACGACGTGCGCCTTCCAGGCGATGGGATAGTCCTCGAGGCGCCGGCCGCCGTAGTCGTTGGACCCGTAGTAGTAGTTGTTGTTGTAGCTGTAGTAGCCGTAGATCGAATCGCCGTCGTTCTCGTACCACACGAGCCCCGCGGCGGACGCGGCGACGACGTCGAGGTCCGCGTCGCCGTCGACGTCGACCGCGGCGACGCGCGCGACGTCCGTCGCGGCGGCGTCGACGACCTGTTCGCCCACGCCGGCGACGAAGCCGGTTCTGAGCTGCTGGAACACGTAGACGCTGTCGTCGTCCGGCAGGCCCGCGACGACGTCGAGATCCCCGTCGCCGTTGAAGTCGCCGGCGGCGACGGAGCGCGCGCCGCCGAGTTTGAGGGGGATCGCGGTCCAGACGTCGTCGCCCTCGTCGAGGAGGACGGTAACGCCGAAACCGTCGCTGTCGCCCCAGGACGTGACGACGTCGTAGTCGCCGTCGCCGTCGAGGTTCTCGAGGACGATGTTCCCCAGGTCCGACGCGTAGCCGAGGTTTTGGCTCGTCGACGCGAATTCGACCTCCGGGTCCGCGCACCCGGAAACGGCGTCGCACGTCGACCGCAGCGCGAAGACGTAGGAGCCGTCGGCGTCGAGCTTCGAGTAGCCGACGTCCACGTCCTTGTCGCCGTTGACGTCCCCGGGGAGGAAGTAGAGCGGCGACTCGCCGGGTGGGAGGTCGACGACGACGCGCGTCTCGAAGACCGCACCGAAGGGGCACGCGACCGTCGGCGCGGCCGAGGGGGCGAAGGTCGCCGTCGGGGGGCTCGTCGGCGCGGCGGTCGTCGGCGCGGCCGTCGGCAGGGCGCTCGGGATCGGCGTCGGCGCGGCCGTCGGCGCGGCCGTCGTCGTCGGCGCGGCCGTCGGCGCGGCCGTCGGCGCGGCCGTCGTCGTCGGCGCGGCCGTGGGCGCGTGCGTGGCGCAGTCGTTTTTGTACCACGCGATCGTGTCGTCTTGAGAGGACGCCGACAGCGCGTCGACGTCGCCGTCGCCGTCAAAGTCGATCGCGAAGACGGAGCGAGCACCGTCCGCCGAGTTTGTAATGATGCGCTGCGTGAAGAATTGGGAGCCGTCGTTCTCGTACCACGCGACGGTCTCGTCCCATTGGGACGCCGAAAGGACGTCGACGTCGCCGTCGCCGTCGACGTCGAGCGCGAAAACGGAGTAGGCGCCGTTCGCCGAGTCGGTGATGATGTGCTCGGTGAAGGACTGGGACCCGTCATTCTCGTACCACGCGACCATGTCGTCGTTGGCGGACGCGGAGAGCGCGTCGACGTTGCCGTCGCCGTCGACGTCGATGGCAAAGACGGAGAAGGCTTCGTCCGCGAGCGTCGTGATGACGCGCTCCGTGAAGGACTGGGACCCGTCGTTCTCGTACCACGCGACCGTGTCGTCGTAGTAGGACGCCGACAGCGCGTCGACGTCGCCGTCGCCGTCGACATCGATCGCGAAGACGGAGCGGGCGACGTCCGCCGAGTTCGAGATGACGCGTTCTGTGAAGGACTGCGACCCGTCGTTCTCGTACCACGCGATCGTGTCGTCGTTGCCGGACGCCGACAGCACGTCGACGTCGCCGTCGCCGTCGAGGTCGATCGCGAAGACAAAGTTGGCGCCGGACGCCGAGTCGGTGATGACGCGCCCCGTGAAGGACCGGGACCCGTCGTTTTCGTACCACGCGACCGTGTTGTCGTTGACGGACGCCGAAAGCGCGTCGACGTCGCCGTCGCCGTCGACGTCGATCGCGTAGACGGAGATGGCGGCGTTCGCCAGCGTCGTTATGACGCGCTCCGTGAAGGACTGGGAGCCGTCGTTCTCGTACCACGCGACCGTGTCGTCCCGGTAGGACGCCGACATCGCGTCGACGTCGCCGTCGCCGTCGACGTCGATCGCGAAAGTGCATGCTGCGCCGTCGGCATTGACGGTGATGTCGTGCTCGGAGAAGGCGACGGTGATGACGCGATGAAGGAAAAAAAGGGAGCCGACGTTTTCGTAATACGCGACCGTGTTGTCGCCGCTCGACGCCGAGAGCGCGTCCACGGCGCCGTCGCCGTTGACGTCGATCGCGAAGACGGACTGGACGTCGTGGAGGGTGTCGATGATGACGCGCTCCGTGAAGGACTCGGAGCCGTCGTTCTCGTACCACGCGACCGTGTCGTCGTTGTCGTCGGAGCCGGCCTCCTGGGTCCCGGACAGCACGTCGACGTCGCCGTCGCCGTCGACGTCGATCGCGAAGACGACGCGGGCGCCGTCCGCCGACGGCGCGACGACGCGCTCCGTGAAGGACTGGGACCCGTCGTTCTCGAACCACGCGACCGTGTCCTGGCTGTAGGACGCCGAGAGCGCGTCGACGTCGCCGTCGCCGTCGACGTCGATCGCGTACACCGTGCGAGTCGCGAACATCGTGCCGCTGACGACGCGCTCGGTGAAGGATTGGGAGCCGTCGTTCTCGTACCAGACGACGTGCCCGTCGTCGTTGCGCGCCAGGAGGACGTCCATGCTTCCGTCGTCGTTGACGTCGGTCGCGTAGAGACACGTGGTATAGGTGTAGCCCGCCGAGTCCGTGACGACGCGCTCCGTGAAGGATTGGGATCCGTCGTTCTCGTACCACGCGACCTTGCCGTCGTCCGCGGACGCCGAGAGCACGTCCACGTCGCCGTCGCCGTCGACGTCGGTCGCGTAGGCGGCCTGGGGCGTGAGCGCGAGGTTCGTGATGAGGCGCGCGGTGAAGGACAGGGAGCCGTCGTTTTCGTACCACGCGACCTCGCTCTCCGAGCTGTAGCCCCCCGCCGAGAGCACGTCCACGTCCCCGTCGCCGTCGACGTCCGCGGCGAAGACGGAGAAGACGTTGTTCGCGAGCGTCGAGACGACGCGCTCCAAGAACGAGACGCTCGCGCACGTCGTCTGGGGCGGCGGCTCGAAGGGCTCGCAGTCGTTCTCGTACCAGGAGATCGCCTCGCCGGCGCTCAACGCGTCGACGTCGCCGTCGCCGTCGACGTCGAACGCGAAGACGGAGACGGCCTTCACGGCCAGCGACGTGACGACGCGCTCCGTGAACGACTGCGACCCGTCGTTCTCGTACCACGCGACCGTGTCGTCGTTCGCGGACGCCGAGAGCACGTCGACGTCCCCGTCGCCGTCGACGTCGATCGCGTAGACGCCGAGGGCCTCGACGGCCAGCGTCGAGACGACGTTCTTCGAGACGACGCCGACGCCGTCGTTCACGTACCAGGCGATCGTGTCGTCGCCCGCGGACGCCGAGACGACGTCCACGTCGCCGTCGTCGTCGACGTCGACCGCGAAGACGGACTGCGCTTCGACGGCCAGCGTCGTGATGACGCGCTCCGTGAAGGACCTGTGGATCCGGAGTGATGGAGGAAGAAAAGTGCGGCGACTCCGGCGACGGACTGGGACCCGTCGTTCTCGTACCACGCGACTTCGTCGTGCTCGTTGATCGCCGACAGCGCGTCCACGTCCGCGTCGCCGTCGACGTCGATGGCGTAGACGGAGTAGGCGCCGTCCGCCAGCGTCGTGATGACGCGCTCCGTGAACGACTCGGAGCCGTCGTTGTCGTACCACGCGACCGTGTCGTCCTGCTTCGACGCCGACAGCGCGTCGACGTCGCCGTCGCCGTCGACGTCGATCGCGAAGACCGAGACGGCGGCGTCGGCGGCCGCCTCGACGACGCGCGTCGTGAAGGACTGGGAGCCGTCGTTCTCGTACCACGCGACCGTGTCGTCGGCCAGCGACGCCGACAGCGCGTCGACGTCGCCGTCGCCGTCGACGTCGATGGCGTAGGTCGAGCGCACCTCGTCCGCCAGCGTCGTGATGATTCGTTCGGTGAAGGACTGCGAGCCGTCGTTCTCGTACCAATTGACCGTGTCGTCGTTCTTCGACGCTGCTAAGACATCGATGTCCCCGTCGTCGTCGACGTCGATGGCGAGGACGGACTCGCCGCTGCCGACCACCGCGATGTTGCGCGCAGTGAACGACACGTCCGGGCAGGCTCTGGTGGCGACCAGCAGCAGCGCGGCTGCTGCGCAGTAGCGTCTCATGCTTGGGCTGCTGCCGCCCAAAACATAATTTATGTTCCCCGATGTCTCCCGGATGGGCCGCTCTTGCAGTCTCATTGCGGTGCTCGTTCAGCTTTGCCTCAGCGCGCGTGCCTCCTGCCGCGCTTCGTCGACGATGCGTCCGTGCTTCAGCGTCCAGCGAACCTCGTTTTCTCGCCTAAAACACAAAGCTGGCGCCGCCAACGCATCCCTGAAGCCGTAGCAAACATCGCACACCCGTAGGTCTGCTCCTCTGCGCGCTGGTCGCGAGCACCGCGAGCGCCTACGTGCCCAGGGCGCCGGCGCCGCGGCGGCGCACAGCCCTGAACTCGTCGCCCGTCGACAACCAGGGCCCGCCCCTCGTGGCGCAGCGGGCCCTCGCGGCGACGGTGGCCGCGACGGCGTCGGTGACGATCTGGAGCGAGGTCAGCGTCGCGCTGTCGGGCTGCGGCCCTTTGGCGCTCCCGGACGCCGCGGAGCGCGCGGCCTACGTCGCCGTGATCCTCGCGTCGGGCGCGGGCGTCTTCTCGCGCATCGTCCTCGGCCAGGCCGCGGCGGATGTACTCTTCGCCGAGGCGGCGCCGTCGCTGCGCAACGCGGAGCGGCTTTCTTTGCTCACGTGGCCGCTGGCCTACGCGACGCTCGCGGCGCAGTACCTCCACGGCCAGCAGATCTCGCCGACGTCCCTGTCGGGCGTCGACGAGCTCTTCTGCGCGGCCCTGCGATGATAAAACTTTACTAGAGCTCCCTACGAGACGCCGCGTCCTTGAGGAACGCGTCCTCGAAGGAGCCGGTCCGGAGGCCGAGGCGCGTCGCGAGCAAGTTCCGCGTCTGGACGGCGATGTCGGGCAGAGACCCGACGGTGGCGAAGAAGGCCGGCGCCGAGGGTCGCAGCGCGGCGACGACGGACCGCGGGCCGCGCAAAGCCACGGCGGCGTTGAAGCCCGGAAGGTTCTCGATCTGGTGCCACCACCAGCTCGGCACGTAGAGCAGATCCCCGACGTCCAGCGTGACGACCAACCGGTCCACGTCGGCCAGGGGCGTCGCCGACGGCGGCGCGTCCGCGCCGTAGCCGAGGCCCGAGAACAGAGCGGGCACGCCGGGTCGCTCGTCGAAGCACGGCAGGAGCCGCGCGCTCTCCGTCGGATCGACCAACGTCCACGTCTTGCGGCCGCCGAGCTGGGCGTACCAGTTGGCGCTCAGGTCGCTGTGGAGGCTCGAGCCGCGGCTCGGGGCCGCGTCCGCGCGGCCGTCCCATTCGCCCATGAAGACGCCCCGGAGCGAGAACTTGCCCTCGCGCAGCGAGGCGAGGAAGGGTTCGTCCAGGCCCGCGGCGTCGGCCAGCGCGGGGAAGTCGCGCAGGAGCCGGTTGTTCTGCCGCACGTAGAAGCCGCGCCGGAGGCCCTCGGCGAGCGGCAGGTCCAGCGCGCAGCCGTAGCCGTCGAACGACCCCGCGCGCAGCCGCTCCGAAACGTTCGCCGCGCACTGGAAGCTGTAGGTCGTCGCGTTCGCGCCGGGCATGGCCGCGAGCGACGCCGCGGTCCAGGCCGGCCCCCGGAGCGCGCCGCGGACGACGAACGGCGCGCGCTTGTCGAAAAGGTCCAGCGTCGCCTCCGCGACGGGCCGCGCGGCGCGGCGCGGCCGCGGGACGGCGTTCAGGCGCGCGGCCTCGGCGAGGCACCAGTCGCAGGCGACGCCCAGGAGGTGGCTCCAGCACAGGGCGTGCACGAAGCGCAGCTCGCGCCAGTTTTGGAGGTTTTTTGTTAATGTGTCGGCGGGGCCCATGGACACGGCGACATAGATCGTCGCGACCGTTGCGGCGACGAGTAGCGGTCGTCGCATGACTCGTTTAGGCTGGATGACTCGTTTAGGCTGGATTATCGAGGGCTTTTGGGCTCTAAAGGGCGGCCCATATGCCCAAGCGTAGCGGCAAACGCCCTTGTTTGCCATGTTTGCCCCCTGGTTGAAGAAGGCGTGCCCTGACGACCCTGAAGCATGGAGGCAGTTCTTCGCTGTTGAGCATGAGACAGTTCTTCTCCATCCTGTGCGTCGCGGCCTCCGCCGGCGCCATCGCGCTCCCGGGCGGCCTGCGCCCGCGCTTAGCCGCCCGCGCGGAAGCCGCCGGCCGCGCCCGCGCGCGAGTCAGCAAACGACTCCCGTGGCGTCGCAAGGTCGAGACGCCGGACGACTGCGAGGTGAACTGCGATGACGAGAAGGAGTTCGGCAGCTTCGCCGTGACCGCCGAGGCGCCGATGCCCGCGCCGGCCGCGGAGGAGCCCCTGCCCAAGTGGCGCACGGACTACCTCGGCAGCCTCGACCGCCTCGGCAAGTACAGCGACGACGGCTTCACGTTGTCGACGCCGCTGCGCTACAGCTCGGGCGACTGGTGGCGCCACGTGCTGTCGATGCGGCGGTCGCTGATCCTCAAGCGCGTGCGGGGCCACGTGAGCTTCAACATCCTGTGGAGCTGCGCCGTCGCCGGCGCCTACACGCTCTACCCGAGGGCGCTCCCGCTCGCGTCCCTGAAGACGCCCTTCGACCTCTCCGGCGGCATCCTCGGCATCCTCCTCGCGTTCCGCACGTCCCAGGCCTGCACGCGGTTCTGGCACGGCCGCGAGATCTGGGCCACGGTCATCCACAAGATCCGGAGCTTCGGCCGGGCGCTCATCTACCTCGACGACCCGTCGGACGAGACGCTCGACGCCTACTTCCGCTGGCTCGAGGCGTACCCGGAGTGCCTCAAGCAGCACCTGCGGGGCGAGCGCGACATCGCCGCGCTGACCATGCTCAACAACCGCGAGCGCGAGTTTCTCGACGCGACGGACAACCTGCCCGTGGGCTGCACGCTGGCGATGTCGGCGCTGCTGAACCGCGTCAAGGCCGATTCGAACGAGCAATCAGCGAAGCACCTGCTCTGGTGGCAGCTCGAGGGCGAGCTGCTGCACAAGCTCATGGGCTGCGTGGGCGAGGCCGAGGCCATCGCGGGCACGCCCGTGCCTTTGTCGTACTCGCGGCACACGTCGCGGCTCGCGTCCCTGTGGACGTTCTCCATGCCCCTCGTGCTCGTGACGTGCCTGCCGATCTACGCCGTGCCCGTGGTGACGGGCCTCGTGAGCTGGACGTTGCTCGCGACGGAGGAGATCTCGCACCTCATCGAGGAGCCCTTCGGGCTCCACGACGACCGGCCGAACATGCTCCCGCTGAACCGCTACTGCGCGGTCATCGCCGCGGACCTCGCGAGCATCCGCGCGAGCTTCGACACGCTGCGGGACTACCAGCGGGTATCCGACGACAAGGACGAGATGTACGAGCCGCTCTACACGTCGTCGCCGGGCGTCGGCGGCGACAAGGACGCGCCCGAGGTCGCGCGGCCCGTCTACGACCCGCCCCTCTACCCGGGCTTCACGCCGCGAGAGGACTTCGACCCCTTCAAGGCGGCGAAGGAGGTGCAGGCCGACCCGCCCCTCTACCCGGGCTTCGCGCCCCGAGAGGGCTTCGGCCCCTTCCAGGGGGCGGAGCCCGCGCCCGAGCCCGACGCGACTTCGGCGCCGGCGGCGGTGGACCCCGTCGCGACTTCGGCGCCGGAGGCGGCGGCGGCGCCGCCGAAGGAGGGAGAGCACCTCAACGGCAAGCCCTCGGACAAGCCGACGGAGGACGGCGGCGTCGACTTCTCCCTGCCGCTCTTCGAGGAGCTGCAGGAAGAGGACCGGCCCTACGTGGCGAAGATGCTCGACCTCGACGCGTCGGCCATCGAGTCGCTGCCCGCGGACGAGCGCGAGCAGGTCGAGGGGCTGCGGAAAATGTACGAGATGCAGGCCTGGAAGAAGAAGGCGGACGGCATTGCGACGCCCTCTGCGCCGACCTGGACCGCGTCGAGGCCATTCGCATAAGAAACATCCATGCCTACTTCGTTACGCGCGCCAGGAAGTCGGCGATCGTCGCCTGGAGCGCGGCGGACGCGTCCCGGTTGCCCGGCAACGGCCGGTGGCCCTCGGCGTGGGAGCACCGCTCCGGCGCCGCGAAGAGCTTGGCCTGTTCCTCGGGCCCGTTGGCCACGACGGCGTCCTTCTCCGCGGACCCGACGAGCGCGCGCGTCTCGAGCGGCGGGTCGAAGGTGCCGGCGGGGAACTGCGCCGTCCACCCGGGCCGCGCGCCGCAGAGGAGCACGACGCCCTTGTAGGGCTTCCCCGCGCGCTCCGCCTTGGCCGCGAGCATCGTGCCGAAGTTAGAGCCCTGCGAGAAGCAGAGCAGCGCGTCGGGCGCCCTGCCGTCGCACTGCTCGAGGATCGCCGCCTCGCAGCCCGCGAGGCCCGCCTCGAGGCCCTCGTAGGTCCGCCAGCCCCGGTCGTCGACGGTGGCCTCGGCGAACTCGCGCAGCCGCTGCTTCGCGCCGAAGAACTGCCGCATCATCGCCGCCTGCGGGTTCTCCGGGTCGATGTCCTTGGGCCCGTCGACGAAGCGCACGTCGGCGATCTCGGTGAGCTTGGGCAGGAAGGGGCTCAGCTGCATCTTGAAGATGGCGCCGTTGGCCGCCGTGCCGTGGAGCGCGGCGACGACCGGCTTTCGCTTTTTCGGCGCCGGCGCGGCCTCGAGCATCTTCTCGCTGAGCCAGCCCGCGCTCCCGCAGGCCTCGGCGACGACGCGGCAGCGCGCGGCCTTCTTGCTCGACGTCGCGCGCTCCTCGACGGTCACGCGCGCGCCCGTGGCCAGCGTCGTCACGAGCGTGCTGTCGAGCTCGATGCCCTCGCGCACGATGGCGCCGGCCTTGGCCTTGACGACGAAGCTCGTCATGGTGGCGCAGCGCGCAAAGAGAACGACGGCAAGGAGCGCGCGGCGACCGATGGTATTGCTCGGTGAGCGGCGCTTTCCGGACGTCGCGCGAGGTGTGGTGCGAGGCCTCTGTGTGGCAGAAAAAGTTCAAGTTGGAGGTAAACACCCCCAAAGCTTGAAGTGAGTGAAGAACGCAGTTGTGCAGCCCGTTCGACGGGGCAGCGTGACCCGCGCCAGACGCAGGCGCCCGTGATGATGGGTCGTCCGCTCCGCGCCGCCCTGGCGGCCTGGTGCGTCGCCGGTGCGGCGCCGGAGCGCGTCGCATACGCGCCGAACGCCTCGGCGCTGGCCGCGGCGCTCCAGGGCAACGGCACGGTGCGCGTCGTGCTCACGGGCGACGTCGGCTGCTTCGAGGAGACGCTCGTCGTGCGCGACGGGCAGAACGTGACGATCGACGGCGGCGGCCGCCTCCTCGGCGGCGCCGGCGCGTGCTGCGGCAACGCGACCGCGGACGCGTCGTGCGCCGACGACGACGACTGCCTCGGGGCCGAGCCCGGCTTCTTCCCCTGGCATAAGTGCGCCGGCAACAGCGAATGGTGCGGCGACGGCGACTACGGCGACTCCATGGACGCGTGCTGCCCGGCGACGTGCGGCGCCTGCGGCGCCTCGGACGGCTGCGACGACCCGCTCCGCCTCTTCTCCGTCGTCGGCGGCGCTCTGGCGCTGAAAAACCTCAACGTGACGGGCAAGCAGACGACGCCCGTGGTCGTCTCCGGGCGGGGCGCCGCGCTCCTGGACAACGTCGACGCGAGCGGGAACCCGACGGCGGGCGAAGGCGGCGTCGCGCGCGCGTCGGGCGCGTCGCGCGTCGAGCTCCGCGGCGGGCGCTTCGCGAACAACGAAGCGTCCATGGGCGGCGTGCTCGCGCTCTACGACGCCGCGACGGCACGCTTCGACGGCGCGACGCTCGACGGCAACGAGGCCGCGTTCAAGGGCGGCGTCGCCTACGTCGACGGCGGCGCCCTGACGTGGTCCGGCTCCAACGCGTCGCGCAACGCCGAGCGAACGGGCGACAGCGGCGGGGCGATCTACATCGTCGCCGGATCCGTCGAGGTGACGGGGCATTCCGTGCTCGACGGCATGGACGCCGCGATCCGGATGGCCGGCGGCGCGTTGTCCTTCACCGCCGACGCCTCCGGCGCGGCGCCCGTCGTGACGCGCTGCGGCCCCGAGGCGCCGATCCGCTGCAACCACGACAGCGCGGTCGCCATCGACGCGGGCGCCTTCGTGAACAACCGCGTGACGGACTACGGCGGCGTCGCGTTCGTCGAGGACTGCGACTTCGCCGTCCGCGGCGGCACGTTCCGGGGCAACTACGCGGCCGACTCGAGCGGCGTGCTTCATAGCATGCTCTGGTCGACGGTGACCATCGCCGGGGGCGTCTTCGCGGACAACCGCGCGGCCGTCCTCGGGGGGGTGCTGACGACGCGGCGCGGCGGCGCGGTGACGATCACGGGCGGGACCTTCGAGAACAACTCGGCGGCGTCCGGCGGCGTCGCCATGATCTACGAGGGCACGCTCGACGTCAGCGGCGGCATCTTCCGCGGCAACTCGGCGACGTTCGGCGGCGCGATCAACGTGCAGGACGCCGTCGCCGTCACGGGCGGCGTTTTCGAGCGCAACTACGGCCACTTCGGCGGCGTCTTCTTCACGGCGGACTACATCGAGTTCTACGAGTCCGAGTCGATCTACGCGTCCCTCGAGTGGGCCGGCGGCGCCTTCCGGAACAACTCGGGCTTCTTCGGGGGGGTCTTGTACGCGGCGGCGACGGCCCAGACGGCGTACGCATTACAGGACGGCGACGGCAACGCGGCGACGATCGGCGGCGTCGCCTACTGCGCGACGGACTGCGTGTTGCGGGGCCCCGCGACGCTCTCGCGGTCCGTCGCGGCGGACGGCGGCGCGGTCGCGCTCGGCGGCGGCGTCGCGGCGACGGTGGCCAACGTGACCTTCGACGCCAACGCCGCGGCGCGCGGCGGCGACGTCTTCCTCCGGGCCGACGCCGTCGCGACGCTCGACGGCGTCGCGAGCTCCGGCGCGCGCGCGCGCGTCTCCGCGGGATTCGCGTGGGTCGGCGGCCGGTCGGTATTGCGGCTCGCGAACTCGACCGTCGCCGACGCCAAGGCCCAGCTCCGCGGGGGCTGCCTCGCCCTCGACGTGTCCGCGGAAATCGACGTGAGCGACTCGACGCTGTCGGGCTGCCTCGCGCTCGAGGGGGGCGCGGTCTACGCCGTCGGCGCGGGCGCGCTCGCCGTCGCGCGCGTCACCTTCGCGGGCGTCGTCGGCTCCATCGGCGCCGTCGTCTACGCGTCGACGCTCGAGGGATCGGCGAGCTTGGTGGACGTCGTCGTCACCGGTGCCAGGGCCATCGGCGGGGTGATGCTGTTCGACGCATCACGGACACGGGCATCACGGACACGGGCATCACGGACACGGGCTGGCGCTGCCCGAGCTGCCAGGCCGAGGTCGACGCCATGCGCCTCGACGCCATCGACCCCGCGCGCGCGCCGCGTTCTCGCGGCTGCTCGGCGAGCTCACACCCGACGCCCCTCGCGCCAACGCGGTCATCAGGACGCCCCGGAACGCTTAAACGACTCCCTGGGCCCATAGGCCCGCGTGGGCGGCGCTCGGGGGGCGTCGGGCCTCCGTTCCTACTTCAAGCTCATGGTGCTTGAACGGTGTTGCCCCCCGGTCTACAGTCCGAAGGTTAAAGCGCGCGCTAGCCGAGGAGCGCGTCGGGCACGTCGAGGCCCGCGCGCTTCGCCCGCTCGAACGCGGCGCGCGCGGCGGGCGCGACGTCCGACGGCGCGAGCGCCGCGTAGAGGTGGATGGCCGCGTGGGCGGACGCGGTCTCCCCGTCGAGGTCCGCGAGCGCCGCGTCCAGCGCGCGGCGGATCGCGTCCGCGAGGCCCGCGACGGGCGCCGCGAGGAGCTCCGCGCGCGTCGGCGCGAAGTTCGCGAGCGCGACGACGGCCGTGAGCCGCTCCGTGTCCGACCGCTCCGCCGAGCTCAGCACGCGCCTGCGCGAGGGGGGTCTCGCGGGTCCGCGTTTTTTTCGGAGCGCGCCGGCGGAGCCCCCCGGCGCGCGGACGCCGGGCACGCGCGCGAGGCAGTCGAGGGCGCGCCGGCGGATGGCCGCGTCGCCGTGGGCCTTGGACCCGTGGAGGCTGCGCTCCGCGTCGCGGAGGCTGCAGAGCTCGACGACGCGGAGCGCCGAGTCGAGGCCGGACGAGCCGCCGTCGACCAGGACGCCGCTCAGCGACTCGACGGTGTCCGGCGCGCCCAGGGCCGCGACGGCGGCGTCGAGGAGGGCGTCGCCCTCGCAGTGCGTCGCGAAGACGTCGCCGCGGCCCTCGGCGTCGACGAGGAACCGGACCGCGAAGCCTGCAGAAGCGTGGGATTTGGCTCATGTTTCGACGAGCGATCATCGCTCGACGCGCGCTCGACGCACTTATCGCGCGCGGAATAATTCAAGTTGAAGCGACCTCGAATCGCGGCCCCGGGCGGAGCAGAGCTCGAAGACGCGCGCGAGGAGGGGCGCGTCCAGGGAATTGCACAGCACGAAGAGCGTCTTGCCGCTGAGGCTCGCCACCGTGTCCGCCCAGGCGTCGCCGAGGTTCGACGCCGCCGTCGGCGGCCCGGGCGCGCCGCCGTCGGCGGCCGCGCGGTAGCGGCTCGACGCGAGCCGCGTCACCGCGACGTGGAGCAACCGCGCGGCCTCCGTGAGCAGGCCCGGGTCCGCGGCCTCGGCGTAGCTCGCCGCGACGATTTCCCTGATGCTCTCGTTGCTCAGCACGCAGGCCTCGTGCGCGGCGACGTTCGCCAAAGTCCCCACGGCGAGCTCGCGGAACCGCGGCGGCGTCCGCGCGCTCGACAGCAGCTCCACGAAGGCGCCGAGGTGGCGCGCCAGCAGCGCGCAATGCTCCGCCTCGGCGCTCAGGTCCCAGATGAACGTACCTTTACAACAAAATTTACACACAGTCAACAATCCTCATCTGGGCGTGTTGCAGCGCCCGAAACTCCGACGCGGGCAGCGCGCCCGCACGCTCGCGCACCTCCAGGTCCCCGCTGTCGCTGCCCGCGGACAGGAACTGCAGGAGCAGGCGCAGCACGGCCACGGGCTCGAGCAGCGACCCGGACTCGTCGTCCTCGTCCTCGTGGGCGTGGTCGTGGCCGTGGTCCGCGTAGGAAGCCATCGTTCGCGCGCGTGTGTGTCGATACGACTGGCGTCGGGAGCTGAGCCCAGCCTGTGACGGCTGTGGCAGAGGATTCTTCTGGTTGATCGATCGGCGAGTTTTGGGGGCGGCGGGCGCTGTGGGTGGGCGTGGGCGACTTGCTCGGAGTTGACGCCTGAGTTGTCACACTCTCGAGAGCTGTGCTTCTTTACCGTGAGGAGGGCCCGCGCCGGGTTGACGTAGGCGTAGGCGCCCGAGTGCTTGACGAAGGCGGCGTCCGCGCGCATGCCGGAATCGATGGCGACGCCGCTGATCGCCAGCGCGCGCCGCTTGGACTTGAGCGCGATGAAGTCGAACTGCGGGAACGATTCCGCGTCCATGAACGTGTAGACGAGATGGCCATTGGCGTAGCCCGACGGCGGCGGCCCGGGCCGACTACGGCGGCGACGACGATGTGTCCGACGGCGAGCCTGAGTCCGACGGCGGCGGGGCGTTTTCGCGGCACCCGGACCGCGAGGCCATCGTCGAGTGGCTGCTGACCGAGCGCCGCGACGGCCTGCTGGACCACCTCAACACGCTCTTCCCCGTCGGCCGCGAGATGATCGCGCCGCTGTGCGAGTGCGGCGCCATCGCGGCGCTCCTCGACTCGAGTCGCCGGCTGCGGCGTCGCTGGACCGGACCCGGCCTCCGGCGCGGACGCGGAGACCGCCTGCGCGCGAGCCACGCTCCGAAACCTCGCCTGGCGGAGCGCGTCGCGCCGCGGAACGAGCACGGAATTAGCTGCCCCGGCGAGAATCTGGCCGGGGCTTTTTTGGCGGGGTCCCTGGAGAGCGACAGCCTTCGCCAAGCCGCCCTCGCTGCTCATCGGTACTGCGCCCGCGTCTGTTGACTACGCGCCCTCGCCGCCCCGCGGTGGCGCCGCGCCGTCGCCCCCGCCTCCCGACGACCTGCGGACGCGATGACGACGAAATCTGGCGGCTGCGCGGCGCTCCGCTCCCCGTGCGCGTCGCCGACTCCAACTCGAGACGCGACGCGACGCCAACCCGGCGCGGCGGTACGCGCGCACGGCCCGGCGGACGCCGCGGCCGCGCCGCAGACCCGCCGCGCCGCGGGGGGCACCACGGGACCGGCCGCCTGGGCGCGCGCGGCCGCCGACGGGCGACCGCGTCGGCCGCCGCTTTCGTCGTTTCCGCGCCGCGGGCGGCGGGCCCCCGGCCGGCCCCGGCCCCTGGCGCGCGTCCCCGGCGGTCGCCCGCGACCCCGGGGCGGCGCGCCGGCGGCCTCGGCGGCCCCGCCCCCCCTCGCGCGACGCCCGCTCGAGTCGCTCCGGACCGCGCGCTCACCGGCTCCGCCCTGTAGGTTTCAAGATGGTCAAGGATCTCTTGCACCCGTCCTCCGTCGAGGAGAAGCGCAAGCACAAGCTCAAGCGCCTCGTTCAGTCCCCCAACTCCTTCTTCATGGACGTCAAATGTCCTGGCTGCTTCAACATCACCACTGTTTTTAGCCACGCGCAAACGACGGTCCTCTGCGGCTCGTGCTCTATGATGCTCTGCCAGCCCACGGGCGGCAAGGCGCGCCTCACCGAGGGCTGCTCGTTCCGAAAGAAGCTCGATTAAGCAGCAGCCGCGGCCGGCGCCGCTTCGTCGCACTTCGTCCCGCGGTCGTGCTCAGTAACATGCGTACGCTGTGTTCGATGCTTGTCGGGGGGCTTCGGGGGTCGTGTCTCTGCGAGTCGGCGGGGGGACACCCTCGAGCGACGTTAGAGAGCGACGTCCTCCGGCCGTCGCGCGGCCTCGCTCGGGAGCCGCCGCGGCGAGCGGGAGACGCCCGCCGAAGGGCCGAGCGGCGTGGGGCGAGCGCCGGCGCGCGAGCGGGGAGCCCGAGGTCCTGCGCGCCGCGACTCCCCGGGCGATAGCGACGTCCCCCGGCCGTTCCGCGGCGCGCATACGCCGCGTTCGAACGAAAACCCCGTCGCGCCGTGCGTGACACAAAACCCACGACGCCCCTCGAGACGTCGAGAACGACGCCGCGGACCGGAATGACCCCCCGTGTACGCACCGAGTAAGGGGAAACGGATGTTTTTAAACGGGCCCGCGCGGTCTTCGGCCCCGCGCGGGGAACGACACGAGGCGGCGATTTAGTTGTACTTCTGGAAGCCGATGTCCGCCGCGTACTGGCGGAAGCACTGCCGGCAGATGTTCATGTTGTACTTGCGGATCATGCCGCCGCCCTGGTTGCCGCAGACGCGGCAGCGGCGGCCGCCCTTGCCGTACTTCTTCGGCCTCGAGTTCTGGAGAGTCTTGCCGCCCATTTTTGAAACCTGAGAGGTGGGGACGGGTAAACCGCCGCGCGCGAAGGGTGTTGGGGGGTCGGAGGCGGGGCGGGCGGGCCGCGGCTCGACGGGCGGGGCCCGCCGGGCGCGCACGCTGACGAGATCCCGCGCCGCGAGCCCCGGGGCGGACCGGCGACGGGCGACGGGCGTCGACGGGTGTTGGTGCGGCCGCGGGTCGCGGCGGCGCGGCCTCAGAGCGGGTCCGCGCCCGGCGGCCCACCGCGCGCCGCCGCAACCGCGTCGACTTTGTACCCGAGGCTCGCGTCGGTCGCCACCGTCGTCTTCGGCCGTCGTACGTCGCAGAGACGTTCACGGACGTACGGGCGACGGTCAGGGCGTCGCAGCGTGTGACTTCGTCGGGTTGGGGCGGTGGATGGGCGGTGACAGAGGACGCCGGCGGCGCGCAGTCGATCGGTCGCTGAAAGCTGAGGGCGACGGCCTCGCGTGAGAGAGAGAGAGATTTGGCCGGGGGTCAATGCTGCCCCTGCAATCACAAACAATCGGGCTGCCGGAGCGGGTGGCTCAAAGCTTTACGAAGATGGCGGCCTACAGCGACGGCGTCGACGAGGCGCGGACGGCGATCCACCGCGAGAAGGAGCGGCGCGCGCGCGGCGTCCCCGCAAAATAACACAACTCACGCAACAACCTCAGGTTCTACCTGCCGCTGGACGAGGGCGAGGAGATGGCCTACTGCTGCCTCGAGCGGCACCGCGGCGAGAAGGTGACGGCCTTCCACCTGCACCGCGAGGACACGGGCGCCTTCATCCTCGCCTGCTCCTGCGCGAGCGACATGGAGGGCCCCTTCAAGTTCCACACGCTGACGGACAGCCACCTGCGGACGATGGACGCGATCCCCGCCGCGGCCGACAGCGCGGTCTACCTCGGCATGATGGACATCAACTTCATCGGCACGGAGTTCGTGGTGCGGGACCACCGCTGGGACGACGCCATGTCCGCGCGCTTCTCCCACGAGCTCGGCCTCACGGTCTACGAGACGAACGTGTCCGGCCGCGCGCCGAACTCCATGAAGGTCGTCGTCCGTGTGGAACTCAAATCTTCGACGCGACTTCAATGTGCGTCGGTTTCGACGCGAGCTTTTTGGCTGTGCTTCGAGAACTCGACGAGAGCGATCGATTCGTCCAAAAATCAGCCGAATCGACTTCGAAGTTTGGTGGGGACCCCCCAAACCAGTTATTTCAGGTCGTCGTGCCCCGGCTCCACGCGGACCAGGTCACGGAGGAGAACTCGCCGGACACGTCCCTCTCCGAGCGCTTCGCCAAGGTGAACACGACGCGCGTCCGCGGGAGCCGCCTCAAGCGCTGGTTCCCTCGCACCGCGCAGTTCGTCGCCGCGCGCCGCGGATCCGCGGGCGACGCGCCGCTCCGCATCGCCGCGTCGACGCCGACGGCCGGCGGCCTGAGCCGGTCCTTCTCCAACGTGAAGAAGGCCGACGCCGAGGACGACGAGGGCACGCAGGAGTACTGCGCGCTCGAGGGCGACGAGATGCTCGACATGGCCATCTTCCACACGAAGAAGCCGGTTCGTGCGACGGCGTTCGATGTTTTTTTGCGCCCGGACACCGTCGTCGTCGCAGGTCTGGAACGACGAGCTCCACGCGTGGACGTTGAACTTCAACGGCCGCGCGAAGCGCGCGTCGAAGAAGAACTTTTTGCTGACGCCGCCCGTCGAGGGCACCAAGGAGGGCACGACGACCAAGGAGGACGGCCGCGTCTTCCTCCGCTTCGGCAAGATGTCCAAGTCTCGCTTCAGCCTCGACTTCCGCGACCCGTTCTCGCCGCTCGTCGCGCTCGGCGTCGCGGTGACGACGTTCGCCAAGAAGCGCGCCGTGACCTAGGGCGGGGCGGGGCGTGCGTTATTCCTCGGTTCGACGGCGCGCCGTGGCCTATACTAGGGGCAGTCGCCGAGAATTTAGGAGGGGCAGCTGCAGTCGCAGGTGGAGAAGTAGCCGAAGCGGAGGCGGCGCCGCTGCCGTCGCCGGTCCTCGACGGAGGCGCGCCGCTGCCGTCGCCGGTCCTCGACGGAGGCGCGGCGTCGCCGGTCCTCGAGGGCGATGGACCCGCAGCACGCCTCGTAGGTCGCGGCGCCGAGCGCCGCGCAGGTGCCGTCCTCCGTCGTCGGCCAGACGCCCTGCGCGCAGTACGCCTGCCACGTCCAGAGGTCGCCGCCGTCGTCGTCGTACGCCGTCTCCTCCGCTTCGTCCTCGGCTTCGTCCTCGAACTCGCCCTCCCCCTCTTCTTCGTCGTCGTCGTCCTCGTCGCCCCAGTCGCCCCAGCCCGCCTCGGCCTCGCACGTGTAGTCGGCCTCGAAGGTCGCGTCCGCCGCGCCCAGATCCCAGTCCGCGTCCAGGTAGGCCCAGGCCGACGCCGTGTACGACGGCGGGTACTCGTGGCCGACGCCGACGTACTCGCAGAGCGTCGCGCCGTCGCAGCCGTCGTAGGCGTAGCAGCCGGCGCCGTCCTCCGTGAGCTCCGTCGCCGCGCCGCAGGCCAGGACGCTCTGCCGGTAGTGGTCCATGGACTCGAGGATCGAGGCCCACGACGCGAGCGGGTCCCCGTCGCCGTTGCCCTGCCACATGGGGATCCGTGCGCCCGGGCACGTCGTCGCGACCCAGGGGTCCGAGCAGACCTACGCCGCGGCGCGTCGCCGCGCGTGTTTCCGGGGGGACGGGCTTCCGGTTTCACAGGTGCCCGCGGCGTTCGCCGGTCGGGGACGCCGGCGCGCGCGAAGCGGTTGCCCGCCACGCCGATGCCGTCGACGTTGCTGACGTTGGCGCAGGCGAAGCGGAGGGCCAGGCCGCCGCCGTTGGAGAAACCCACGACGAAGCGCCGGTTGTTGAAGTCGTAGTCGGTTTCGAGCGCTTCCACGAGCGCGCTCACGAAGCCGACGTCGTCCGCGAGCGCGTCGTCCTCGTCCTCGTCGTTCCAGAAGCAGCCGTAGCCGTAGGGCACGGCGGCGACGAATCCCAGCGACTCGGCGTAGCTCTCGATGCCCCAGGAGCTCGGCGAGGCGCCGCCGGCGCCGTGGAGGAAGACCATGAGGCCATTCGTCGGCGTGTTCGCGGGCGGCGCGTAGAGCGCGTACTTGCGGTCGAGGCCGTCGTGGACGAGCGTGTGCGGGAGGGTCCAGTCGTAGGCGGCGCTGGCGCTGGCGGCGAGGAGGAGCAGCAGCGACGCGGGGGAATGCAGGAGATGGGCTGCCATCCTTTGGCCCGGCAACATGCAACGTGACGTTAACTTGTGAACGTCACGACTGTCCTGCGCGCGTTTCTGCGCTCGTTCGCGCCTTCCTTCTCTCGGAGCGGAAAGACAATGGCCGGCGAATGAGCGCCTCGCGCCGCCGCGCGCGGCCTCTACCGCATCGTTCGACGCGCTTTTTCTTTCTGCTGGCAGCTGTGGCCTAATATCTGCGTCGCGAACGCGTCGCGCGGGTCGGAGCGCTGCGCGCGCGCGCGAGAATCCCGTTGCGGATCGACGGCCGCTGCGGCTGCGTCGGCCCGGTCGCGGGCCGCGCGTGCCAGCGGTTGCTGGTGCGCTGGGACGCCGGGGACGTCGCGCGCGACGCGGCGAACTCGTCCGGCGCGTCGCGCGCCCCCGACGGCGCCGGGTCGGGCCGCGCGGCTCGGGCTCGGCGTCGGGCGTCGAGCGCGTCGCGGCGGCCGGCGCGCGCGCGCTCCCGGCGGTGGTCGTCGGCCTTCGACCCGCGGAAGGCGTCGTTGCCCGCGCAGAGGGGCTCGACGGCCCTCTCCGCGGACCGGACGGACTCCGCGCGCGCGCGCGACGCCTCGCAGGCCTACCCGGTCCGCGGCCGCGTAGGCCTTCGAGAGCTTCTTCGGCGCGCTCGCGGCCGCGCGGGCCCGCGGCGGCGCGGCCGCGCTCCGCGGCGCGCGCGACGAGCTCGGCGCCGGCGCCGAGGCCGCCGCGGCGCCCCGCCACGGCCGCGGCGGGGCCGGAGGCGCTTCCGCGAGGCTCCGCGAGGACGCGCGCGCGCGCGCGTCCTCGTCGCCGCGGCGCGCACCGGTAAGCTAGTCATCGCGCGCGCGACGCGCGGCGGGCGCCCCGGGAGCGCTTCGCGAAGTGGCGCGGGTGAGGACCTCGACGCGCGCGCCGAGCGCCTCCGGAGCTTCAACATGAATAATGTGCAGTGGGTGCTCTTCAACAATCGCTCGGCGGCCGGCGCGGGGCTGCCGTCTGGAGACATGTCCCCTCGGGCGCCGTAGATCGAGTTCGCGCACCAGAGGGCCGCGCCGACGATGTGCCGCCGCGACGTCGACATGCCGCCGCCCGAGGCCTCGTCGGCGGCGACGAGCAAGCGCCGGCGCGACGCGCGCGTCTACATCCTCGCGCGCGGCGAGTTCGCGGGCATCCGGGTCGAGCAGAGCGACGACACGCACGTCTACAGCTTCATCGGCGTGTCCCAGTACGCGCAGCTCCCCGAGAACAACCGCGTGCCGGTCACCGGCGGCCCCACGACGCGGGTGCAGTGGACCGCCGGGAACGACGGGTTCCTCGACAGACACTGGGGCGAGACGCCGGGCGTCGTCGCGCTCGCGGGCGGGCGGAACTACTTCACGCGCGACGCGGCCGTCCACGGCCTCATGCGCTACGCGAAGCGCGAGGCCGTGGAGCGGTTCGTCGAGGAGACGGCGCGGTTCGGCGAGGAGACGGCGGGCGGCCAGTCGGAGGACACGTGGAGCGAGGAGCGCAAGAAGTTCGAGCTCGAGCTGATCGCCGGCCGCCTCTCGCGCATGTACCCGTCCGGCGACGCGGCGGGGTCGGCGGCGAAGCGCCCGGCGCTCGCGCAGACGGTGACGACGCTCGCGGGCGCCACGGGCACGACCGCCGCCCTCGAGCGGCCGGGCACCGTGAACCAGTTCGAGAGCGCGACGAACCCCGCGGCCCTCGGGTCGACGCCGCCGCCGCCGACGGTGGCCGTGGCGACGGGCCTGCCGACGGACCGCC